AAAAAGGAGGAGTCGAATACAGCCTGGTAGCCATCTCAGTTTGGGCTGTGCGTCAAGGTGTGACACCGAGCTCCGTCCCTACCAATCCAGCAAAACCAAGCTGCAGCAAACACCTGGCAATGCTTTCTTCCACTGGACACATCATTCAAGGCGACCAGTGCAAACATCTCTGCCTAACCTTCACTGCCTCTAGAATGCTCCAGCATCAGCAAGCTCCAAATCTCCAGCAGCCATGACATCATAGACGCAATGATCCTTTTAGTCTCCCCAGTGTTCACAGACCTTCTCCGCAGCAGTCTGGGCAATCGATTCACCAAAATAACGGCCCACCTGTTTCAAGCTAGGCATATTGCAAGTGACCGGATGCTGTGGAACCCTGCTTGTTTGGAATAGCTTGGGCTCGCTCTCAAGGACCTGTCATTCATTTCCAAAGGCATCGGCATCTGTCAGAGCAGTTCCATTGCGGGCAAGCCACTTGCCAGTCTTGTAGTCTCCCAAGAGACTCTTGCTATTTTCATACTCCAAAGTGGTGGCGCCAACTGTTTTGATGCTGAGAAGGTCCTTGAAGGACTGGAGGACAATCTTGCTAACGTGAGGAAATATTATTTGAAAGGTAACTACCATCCAATGATATCAACCGTGCTATTCAAGATGAGTGCAACGTAAACTGCAAAGTTCGCTTCTTTGTAATTCATAATCTTGTGTTGTGAGCTTTGCTTGATGCGATCGGTAAAGCTAGCTTGTAGCGTGTTAGATCAATGCATCGTGGTAGTTGATCTTGGTTCATACGGAAGTCAACGTGGAATCTACGTAAAACGGTTCGTTGGCAGGATGCTTTACTCCTGTCGAATACTCCAATTTGCCGTTTCTTTTGGTTTCGTTGAGAACGTGTTCTTGTTAGCGTTCTCTGTTCCATCGTGTTGACTCATGAAGCATGACCCAATCTATTCACGGATACTCTGAGTCGTGGGAGGAACTGTAACGCTTTCAATCTGCTTGCTTTTACCAAGCTCAATCGCAAACTTATCCTGCTTGGAGCTCTTCTTCTCGTGCTTGATGGAGTATTTGTCAAACATGTCCAGATCAGCATTGGAGATTCCATTCAGCATGTACCCACCATATTCACCAACCTCCAAAGTGACCTCCCCAATGCGAACAACAGCAGACTCAATGAAAGAATACAGGTTGCGTACCTTTGTCCTAATGTGGATATCCAAGCCAATTCCCTCATCAAACTCAGGGCTGCTGATAAAGACCAAGTCACACTCTCCATGGAAGTCATACCACTCATTCACCCATGTCTTATTACAAAAAGAGGAGACAACACTTGGTTAGTCCAAACAAAAATTTGATCAACTGGGCTGATTGTGGCTTGCTCAGACATACCTTGAAGTGTGGGTTTCCCATATCATAAGCAGATCGAAGTTGGGCTTCCGTATATCCCAGGGAAATATGCAACTTGTACGACGCACCATCGGGAACCATGTGCCGTGCTGATTCATGGGGAAAAGTACAACATCAACTCACAGCAATGATGTATGTGCCAGGAGTATTGAAGGTGTGGGTCAAGTAGCAGTCAACATGCGTAATTGAGCCAGGATCAGGCCTGGCATTGTTAGCTTGTCGAATGACATTTCCATTTGAGTCATACAGAGCAACATATGAATCAAAACATCCCAACGCTGTGCCCCACTTTTACTGTACATACATTATGTGGCGGAGTAGAGCTGGTAGAATGCATACATACTAGTATATGCAATACTGAGCGGTAATAATATAGAATGTCGTTTACCGAGGCTACTTACTCATAGCTTGCTTGTAGCTTGCAAAGCTCTTGCACTCAGTACTGGACCGTCCGACGGTTTTCGCTCAGGATTTTTAAAAAATTGAAATTGCCACCCTGACGGCCGTTTGAAACAACCGCATAAACAACCCCTTAAATCTTCAACAACCCCTTAAACATCCCCTTAAATAAACAACCCCTTAACAACAACCCCTTATGTCCTCGAAACAACCTCTTAAGCCTTCACTGAAACGCCACGGAACATCCCCTTATTACGAATGAACAATCCTTTAAATAAACATCCCCTTAACAACAACCCCTTAAATATGCAACATCCCCTTAAACAACCCTTTAAATCTTCGTATCTTCAACACCCCTTAAACATCCCCTTGAATCGTGGCAGTTTTTAAAGCCTGCGCAAAAAGCGTCGGACGGTCCTGGAGTAGATAAAAAGATCTAGCTATGCATAGCTAGTATATAGCTATTCCAGTACTCTTTACTCAAGTACACTTTTATGGACTCGGGACACATCACTCTGGAGTACCGTACTAGTAGTACGAGTAAGCAGGATGCGACCATCTTCAAAAGCAGTTATCATAACTATAAGCTTACCAGGAAGGTACCATGTTCTCAGAAAATTCCGAATCTTCAATAGTCGTTCTAAAGTCGCGGAAGTCGTTCTAGTCGCTGTAAAAAGTCGCGATAAATTAACTGTAAGCTTACCAGGAAGGCACCAGGTTCTCAGAAAATTCCGAATCTTCAATAGTCGTTCTAAAGTCACGCACCGCGACTTTATCGCGACTTTTTACCACGACTAGAACGACTTCCGCGACTTTAGAACGACTTTGGAACAAGTTTGCATTTAAATAACTAGCATTTTACCGCGCTTTTCCGCGACTATATCGCGACTATTTGGTTCCACCTGAAAGTCGTGCACGACTATACCGCAACATTTACCGCGACTTTAGCGCGACAATCGCGACTTTTTGGCGAAGCAGGCAAAACGGCTAAAACCTGGCGCCTTCCAGTTTAATGAATTGCCGTTAACCAGAGGCACCTCGAACCTCGCATGTACCTGCCCACGTGCACTTCCAACACCGTGTACTGAGCTAGTCTACTGGTACGGTAGTATGGTACCTCCCAGGTCCTCAAAACAGGCAACTTGGTCTGTGAAAACAGCTTGGCTGGCTTATAACTACTACTGTAAGATCTTTTTTGCTCCGGAAGGTTCTGCAAAACATGAAAATCTGGAATTGAATTCATCACTAATTAAATATTTTCATCACCATTCATCACCATTCAACACATTGGTGATGAATTCATCACCATTCATCACATTTCATCACGGTTTCATCATTTTCATCACCATTCATCACCATTCATCATCTCTATAGTAAAACAGTACTATTTTTCATCACGATTCATCACCAGTCATCACGAATTCATCATTTTCATCACCATTCATCACCATTCAACAAACTGGTGATGAATTCATCACCATTATAAAAAAAAATCACAAATTCATCATAATTAAACTATTTCATTAGTTGCGGGACCTTCTAGGTGAAACAGTGGTATTGAAAAAACTCTTTTGGAAAAAGAAAATTGCTCTTTCAGAGACCGTAGAAATTCACAGAACACTTACATTACCTGCTTTACCACGGTTTATCCGGTTCAGATTCATACTGTACGTTTGTCTCCAACTGAAGGCGAAGGTTTTTTTAAGTCATAATCTCAGTCTCGATTTCTTCTGCAGTTTCCGGTTCTGCGCCACATCCCTCGGGCAGCTTCGGAAGAGGCCACAACGTGGACGCTCCACCGTAGCGTTGAGGGAGATTCTCCTTGGTCAGGAAACGATACATCTTTTTCAAATCTTTCTCCTTTTCGTTAGGCTTGACAAAATCCGTCTTGGCCACAACTCGCTTGGGCAGAAAGGGTCGCACCAACGTCCAGGGAACATCAATCCAGGTGGGAGGATCGCACAAGAACAAACTGCCCAACAATTGTGGGTAACAATCTTCAATCTTTTTGGTTGCTTCTCCTTGACGAGACATGAATTCCAAATTCAACATTTTGAGAAACTTGAAATTCTTGAGACCCACAATTCGAGCCTGTTTCGTCAAACGACCAGTGGTACGAGTAACATGGTCGCACCATTGAAACGACCACTCGGTGACATGCAACATGGATTGAAACATTTCATCGTCTTTAATTAGTTTCGCCAGTCCGTTTTGATCAATATCGGCAAATTGCATGTAGGCTAAAGGACCGCGAGAGGCATCGGGAAGCGTAAAACTGTAGGCGCCAGGCTGGGAGTTGCTCGATAGTTTCTTCCAGCCTTCGTCGTCGGGCAATTGGTTCAAGTCGGGCGAAAATCGAAGGTCTTGTTCATCGAGGTGGTACTGGTGGCGGAACTGGATCGAAGTCTTGGCAGCTGCTGCGGCCTCCTTTACCTTTTTATGGCTCAAGAGAAAGCGGACCAACCAAAGATCGTCGTGTTTGGTTGGAACAAAGAGGGGCTCCTCAGCCTGTAGAATCGCACGGACTGCGTCGATGTCCTTGCGGTGTTTCTGAATCAAGTCAGCCACAGAAGGACGATCGTCGTCGGGGGTTACGGGATCAATAGCATCAGTACAAAATCCTTCCCCTTTCATCCAAGGCCAGGTGTTGCTGGTGGTCGCAGTAGATGTCATGGTTGCTCTTTGATCGATGTTTTTTATCTTTGCCTACCGTACGGACTGGAGTTTGTGAGACTGAGTTATCAGTTTCGTCTATTTATCATAGCGCCCTTCCAACATATCCAAATGGAGTATGCAGGGTTGTACCCCTCTATTCCGAGCAACAAACCATTATTAGGATCCGCGATGAGCATGCAACCCGCAACTTCCATTTCTGCCTCAGCTGTTTTTCCAAATGCAGCAATCGCGTACGGTAATCACCATCAAACCCTCTATTCCGAGGAACAAACCATTTGGATCCGCGATGAGCGTGCAATCCGCAACTTCGATTTCTGTCTCAGCTGTTTTTCCAAATGCAGTATCGCGTAATCGAATCGTCATAGCGTACACACCTGTAAGAGAAAATCAGCAGGGGAGGTTTGTTTGAAAAAAGACTGAGAATTGCCTTACACCGGTCTGTAAAAACAGCGTGGCGGGCTTATAACCAAAGATCCTTTATGGCTTCGCCGCGATCTTCAAGACACACTACAACACCAACCGCCAAAGTCTTTCTTCGCCATGGTTCCCAAGGAAGGGGAGGACCGCAACCTCTTGGAGAGGCGTCCTCGGAGCACGATCCGTGACAATGGTCGAGACAAGAGAGAGAATCGTCACCTAGAGAGTCCGACGGATGTTATCGCTCTTCTCTCGTTTGGCTTGCTGGGTGCCCCGCCAACCGCCCCAACAGCAGATGCCAACCCAGAAAGGCATTTGTCGACTCGGCGGAATGTTGGACGCAAAAAGATAAACAAAGAATCTCGCAAAGGGGCCTTCTTGTTTCCCAATGGGGATAGTGGTATGATGACTCAGTCGACGCGAAAGGAAACCTTGCCGCAGTTTGCCCAAGCGAAAAAGGACACTTCTTCTGCTACTACTACATCTGCTACGAAATCGGGTCATGGGAAGACTAAAGAGGCGGAGCGAGAGCAGAACGACAGGGCTAAATCCTCCTCTGTTAATAAAAGTGTGCAAAGTGATGGTGGAACCAAGGGTCAAATGAAAAAGAACAGTTCGGCGGAAACAATGACAGATGATTCTAGTGGTCTGTCCGATACCCCGTCTCTTTCGACAACCAGCCACCACACGAGTCCGTCACAGAATGGACCCGGCCGCAGTCCCACTCCCCGCGTTGTCATTGGGAGTAACTTGCCGTCTCCTTTTGCGACATTTCCTTTCTCGGCCGAAAATGATGCTTCCCTGTCATCGCCACCCTCCTCCAAAACGAATCTTCCTCCGGTTACACCTTCTCCACCCGGAACTCCTCCTGGTGAAAAATCCATGGCGCTTAGAGTGAGTCCTCCTGCATCAGCTGCTGCTTTCAAGCCAATTGATATCGAAACGAAAACTACTAGCGTCACAATAAAAACGACAACTGCCCCTCCCGCCTCTACGCATCCAACATCTACTACGAGCTCTTCTCCGCCAATCCAAACTTCCATCCGGACAAATACTAATGAAAAATTGGAACTTTTGGAGCAACAAGTGCAGACACTGCAGAAACAACTGGAGCAGAGCCAAGCACAAATCCAATCCTTGTCGTCAAACATCAATAACAATATCAATATCAAGCCAATCCAACAGCCGTGCCAATCCTGTATCGAGCTGGCAAAGACGATGGAGGTCATGGAACGGGAAAACTCCGAGTGGAAAACGAGTCTTGGAGAGACTATGGAAGCCAAGATGGTGTTTCTTCTGCAGCAAGAAACGATCGAGTGGAAAAACAATCATCAAGCGCTAGAAAAGAAACACAAAGACTTGGAAATGATCCATGCCAAGCTACAACAAAAACTGGTGGATTTGGAACAGGAGCGAATGGAATGGAATCAAGACATGTTGGAAGACACTCTCAAGTTGGTGCAGGGCGAAAAGGATGTACTCCAAGTGCAACTGGATCAGCAAACCAGAGACATGTGGTCCATGCGAGAGGATTTGTTGGAAGAAGCATCCAACGACCGAAAAGAGGCCCGCGATGCGGTATCTTTGCTGCAATCCAATCTCAATCAAATTCAAGAGACCCACCGTCGAGTGCAGGAACGGCAGCAAACAGAACTAGATGTTACCAAACAGAATTGCGGGGAAATGAAATCGGCTCTGGAAGCGCTGCAACAGGAAAACATTCTTTTACAATCGCGGTTGGAGGAGCAAGCTACCGAGCTGGCGGATGCTTTGGATTCCGCGCAAAAGGAAAAGGTTGACCTGCATGACAAACTGGAGCGGCAGGACACGGATATCCAAGCTCTCCAAGAAGAGCTAGGAGCCGCAGCTCGCGAGAGACAACAAGCAAGAGACTTGGTTTCGGGCCTTCAATACCAAATGGAAGTTAGCAAATTGGGCGAGAAGCAGGTGCAGCAGGCCATTGCGCAGCTTCAAGCTCAAGCGGACGATGCCAAGAAGGGCAAACTGGAAGTGGAGCAGAAAATGACCGCCCTCGCCAGCGAAAATGTAGCCTTGAGGTCTCTGCTGGACATTCAGAGATGTGAAATGTCTCACCATAAGGAATGTCTGGACAAGGCGCAGGAAGAATTCAGAGATGGCATGTCCGAGCTGAGGTCAGAAGCCGAGACCGCAAGACAGAGTCTTGAGGCGAGCCAGGAGCGAATCAAAAAGATTGAGGCGGAACGAGATGCTGCACTGCTCAAGTCCAAAGATGGCGGCGATGCTCGCACGCAACAAGGAAACCAAGCTGCCACGGAGGAGTATAAAAGTCGACTAGCAGAAACAGACGCCAAAGTGGCACAACTTACTGACATGTTTCAAACCAGCGAAGCAGAAAAGTCAAGTCTCCAGACTGAGTTATTGGCAAAACTGCACGCAACGGAAGAGAAAATAGAATTACTAGAGACACAGAATGACAACATTCTGAAAGAAAAAGAAGAAATCAAGGCGCAACTTGAAAGCCAAGTTTCCGAATGCCGATCCATTCGGAAGGATGTCGACAATGAAAACGCTCGCGCAAAGGAGTCAACCTCCAGGCTCCAGGCTAAAGTTGCCGCTGCAGGAGAACAGTATCACGAGTTGCAGCAAGCTTTAGCAACCATGAAAGCTGATCACCAAGGCGAAATCCACAATGTGCAGGTCACTGAGGCCACAAGCCGTGAAAAGTTGCAATCGTCGTTGGAACGGCACAAGGCTGCAGTGTTGGCAGCAAACCACAAGATTGCAGCAATGGAAAAAACGCTGCTCAAGGTGGAGGAAGAAAACGCGGCAATCCAGGAGAAAGTGGATCAAACAAGGTTAGAAATAGATACCATGAAAAGCCTAGTTGAAGAAAAGGACAAAGCCATCGAAGACACCACTCACAAGCTGGCACAAGCACAAATGTCGCTGATCACCGTTTCACACGAAAAGGATATGGTCCTGGGACAGCTTGCATTGGCGGCAGAGAAATGTTCTGATGTCATTTCCGCAACGGACGAAATGAAAGTCTTGCTCGAAGACGATGAGAAGCAAATCATGCAGCTGCATACCGAACGAGAGCACTTGGTATCCAGACTCCACCTTGCCCATACAAAAGGAGACAGCGCCATGCCGGAAACACCGCCGAGACGAGATTCCTTTGAGGTCGACCCGGAAGAACTGCTGCGCAACATGAGCATGCCGGAAAGTCTGGAGGACTCCATGTCCTTTGTTGGGACGGCAGGTGGGGATGTAAAGAAAGGAAGCACGAACCGTCGTGCTTCCATCTTGGCTTTGGAAGAATTGGAGCAGGACCTACGGGACCTTTTGTTCCAGAGCGAAGAGCTTCTACCTGAACCTCAGCGAACGTCTCCTGTCGATGGCGGGGAGAGGAAAGGATCCATGTTGGGCGGTCGACACATGTCGCTTTTTGTGAAGCAACAGCAGCGAGACTCGGCTGAGGAGGCTCTTCTGAAAGACATTCAAGACTTAGAATAATAATACACCAGTTGATTAGAAGAAGTTTAGTTAGATTCATTCATTGTGTAGTTTTTCCTAGAGCCCGAGGATGTTGTTCCAAAAGAGCCTGCAACCCTTTGCTTTTCATGGACGGGGCTGCAAAGCCTGAGAGCCCTCTCAGAAAACAGCGCTACCGTACTGCTATTCGAGATAGCCAACTTGGGTTTTGAGCAGGAAGCCACGGGCGGCAGGTTAGAAAGCATGTACAGTACGTATTGCAAGCAGCACAACAATCGGCTCAGCACGAACTGGGACTGCGAATATGTCCAGGACTTTTGAGCCAGTCAGTCCAGTGAAACCGGGGCACCGTGACAGTACAAGAACATGCATGAGGAGAGCGAGTGATCCATCCAAGCTGGGGAAGGATGGTGGAGTGGCAAGGTCCACTGCAGATTGCATTGATGTGAGCTAACGAGCTACCCGGCACCTACGGTACATGAAGGTGGTACCGCAACGTAGCTGAGCTCTGGCTAGCAACCGTGGCAAGCACTGTTCCAGATCTTTCTCTGTGTGACCTTTGGGTTTCTCATCTGAAATGACAAAAATCGTGTTGCTCTGATTGAATATCTAGGCCGTTGCAACTGCGGCAAGGGATATCACATGCATGAGATTTGGTTCTTTAGCATGAACGATTTTTATGGGTAGAGTGATGGACATATAGATGGCCGGTAGTCTTTCTTCTTAGGACTTTGGTCTCATGCAAAGTGATTGGTTCCCTGTTTTGATGATGGGCCAGCGCTCTTTGGTTTGAACGACGAGAGAGACAGTTTTGATGGCCTAACCAAGCCTCAGGTCCGACCGCGTTTGCTGTTAGCATTGGCTCGCTAAGATGCCATATAGCGGCGGTGTCTCCATGTAATAATGAACCTAAGATGAATCGAATCAGTTATATAAGTCTATGAAAAAAGTAAGTGCATGTATAGATCCCATGCAAATAGAAACGCCCCTTTTGAAATACATTCGTGTAATGGTGGTTTCTCGAGTCCGTTTTTCAGCATGTTGATTGTTATAAATCATGGTCGTTTGGTTTCAAGTCATTGCATAAACACAGGAAACCCAATGCGAAAGACCAGCCTTGCTGCTCGTCATAACGACCGAGAATGTCACTCATGACGCTACTTGATCCACAGAAGCAACCGTCGGAGGACTCCCTCTGGGCAAGAGAGACGGCGACATTCCCAATTCTCGCAGAGCCTCATCCGATGCCATTGAGGCTGCTGATGGCTGTGCTACTGCAACGGGTTGAGATCGTCCATACAAAAAGTCCATGGCTCTCCAGGAAAAGCCCGACTGCTGTCCTGACGACCGTGACGTTTCGGCGACGACAAAGGAGTTGCGGCGTTGGTAACGACGTCTCTTGGTGGGCCGAGGCTCTTCCGAAGCGCCGTATCCCAACGCTTGTGCCTCTTCCGAAGTGGCTCCCTCTTGTTGATACGCCAAGTTCAACAGCTTGGAAGCTCTCGATTTGGCCACCGTCATGTCGCTGACATGCGAGCTTCGGCGTGAAAACCTTCGAAACGTGGCAGAATCCAGTGACAGCGAGGTGGTGGCCGCCGAAAGATCATTGCCTGGAGGAGACCTTCGTGCCTGCACCAAGCCAATCAATGTCATGGGAGGAGTTGCGCTTCCATCCTTAATGTGTCGTTTCTGTGGCGTGTCGCTGCCATCACACGATTCATTGCTGGCGCGACAACGCTTCATGGATTCGTCCATGACAATGCTGTCCACGGCTTCCGGTAGTTGGGCAGCGGTGGATTCAATGCTCTCGTTCGTCGACGGGTTCATGGTTGCCATACTGTTCTTCTAACGACAACTAGACTAGTAGTATACTTTTGCTACGACCGACTACCGGTAACGAAACTCTGAAACCAATGATGTGTGTGAGGTGCAATGGTAAAGGAACAAACAACACGCTCTCTCTCTCTTCCTCGGAAAGTCAGAGAGGCCATCAACCAAAAAGTGATCCTTGGTGTTGGCGTGGCAAACTCCACGCGGACAGATACTAGCTAGTAGATCGAGAAGCCGAACTTGCCGTTTGCGGTGTACTTGAGTTGTACGTGTCATTGGTACTAGCCAAAGTACGGTCGTAAAACTGGACGTTGAGATTTACTTAAGCCCTCGTCATTGGAACCTTCTTGGGGAAGACTCTTCAAGCCAAGGAAGCTGCTTTATATCAAGTACTGGTATCAGCTGCATGTACCACCATGGTAACAAGTCATCTAGTGGACCACCCAGCGTTGACCAGGAACCGGGCCCGCTATTAATAGCTTGTACATCTTGCACCTGCTCCTGCCCCTTCCCCTATTCCCACCCTGGAAAACGTGTTGCCCAGATGAAGATGCTTTCTTGAACGAAGATCACATGGAGGAAGAGCAGGTAACAGAAGAAATGTTCGAGGAAAGTAGGAGGTCGCAGAATCGTATCGAATCTGATGGCAGGAGTCTGCACCATTGCCTCTTCAGGCACATATAACACCATCAGATTCAGCTCAATCTCCAATTCTTATGCCAATGCGAGCCAGCTCCAGGGTCTGTGGAAGCTGGGACCCCTGTCCACGCACCCGGCCAAGTTCAAGATTTCACCTTCTCTTTATCCAGTGCCTTCTCCTGATATATCAAATCAACGTGGCTTCAACTCATTCTTTGCACTGGCTCCCAACCACCCAATCCCAAACCTGGGGTTCTTTTAAAAAGTAACAGTCCTAGTACACATGAGTAGACAGCACTGCAAGCACAATTTCAAAGGGGTCCGACGATCACGACAACTTTTTTGATTATCTCAGAGACCGGATGACAATTTTAGAGATAGCAGTGAAACTACTGTAGCTAGCTAGAAGGGCTCAAGGCGAAACCAAGAAACCAGATCGGCCCATTGCTTTACAACTAGACCTAAGGGACAACAGCTGCTGGGACAACCATCACTGTGGATAGGTGGTTAGCAACGAAGGTCGACTTCGCGATCCGATTGCAACCAACCAGAGTGAAGATTGAGATTCAATTCAGGATGTAATGTAAGTTTTGAACACTCCGCGTCAGCGTTTGCTAATTCTTCTCATTCCTCTAACGGCCAGCGAGGTTTCATGGTGGTAAATCTTTGTTTCCGCTTTGGTCATAGACTGGTTGTGAGTATCTTTTGAGGTGACCATTCGGAGCTCCTTCTGATGAGAGGCTCAGTCCTACCCTGGCTCCGGCTGTAAGAGTAGCCAAGGGCTGCTCTAGACAAACTGGTACCTGGTACCACCAACATGCACCGTGTGTAGTATGTAGTCGCGTCCCGTTGCGTGTAGCAGCATCACAAACAATAACAATCTACATTGGCGCAGCCAGCCGGTGTTTGAGCCTGTACTCGACCGCACCGCTGCCTGCAAACACTTCAGGCACACTGCTTGCCTGTGAACCGGTGATGTTGTCAGGCCTTTGCGCTCTCTCATCAGCAACCAATTACAAACTTGATTGTGTGTTGTGGCAAGTACACTAGCCAGCTAGTACGGTAGGGTCTCGATGCTGAGCTGCTGAGCTGGTAGCCAGCCAAAGTTCTGCTGCTTTTAGGTGTGTAGCGACAAATGCAATTCCAGCTGGATGGCCTATCGTTAACATATCAGAAGAGCAGCTTCGTTGTACTCTATTAGGCAGCAGCTCCCAGATGGCAGGAATGTGTTATGGATGGTAGGTACATCGTTAGAGCTACTGTATGGTACAGTGAGATAGATCTACTGCGCCAGTATCTTTGGATCTTTTGAAAACCACTGACGTCACTGTATCTTCTTCTAATAGCATTTTTATTGTTATCCTTCACAAAGGGTCCCAAACAGCAGAACCATCGCAGCTTGGCAGCACCCCCGTGCAAAGGTTCATGCAGCAACACATACATTGGGAGCTACGTTGGAGCAGGAAGCTAGTAGCAAGTACCAGTAGTTTCAAACGAGAGAATCGCAACGATGCAGGTGCTTGGCTTCCTTTTTGCGTGGTTGATGGTACTCAATCGGCCTCCTTTGGTGGCAGCTTTCCTTGGCGCCTCTCAAACAACCTTTGATGTTTGCAGAACAGAAGACACTGCGGTCCGCATGTCATCGAGCGATACCAGTACCGGTAGCAGCAGAGTGACAAGCAAAAAGGGGAGGCTACTAGTGTTAGGAGGAACAGGTAAGAGCTGAAGCTATGTAGTAGAGTGCTTGATGTTGTCGCCAATGCATGGGCTGCCATACGCAATTGAAATCTGTCTCTAATTTGTTTGCGTTGCGTTTTGTTTGTCTGACATGACAGGATTTCTCGGACAGGCTGTTTGCAAACGAGCTGCTTTGGATGGATTCCTAGTGACGAGCTTGTCGCGACGAGGGCGTCCACCAAGTAGTGGAGACCAGTCACCATCTTCGACAAACATCAAATATCTGGCCGGGGATGCACGGGAAAAATCAACCATTGCGGAAATTTTGAAGGAAGGTTCCTATACCGGTACGTAAGGAAGGACACATAGAACTTTATTCTACTTGTCTAGGCTTGACTGCCACGGCATCGCATCGCATTGGCTAAGAAAGATCTTCTCCCCACCTCTCTAACTAATGACATGTTTTAGGTATCATTCATTGCGTGGGCCTCTTGCTGGACGAAGAGTCTGGTCTTGGCCAATACAACCGATTTGCGTCGGGGTCTGGATCTCTACCAGATTCTGGTTCCACCTATGATACCATTACACGTCTGACGGCCTTCAATGCCATGGACGCCGCCATAGAGTACGCCAAGGAAAACAACAACAACGAACCCTTTCCGTTTTGTTTTGCATCGGCGGCGGAAGCAGGGTGGCCCGACATGCCGGGTGGCTCCTTTGTGGAAAACAATCTCGCACCCGATTTTCTAAAGCGGTACTTGGCTGCCAAACGAGCCGTGGAAGAGCGCTTGCAAAGTAGCAGCTCTGAACTGTTGCGACCCATCATTGTTCGCCCTTCCCTCATCTACACCATGGACAAACCTGCTTCCTTGCCGGCAGTCGGAGCATTCTTTATTGGCAACAAGATTGGATTGCCATTTGTGGACCAACCAGTGACAGTTCAGTCCTTGGCCAATGCCATGGTACGGTCGATAGCCCAAAAAGAGACGAGAGGGATACTACGCTTTCAAGAAATCAATGCCATGAGCGAGTAATGCGGCTGTATACATGTGTGTGCCAGGCAAGCAAGAAAATGAATATATGTGTGGTGGTTGGGGAGCTCAAGATGGCTGGAGGACGACGAAAGCGGTGCCAGAACCTTCCGTGGACACATAACACTATTCAGATTATAACAAAGAAGAAGACTCCTTCATGGCGGGTAGAGCGTTGGAACTGTTGTCTCCCACGTACGGTACCCAACGAGTCGAGTCTTCAGGAAAGCCGGCGTCCTCCGTCGTTGCAAGACAACAACAAGTTGTCCTGTGGCAATCAATCAATCAATCATCGTCCCAACCGGCCAATGCAAGCAGAACAGCAGAGTGGCACTGCACATGTAACTCCAAGTTGATCTCCTTGTTCCGTCCTCATCGGACAGGAAGTCGTGAAAATTTCCAGATCGAGCTCCCGCAATCGGCAGACTTCAGCAGGAACTCTGCCGGTGATCAAGTCATTGCCATGCAGTGTCAGTGCATCTGCGAGAAACGAACGTGGAGAGAAACAGACTTGCTGAGCCCGGAAAAGGTTTTCACTGTCATGGCAAACGCAAACACACATACCTAGCGCTGTCAAGAGACCAATCTCGGATGGCACGGTCCCAACCATCGAGTTGCTATCAAGCTGAAGGAAAGTCAGATTCTTGAGAGCGCCGAGTTCACTTGGGACTTCCCCCGTCAGACTATTGTTGTGCAATGATAAGTGTGCTGAAAGCAAGACGAAGATTGCAATGAGAGCCAAGAAACAATCCACAAGCGAGTGATTCGCTAGAGAGAACTGACTTACTGAGCTTGGTAAGCGTCCCGAGGAAACCAGGAACTTCTTTTCGGAAGCGGCTTCCACTGAGGTCCATGTGACGCAGACTTGTCATGTTGGCTACTGCCGCTGGGATGTCACCGCCAACCAATGTGTTAGCCATGCGGAGCTCTTCCAGCTTGGTCAAGGCGCCATATTGTCGTGGTATCCTGGCACGGATGGCAGTGTTTGATATGGAGAAGAGCTTCAAGTCAGCAAAGCGTCCAAACTCTGTGGCTATGCGTCCTGATAGGATATTGTTGGCCTCAAAATTCAAAGAGGAGAGCCTAGACAGATTGTTGATTTCACTGGGCACCGTTCCTTGGAGGCAATTGTTGCCAAGATCAAGATGCTTCAAGGAAACAGCCATTCCTAAGCTAGGAGGAATTATGCCCGTGAAGACATTGCCGTGAAGATTCAACAACTCTAGGTTCGGGGCAGAAATGTTAGGAACAGGACCAACGAGACGGTTGTTCGACAGGTTGATCAAATTCAGGTCTGGGAGGCTGGTAACAAAATCGATTGACCCGCTGATGGCGTTGCTTTGTAGAGAGATTACTTGCAGCTTCGGAAGCAGACCAAGTTCGCTTATCATTGGTCCAGTCAAGGAATTCTCAGCCAGGTTCATTTTCAATATGGCCCCATCGCCAGTGCATCCAAGGCCCTGCCAGGAGCAAACTGACTCCTCGTGACTGAGCCAGTTCGATTGACTGGGCCATTGGGATCCTTCTGTGGCAAAGTACATGAAAGCCATAATGAATCTTTGGAGCCAATCAGTCTCATCTTCGTCTCCATTCCCAGTGGACAACCAAACCGCAGCTTGGTTGGCTGGTTGGCAATCATCAATGCTGTAGTTCCACGTGGTGTAAATGCTGGGAACAAGCTGCTCAGCTGTCAGAGTCCCATATCTGGCAACATCATCATCTGTCAGCGTTGTGACTTGCCCAGGACACGAAAGTGTAAGAGAGTCAGGCGGCACCTCCGTGGGTGCCATAGTAGGATTGTTTGGTCTTTCTTCCTTGAAGACGACAAAATAAAGAACTCCTGCTGAAACAGCTAATGCTATCAAGAGAAAGAGAAGCAAAAGGAGGCAAGTTTTCGATCTCCAGGACAAGCTATCTTTCACATCAATTTCATGGAGATACTTGGGGGGCTCGTAGAGAATGATTTCATGCCCCTTGTGCGCCACAAGTGCATTCCCTCGGTAGCAAACAATTTGATCTGCCGGAAGCAGATGATCTTCCTCTATGTCCACCACAGAGGAGTCCAATGTTGGAGCAACTGCGACTACCCTCTTGTCCGCGTGTCCCTTCCTGTGATCGTTGGACCAAGAGCCCTGTTCGGACTGGTGAGTCTTCGGTGTACCCGACGAAGACAGTTCCTGTGGCATGAGGGTCGATGAAGAGACTTCTTGCGGCAACAGGACTGGTCGTTGCACAATGAGTGGGGCTGTGCTGGATCGTGCCCCCCGACGGAGTTGTCCTGTGGGCTCCAGCCTGTCATATCGCGCTGACTGGGGCGGATCAGCTTGTCGGGGGGCAAGAACAATTTCGGTCTTTTGCTCTTCTACCGGTAGAGGATGCTGTGACGCTCTTGTGCTTTCGTCGAAAGGGTGTCCACTGAAGCTCATCCCATGTTGGCTCCCCGACCCACTACTTTGCAATGCCTCCTCCGCGACACCTCCATTTTCGATGTATACGTCTTCTTCTTCGCTCAATACCTCCTCTTCGTAGAAATCATAGTATGGATCCCATTCGTTGCTGTCGCATCTTTGATATACGTTTGACATTTTCAATGCACTCTTTCTTCTTGTAGCACCTCTAGCTAGCTAGTTTGAGAGGCGGGCCTGTAATTGTGACGAGACGATGAGACATCGAAGGATCCAACTTCGGAGCAAACCGAAACCAATCCTTGCAACGGTACTCGAAGACAATTCATTCTCATCTTCCAAGAATGAAATCTTTTCTTTTCAGTCTTGGGTCATTACATTCGGATGTTTGAGGGGTGAGCTACCTGGTACCGGTAGGTAGACTACCGTACAGTACGAGAACAGCGTGCCATCGGAACAACTGTGCCGGTGGCTGGTCTGGACAGAAAGGATGCTGCTCCTCAAATGCTCGCAGCGGTTGCTGAAGGAGAATTGGACGACCTAGCCTCAAGCATTGCCCAACAATCCTCTCTGGTGACGAATAGTGGACAAAAAGCGGGAGTCAAGTCATACACAACACCACAGCTCCGAATTTCTAGCTATCTCTAGACCAATTATTAGGAACCAGGCAGGTACGGCTTTGACGGGAAGAGCAAGATATAGCTTACAAGTGTTTCGCTTTCATTCTACTGAAGAATCAGGTTTCGTGTCGGAGTCTCATGTAGACTGCATCTTAATGCAGAATACCGACACCCTGGGACAGAAAGCGCATTCTGCATTGAAACATACGATGAGATAGTACATTGCCACGCAAAGGGACAACAGCCGGCCGAGCCGCCAACTCGAGATGTTGTCTTGATCATGGGCAGTCAGACTCCCATTCTTCTAAGGAGGGAAAGAGCATCCTGTACAGCAGGTTGGAATGGGGCAGTTTACACCAAGAAAGTTGCCATTGTCACGGCTAGGACAATCGGTTGTGAAAATCTCCAGGCTGAATGAACGAAGATCGCAAACTGTGACTGGGATTCTCCCTGTCATCAAGGGGTTTTGCTGCAGCGTAAAGGTTTCTTGGTGGTGGCGTTCAGGGCGTCATGTTAGTTGCAACGAAGTGGACAAACGAACCAAGACAACAGTATCAGCAAAGAGTTGACTCACCCAACAGAGTTAGTTGACCAATTTCAGTTGGAACATATCCGCTGATTTCATTTCCGTGAAGAAGAAGTGAAGCTGCACCCAGAAAAATGTGAGCAATCGAAAACCACGGGATCTCTTGCTTGGGTAAAGCGTCCAATTACGTACTAAGCTTCGTCAACAACCCAAGCTCGCTCGGCACCAAACCAGTCAGACCATTGCTGTTGAGCTGAAGAGAAGCTAAGGAATAACATCAAGTGTCAACTTCGTGTAGGAACTTTCAACCTGAAAAGCCAGTAGTAGGCATGCACAGCACTTACTTATGTCACGAAAATTTCCAAGAATAGTGGGAATCATTTGCCGGAATTGGCTATCCGCAAGATCAGCATTCAAGATTTCTGCCAAGTCACCAATTTCTGAAGGGATATCACCTCCAACAAGAGTGTTTGCCATCCTGAAGTCAGTTAACTTGGTAAGAGCACCATACTGCCGAGGGATTCGAGCTCGAATTGCTGTGTTTGAGATGGAGAAGAATTCAAGGTTGGTGAACCTTCCAAACTCTGTGGGAATCCTACCCATCAAAAGCGCGTTGCTCTCGAGGCTCAAAGAGGAAACCTGAGTCAACTGGTACATCTCTGTGGGAATCTCTCCAACAAAATCATTACTTCCAAGATCAAGATGCTTCAAGGAAGCAGCCCTTCCAAGGTCTGACACCAAGGTCCCTTGCAACAAGTTGTTGTCCACTTGCAGTATTTCTAAATTCGAAGCAAAACCTAGTTCAATTGGCAATTGTCCAACAATGCGATTATTGGACAATGTCACCTGACGTATTCCAGAAGGAAGAAAGAGCTCTCCTGGAAGCACTCCAGAGATGACGTTTCCGCTTACGTCAATTCCTTGCAGGCCTCTCAAGAGACCAAGCTCCCATGGTAGCTTTGGGGAATGAAGAAAATGTTGTTAGGTTGGAATGCTGGTTTGAATATGACTGGAACGGTGTTCATTCAACACTTACTGGTCCAGCAAGCGCGTTGGCTGTAAGTCCAAGCGCTGATACAGCTTGTCCCGAACAGGCAATGCCAAACCATGTACATACATCAGCCTGCGTCACCCAGTTGTCAGATGACCGCCAGTTTGAGCCATCAGTTCCAAAAAACAGTAAGGCTAGTGCATATCGCTGGGTGAGGTCAGCTTCATCAACTGAAACAACTGTTGATAACCAAATAAGAGCTTGATTGGCTGGTTCGCATGACTCAGGCGGATAATCCCACGTCCCATAGATTTGAGGGACAAAAGTGGTCTTCAAAGCCTCATACTTTTGCCTGACATTCTCCTGAAGCGTGGTAATCTGTCCATTGCAGTTGCATTGTGAGATGACATTTGGCTGTGCTTGACCACTCAGGTTGCACTGACCAGCCTCATAAGGTTCCATTGGAGTTGTGGGCTGATCACCAACAAATGGAGGAGATGGTGAAGGAGCAACTGGGCTTGGTCCAGGGATGGGATTAGGGGTGAAACTGGGGTCGTCGCCTTCGTCATTGAATGGTGGGAGAAGCTTTGCCACAGGTCCAAGAATAACGTAAATTCCAGCAGCAAAAACGGCCAGAAACACCAGGCAGAGGCAAAAGATGACTAAAAAGCTCGTTTCAAACTTGCCCCTAGATGAGGACTGATGCAGATATTGAGGGGGCTCCTGATAGTAGACCACTTCCTCAACAGGACTTGTTTGCGCTGTTGGCTTCCTCGTGTCTTCTACCGCATTGATTTGCTCTTTGGGTTGATTTGTGATGGGATCCTCGATCTGGGATTTGCCTTCTTCCATTTTCTCTACATCTCCTCCTGACACAGTGGCGCTTACGATTTCTTGGGAAAGTTCTACAAGCTCTTCTTCTATGGTCTCTTCTTCGACAGTTTCTTCCTTTTCAAAAGTTGTGTCTTCTTCTACCGATTCTTCGAGTATGACAGCCGGTGTTCCCTGATCTAATAAGGATTCGCGGAGAAAGCCTTCGTTGTTGATATTGCTTGTCACTGGTGTGGATGGTTCGGTTTCATCGAACCATTCCAACGGCACTTGCATTGGAGCGTCATCTGAGGATTGCGGAGATGGAGTCTCAACTACTGGTTTGATCAAGGCAGAATTACGGTCATAGCTGTCATCCTCAGCCGTTTCGCTTGGGTATGGAATAGGCTTTGTCTTGAATTCAGGACCAGAGGGAACACTGCTGGTTTCTCCATATACTTGAGTTTCTTCTGGTAGCGCTTCTTCTTCTTCAACTTCAACTACTTCTTCTTCCTCTTCCACTGAAGCAGGTGGAGGGGGTGGTACGTTGTCTTTCGGTTCAGGTGTTGGTGGAGGTGGGGGCACATTGTCTTGTGGTTCAGGTGTTGGTGGCGGTGGCGGGACTTGACCACTCCCTTCTGATTCTGACTCTTCCGGCGGTGGTGGTGGAGGAAGTGGTGAAGGAGTTGTTGATGATTCACTTTCTGGTTCAGGTGTTGGTGGAGGTGGTGGGGCTTGATTCTCTGTTTCGGGTACTGGTGGGGGTGGAGGCATGGGGTCTTTTGGTTCAGCTGTTGGCGGAGGTGGTGGGACTTGACCAGTCCCTTCTGATTCTGAATTTTCTGGTGGCGGCGGCGGTGGAGGAAGTGGTGAAGGAGTTGATGTTTCACTTTCTGATGGAGGAGGTGGTGGCGGGGGTGGTTTAGGGACCTGCACGTCAGATGCCACATTATTAGGTGAGTTGAGTGTATATTTTCCGCAGTACTTTTGGGGCCGGACACAGCGTGGCTCCACTTACCATTTCATTACTGATGGTATCTTCCACATAGCTCAACTCTTCTCCCTCGTCATCCTGCTTCGAATCACTTTCGCTGCTGGAAGATACAGTAAACGGCGATATGTGAGTGGGGTGCGGCATCGTGCTGGTCATGACTTGCAAATTCCGGCACTTACCTGCTGACAGGACCGGTCGGAAGAGGCATTGGGGCTGGCACTGGTGATGGCGTCTGCAATGGCATTGGTGCAGGGACAGGGGTAGGGAATGGTGCTGCACCTGGAGTATCAGCCTCAGGGATTGGTGCGGGAGCTGGCCCTGGTGTCGGGACAGGGACGTTGCTCATTTCAAAGTTGGTGGGAGAATCAGCAGGCAATGATCCACCGAATGTATCAGGGCTTGAGTCTGTGGTTTCCCTTGAAATTGACGAAAATGGATCAACGTCGGACAAATGGCGGAAGCTGGAGCCAGTATCGAAGTAGCCTATACAGGGAAGATACAACACAAGGCGGGACTGAGCTTTGAATCTTCTCCCTTACACTACCATAGAATGAAATGAAACTTCGCGATCAACCAGCGACCTTTGCGTCATGTACTGCATGGATTTGGATTTGTTCGCTTACCTGAAGGGACCGTGAGATCGTCTGGAATGTCGGACTGTCTCCTTAAATGCAACGAATACTCATTATTTGTTGTGTTAGCTTCTGCCAACACTTGATCTTGATCGTCAACTATCTCTTCAATTATCTCTTCAATTATCTCTTCGACAACCTCAGCGTCTATGTCAGTCATGATACATTGTGCTTCTTCAAAGGAATGGCTGAAACGCGCAGCTCTCTCTGCAAGCCAGGGCTCTCCGATTATCCTGTGTGGGAAGCTGTCGGGATCGCCTGCTTCGGTTCGCTACGAAAGATACCTGGGGTCGCAAGCCTATTTCCATAATTCTTGGCCTTGGCAACTTTTAAAAAGAAGATTGTGCCTGCTGAGCACTTCTTTAGTCTGGCATGGCTGTAAAGCAACCATTTTTGAGCTACTTTCGTTGGAAGCCTCGCAAAATTGTGCAGGAGTGGGGTGAAACTTTCTGCATGGATGGCCTACGCGCAGCGTGGGCAAATCAGCGTGTTCTCAAAAGACCCCCAACCCTGGCCGTTTTTTGTGCTCTTGGAGGTCTCAATTGGCAGCTCCATTGGCTCTCCCAGCTTTTGGCTAAGAAGCGGTCCAAGCCCTGCTCTGTGGTTCGATCCTATGTTCCACCCAATTGAGCATTGCCCTTGCTCGAGCAGCTACAATGTGTTTCGTGGTCCTGCTTCTACGAGGATGAGCTCCCGGCATTGGGAGGACTCTGGATCTCTATTGGTGAACCGGGGTTTAGAGAAGGTAGGTTATCTATTCTGGTAGTCTTTGTCCTCTCCCCCATTCGCCTTTCCCCGGCCTCCTTCCTTGCCATCCTTTCCTCCTTCGGTTGGTCTGCTCCCTCTTGGCTGTCAGGCTCGAGCACCTGCATGCTACACTTGACCACTGGAATCTATTCCCACGCATAGCCCCCCTTTAACCACATAGTAACCCGCTTTCGCTATTGACAAAGAGCTCGCACAGGTTCTGTTTCAGTGTCTTTCTTGACGAATGGATTCTATGGGGTGGGAAATGGTGCAAGCGGAGGCTAGCGCAAAAAAACAAAAAAAACAGTTGTGTGAACGTGCAAATGCATCGACTAGCTAAGTCGTGTTATGAACTAAACTAACCCTTCAATAAAACCCAGAAGGGGGTAACCGATCACAGGAGGTGCAGCAAGATGGGATAGCGCATATCGGTGCTTGATCTCGTGTAGGGCAGTCGACTCTGAATGAATTCAGGCTGAACTTTCTTAGACCGCATATTTCCCCTGGAACCCGGCCAGTTAACAAGGGATTCTTCTGCATGGTCAAAGTTTCTAACGGGATCAAAAGGAAGCGTTTGAATCAAGTCAGCAAGGCAAAATAACTTTTAACGCTGTGTGGTTGAAATCCTCAACTTACCCAACAAAGTGAGTTGGCCCACTTCTGTGGGGACCATTCCACTCAGTTCATTGCCAGAAAGCATAAGTGAAGCTAGTATGCACGAAAGCAACATAAGTTAGACTGGCCTGAAAAGGGAAAAGATTTACCAGCAGAGGTCATTGAGCACTTACAAAGCTTTGTCAGGAGTCCAAGCTCGCTGGGAATTTCTCCGGTGAGACCATTGTCATTCAGAAGCAGCACCGCTGTGGTTGGATAGTGATTGGGTAAGCGTGGGACTGGTCAGAACCAAGGGTTTGATTTTGATGCTTCTACAACTTACTCATATTCTTGAAGTTTCCCATTATTGTTGGTATGGTCTGACGGAATCTGCTGTCTGCAAGATCCACACTTAGCAGGTCAGTGAGATCTGCAACTTCTTCTGGGATGTCTCCACCTACTAGAGTATTTGCCATTCTCAGATCAGTGAGCTTGGTGAGCGCTTCATATTGTCTTGGGATGCGGGCTCGAATGGTTGTATTCGATATTGAAAAGTACTCCAGGTCAGTAAATGTTCCAAACTCTGTGGGAATTCGACCAGTCAAAAGTGTGTTGCTCTCAAAGTTTAGCCACTGGAGCCTTGTCAGTTGGAACATCTCAGTTGGGATCTCTCCTCGGAAGTCATTGAATCCTAGATCCAGTGTTCTTAGAGCTGTAGCCTGTCCAAGTTCACTTGCAATATTCCCACCTAAAAGATTGTTGCTGACTTGTAGTACCTCCAGATTTGAAGCATCGACAATGTCAGCTGGAATCGACCCAACTATCCTATTGAATGAGAGGGACACTTCTTCGAGCACAGGAAGCATAAAGAGTTCGCCAGGAATGGTACCGGTCATGACGTTAGTATCTAAGTTCAATCTTTGCATGCCGAGAAGCAGACCCATCTCCCATGGTATCTAAGAAGAGAAAAGAGCCGGTGAGTAATGAGCCCAGTGGTCAAAAGATAGCAAACAAATTGCTTCAACTTACAGAACCTGCAACTCTGTTGTTTTCAAGGGCAACCAATGCGATCAAATCGTTTGTGCATGCAACGCCGTACCACATGCATGTTCGTTCATCTGTGAGCCAGTACTCATCTGATCGCCAATCCGGTCCCTCTGTGCTGTAGTAGAAGAATGAAAGTACATAGCGTTGAAGTAAATCTGTTTCATCCTCCTGAGAAGTTGTCGACAGCCACACGAGTGCCTGGTTGGCCGGGTCGCATGATTCAATGGGAAAAGACCAGCTGGGATAAATTCTGAGGATGAAAGAATCTCGGAGGGCATCGTACTTTGCTCTGGTGTTGGCTTCTAATGTTGTGATTTCACCATTGCATTCGCACTGTGACAACAAGTTGGGCTGCACCTGTCCCGCGACAGGGCACTGGCCTGGTACGAAGGGACTCATCGGCGTAGTTGGCTTGTTCCCCACAAAGGTAGCTGTTGGAGCCATTGTTGGATTTGTGTTCTCTGGTTCATTGTTAAAGGGTGGCAACTCAAGCAAAGCCAGGACGAGCAAAACGGCGGCGGCAACAAGCCCCAAGAATAGCAGACATATCAGGAACATGAGTAAGGGGTTTTCTCCTGGACTTCTCCTTTCGTCCTGATAGATATACTGTGCCTGACTGTCTGTTTGCGCCATGCCATATTTCGTGTCTCCTTCTTCCGGCTCGTCTTTCCACACATTTTCCTCTCCATCCTCTTGTTGGTTTTCTTCGTCTTTGAACTGTTCTCGCTCTTCATCGTCATGAACAGTGCCATCGCCTTCCTCATCGCCAGTTTGCTCTTCGTGAGCGAAATCCGTCAACAAAAGGACTTCTTCTTCGTACACACTTGCAACTTGAGAGTGCTGGGTTGACCCCATTTCCTGTTTTCCGCCGTCTTTCTTTAGCTCGTTTTCCCAAGCAAGATCCAAGAGCCTGGCTTCCTCATCGGAGATAGACGGAGGATACTCAGCAGGAGCAACTCCTTCAGGCTCAATCTGACTAGATTCGTTAGAGCTGAGCTCACCTTCCGGATCGGGGGGAGCAGGCATTGAGGCGCTGGAAGTCCGAGCGGAGGATGTTGGGGCCGAGGAGGATTGTGCCGAGGAGGATTGTGCCGAGGATGTCTGTCCAGACGACGTTGGGGCCGAGGAAGAAGAAGTAGACCTGTGCGACATTTGGGACAGATGTATTGACGGCTCTGCCGAGGCTTGGGACAGCCGACCAGATGCAGCAGAGGTTTGGGACAAATGGCCTTGGAAGGAGCTCCTGGAACCCGCTCGTACTGGTGGAGGCTCGAAGGCGCTTGATTGTGACGGCACTATCCCGTTCAGGTGGTGTTGCTGAGCTGGTTGCTGTGGGATGGGTCGAAGGATATGCCCATACGCTTGAGCTTCATCATCCGGTGCCGGTGCAGGTGGAACAGAAGTGAACTCTTCGACATTGCCTGGTTGAACATTGCTTGATACGTGAGTCGATGCCTGCGACTGTGCTTCACCCAAATCATCTTCTTCAACCTCTAACTCAATGTAGCTATCCCTTGTGACACCTTCCTCCACGATCTCTTCAAGAATGAACTCTTCTTCCTCTTCTCCCACCGCTGCTAAAATATTGTTTGAATCCTGTGCCGAACCTGCCGCTGACCCTGCTGCTGAACCTGCCGCTGAACCTGCCGCTGACCCTGCACCAGACCCTGCACCAGACCCTGAACCTGAGCCAGACCCGTTTGCGGACCCTGAAGCAGATCCAACGGCTGTCACCTGCTGCGAGCCATCTTCTACTATCACTTCTTCCTCAACAATTTCCTCAACAACTTCTTCTTGCTCTGCCCCCTGAGCTTGGGAAGCATCGGATACCGCTCCACTGCCTGCAGCTGAAGCGTCGCCACCTGCACTTGGCTGAGAGGCGCCACTTTGAGACGCAGCCGTATCCGATGGTGTTGCCCCGGACTGATCCTCAGACTTTGCCTTGCTGGGGGTACCGTCAGATACCAGTGCCGTGGCTACTTGAACCGGTCGAGAAGCTACCTCTGGCACAGCATCCCCTCCTTTCATTTCTTGTAGCTTCTTTTTCCACTCAGGGATGACCTCTTCTGATGGAGCAGGAGCTGGAACTGGAGACTCTTTGTGCTTCATTTCATTAAACTTTTTCTTCCACTCGGGTACGTCACCTTCTGACTTGTCTTGCTTAAACTTGGGTTCGACGGGGGACTCGGATTGGTGCTTAGATTGCATCGCCTTAAGCTTCCTCTTCCACTCGGGAAGATTTGCATCGTCTTCCTTGGATGACGGGTCTGAAGGGCGCCTCGAGGAAGCCGCCGGCTTGGCTTCGCCTTGGGAACTCTCGTCCAGTTGTTTGGATTTCATGGTTTGGAACTTCTTCATCCACTCAGGCACCTCCTCTTGCTGTTGCTGATCCTTGGATTGTTGAGCATGGCTTGTGTCGGTCGATTTGGACTGCATGGATTTAAATTTTTTCTTCCATTCGGGCACTGCCTCATCGCTGTCTGTGGTCCCATCATCCCTTCGAGCAGACGCTTGCATCACCTCAGGAGGCGGCCCGTGCCCCGGGGCTCTCCATGGCGGTATGGTGGAAGAGTCTGACGAGGAATCGTCTTCAGCCATGGTCAACCCTTCTCTCAACCATAAACTCGACAGCAACACTGTCTCTTGCTCTTGGAGTGAGAAAGATGTGACCGTCTCTTCGAAGGTATTAAAAAATTTGGCTCGACGAAAGGAATTAGATGAGAATAGATTTGGATATTTCGCAAAAGAGCGCCACAAAAAGATGATCATGTAAAATTGATTAGACTACTCTGGAGTACTGTATTCGGCAGCAAATCATCCACGATTGAACGTCGAGGGCCCACGACTTTGGTGCTACCAGGTAGCTAGTACCTGGTAGTACTAGTACTAGCTAGCTAGTACTGTAAACAACGAGTTCGAGGGTTCGAGGCAGGACTGGTGACTGTTGGCAACTAATGAAGAGCCCAATGATTCGATTCGATTCGATGCGGCTGAATGATTCGATTCGATTCATTCCATTCCACCCCATCCTCATCATACAGTAAAGTAATACAGTACTACTAGTATCGTAGTTCCCTCTAACGCATAGCATAGTTAACTTTCCCAGATACTCCATTGCATGCCATTCCATTACTTCGCTACTAGCTAGTCTAGCTGCCCTTCTTCAGCTTCATGTTCTTGATGCAATACTAGCAGCCCTGTACCGGTACTGGAGAAACGATTGACATGAACGAGCACAGGAACTGCTGAAGTAGTAGAGCTGGTAGGAATATAGGATACAATTATTATGATAGTAAGCGTCTTTCTGATTTCCCTGTACGCTGTAATTTCTAAACGTTGGTGGTACAGAATCGTTCACAAAGTTCCATATCTGCTCGGATAGCTGGCTAATACATCATTCCAGGCAGCTATAGAGATGACGCAATGACATTGCAAGATGTGCAGCAGGTCGGTATCGGACAGAGGACCCCAGCATGGTGCGTGGGACAATCTGTTACCAGATTTGTCAGAGATTGACCGCGAAGATTGCAGACGTCGATGGGAGGCCGACCTGTAAGCAGATTGCCATCAAGCGTCATGCTCACTGAGGAAGGAAGAGCGTGAGGTTGGGAAGCCCGTGACGGTAGTGGCAGAGAATTTGACGAGCGATTGCAAAGTCTATGAACGTACCTAAGGAGAATAAGCCACCGAGGGCCGATGGGATCTCGCCTGATAGTTGATTTCCGTCCAACTCCAAAGTTGCTGCGTAGCCAGTGCGAAACGAAGGCAACATGTTAGACTGGTTCAAAAACAGTGATCAACCTGGACTACATCCGCATTACGCACTCAGTTTGCTTAAGGATCCAAGTTCGTCTGGAATCTTTCCAGTCAACCCGTTTCCATGCAACTCCAGAGACGCTGCGATAATTGAGAGAGCACGATAGGGACACGATCGCGTTAGAAGTCTCCCTCAAGGATCGCACATTCTGTTCGGAACTGCCAATCACTTACTCAGTTCGGTGAGATTTCCTATGAAGGCAGGAATTGGCTTTCGAAATCGACTTTCACTGAGATCAAGGTGGGTGAGCTGTCTCAAAGAAACCAGCTCATCTGGAATCTTGCCGCCCACAAGCGTGTTGGCTATACCAAGTTGTTGAAGGTTGGTAAGCGCCCCATACTCGGAAGGGATCGGAGATCGAAGCATCGTACGGGATACTGATAGGTAGGTAAGATCAGTCAAAGCGCTCATGGCCGTGGGAATCCGGCCTTCAATTCCAACGTTGCCTTCGATGCTGAGCCATGCAAGTCTTGTGAGTTGAAAGAGCTCATTAGGAAGCTCAGATTCAAATTGATTTGACCCGAGATCCAGCTTCTTCAGATTCGCAAGCTGGCCCAGTTCTGACACAACGGGGCCACCAAAAGTGTTGCTTGCGAGACTCAGAGTGTCCAGCCGTGTTGCCACCCCGACTTGCGTCGGAATTGGTCCCACCAGGGCGTTCACGGCGAGGCTCATGCTGGTCAAATTTCCAATGTTAAAGAGCTCACCGGGGAGAGTCCCTGTCAGGGTGTTTGATTCGAATGACAGCATTTGAAGGCTGGTCAAAAGGCTCAGCTCTCGGGCGACCTGGATGGCAGCGTGCAAGACAGGAAACAGGGAAAGAGTCAGAAAAGACAGCAATGGTCGTAGAAAATCAATTCGGCGCAGCAAACTCACAGGTCCCACCAAGCCGTTGTTGTTGAGATTAACGAAGTCGATCAGTTTGGCATCTGCGCACTCCACTCCATACCATGTGCACACATTGACATCTTGAATCCAATTTTCCTGTGCAACCCAATTATCCCCTTTGGTTGAAAAGAACAGGTAGGCAAGGATGTAACGTTGCAGCAAGTCAATGTCATCAGCGCTGTTCACAGTTGCTAGCCATACGAGTGCTTGATTTGCAGGTTCACATGATTCAGGAGGGAGGTTCCAACTCGAATAGACATTGGGGACAATCCAGTTGTCTCTCAGGTTATCGTATTTGCTGCGTGTGTTTTCTGCCATCGTCGTGATGCTTTCGGTGCACATGCATTGGGAGATAACATGTGGTTGTGCTTGTCCTTCTAGATTGCAGTTTCCTGGCTGATACGGATCCATCGGAGTTGTTGGCTGCTGCCCCACAAAACCATCGTATACATCGTCTCCTTGGAAAATAGTTTCTGTGACGAAAGTTAAGATGAGGAGGACAGCAGCAACAGCGAGCAAGAGACAAAGGAGACCCACGCAACCGTAGAGAAGCGTATCCGATTTGTCGTCTTCTCCTCCTCTATCTTCCTTCACTGGCTCTTGATACACCATGATTTGGTTTTCAACATCCGCTCTTCCGTCTTCTAGTAGCAGGAGCTTGTGTTCTTCGTTCTCAGTTTCGATCGGTTCATCATCAAAAGCTTCATCAACGACCTCTTCATGGATATCGACAGGCCCGCCTCCTGGTAAATCCCCGTAATCCTCGTCGTAGACTATCTCCTCGTCAACCGCTTCGCCCTGGTACTCATCGGTGTACCCGTCTTGATCATATCCAGTCTTCTGCAGCTCTTGTCCCTCTGCTGAGTTCTGCTCTTCGTCTATCTCAGATTCCTCTTCGTCGCTTTCTTTATCAAACTCGCCACCTGACATGATCATCAGTTGTCCCTCTTCACCCCCTTCGTCGACAAAGGATTCTACGCCTTCTCCGGGTTCCACAATTTCCTCTTCTTCCTCTTGATCCAGCTCTTCCTCTTCTCCATCGACTGATCCAGGAGCCATAGGCATTAGCGATGGTACAGGCGCTCCCACCGCACCTTCCTCAACTTCTTCCTCTTCAACTTCTTCCTCTTCAACTTGCTCCTCTTCTATTTCAACTTGCTCCTCTTCTAGCGCCATGGCACTCGATGAAGGTTCGAAAGTCGAGGGTGATGGGGCTGGTGCAGGTGTTTGCGCGGACCCATCAATAGTTGCCTCGCTCCGAGGTATATTACCGTCGACAGCTGAACCTGGCTCTAGTTCTCGTTCTGCATCATCTCCGGTTTCAATCGTGCCATAGACAGCTTCAGCGTCCTCCTCAATGAGTTCCTCCTCTGTTTCGTCAATGATTTCGTCCTCATATTCGCTAGCTCCTAGCAGGTCCTGTGCTTCCGCGCCGCCTTGTGGCGAATCTCCTGCTACTTCCTCGACAATCTCTTCGTCGTCGTCCTCCACAACCTCTTCAGTAGTTTCACCGGCGGCTGGCGCTGTTTCCGTTTCGGCGACCGCTGCATCTTCCTCAACGACCTCGTCTTCGACGACCTCGTCCTCAATTACTTCTTCTGTTTCGCTTGTACCGGTAGGCTCAGGTCCAGGTGTTCCTGGAGTTTCCGCGGTTTCTTCTACAACTGCTTCAGCCTGATCAGGTGGGGCAATCGTGTCTGCAGGAGCCTCGGTCGGGGCTTCTCCCTGAGGTGCGACAGCTTCTTCAACTGGGGCAGGTGTCTCAGCATCAACACCATCTGTCTCTACTGCCGATGGACTTGTATCCTCTATTGAGGCATCAACAGTCGCTTCCGTTGGCTCAACATCAGGAACATGTGCGTTATCTGCTGGTATTTCTTGAGTCGGCGTTTGCACTTCTGCTGCGTCAGCAGGTGTTTCAGCCTCGATGGTAATCTCAGTTGGTGGTTCTGCTGTCGCTGGTTGTTCAGGCGCTGTTTCTGTAGCTGTTTCAGGGGGTTCGACAACAGGCTCTGGGGCTAGCGCAGCAACAGGCTCCTGCTCGACTGCTGGTTCAGGGATTGCCTCTGGGGCTGGGGCTGGAGCTGCTTCAACGGCCGCCTCAGGTGCGGACACTGGTTCAGGAACAGGGGATGGTTCGGGTGCTGCTACTGGTTCAGCTGTCTCTACTGTTTCTGGAGGTTTCTCTGGCTCAGTAGCAGAAGGAGCAGACTCTGTTTCTGCTTCAGGAGCTGGCTGAGCTGAAGGTTCTGGTGCTGGTTCTGTCTTTGGTTTTGGCTTTTGCCATGACCTCTTGACTTCAAGACCTGTTTGCTTCGTCTTGGCATCATCAGCTACGTTCGATAACCAGCCACGGAGAGCTGCCACTCCTGATGGAGCGGGGGGCGCTTCTTCTTCTACTGCTTCTTCCACTACTTCTTCTACCACTTCTTCTTCGACGACCTCCTCGACGACCTCTTCGACCACTTCTTCTCCCTCAGTTGCCATGGTCGGTGTTTCTTTCAACTTCTTGTGCTGAATTAATCTGTCGGGTCTGTGCCCTTCTCAACCGAGATTTCAGATTTCACACGCCCCTCCTGCAGTAATAGGCGAGCTCGAACTCTCCCATCTTGCAATGTGCGTCGATAAAATATGTTTCCTGGACAAAAATGTGGTCTTTCTTCGTCTACTAGCTAGAGCAAAACTGTCAAGGCAACAAACCAGCAGTGCTGACGAGTCGAGTCCACTCCCGCGATTTACACCGGATGTGTCGGCATTGGGAGATCGCAAGTTGGACCAAAGGGACAACCTCTCAGCATACAAGAACAACAAGGCCTTGCATAGTGACGGCTGTGGCGTTAGGTTGTCAATGGGCGATACCGGTACTTGTGCAAGCTCCGCTGAGCAAACGTGAAGTAGATACCTTTTCAGCAACACTGAGATGCATGCACCAAGGAAAGACAATTTTGCTTTGCGACAGGAAAGGAATCAAAATTGAAATCTAATGCTGTAGATAAGGATTCTTTACTGTGTCCATCCTCTAGGGAAGATCAGAACCTTGCACATTGCTTGTAATATTTGATGACCATTGCCACCGTAGCTAGATAGACCCCCTCTTGTCTCTCCTTGAAAGGTGATGAAGCCATATAGCTAGCAAATAGGCTGTGTAGACACCCAGGGTCATTTTCCCTTGATTTCCTCTTTTTGCTGTATGGCGTACCAGTCACAACGGGAGGGCGATGATAAAGAAGCTGAATTTGCAATTGCGGCGGACAAGAACAGAACGAGTATCGAATACCAAATACCTACTATCATTCTTGATTTGGAGTGGGAGGTTGTGTATTGCTGTCCAATCAACCTTCTTCAAGAAAGATCCAAGGCCTTGGCGGGTTTCCCACTAACAGCGAACCATTAGCTTTTAGATGACCCCAAACACACCGTTGGAGTCAAAGCTCTTGAGAAAAATCAGTAGCCACAGTCGCAGCGTCCTCGTCCATGACCCCCCTCCAAGAATATAATCCTTCTAGAAAGTAAGCAGCACTGTATACATTGTATACATGACACGCCGGTCCCAACACGGGGATTTCCTCGATGAGAACAGCCCAAAATCCATACCATTGAAAGTAGGAAAAGTGTTGCCAGACGGTTTGGAATTGTTGCAAAGGTCCAATATATCCCAAGCCCGACAATGGCACATAGACATAATCCCAAGCGACCAACCATCCCGTAAGGACGGCGGTCAAGAGATGTCCCACCACGGGGACAATGGTACACAATCCAGCCCAGCCCAAGCACCATGCAGTGAGGGATTTGACCACGTAACGAGTGCAAAAACCTTCGAAAAAGGACATTTTGTGCCACTCCAGAACTCCAGGATTGTTCTTGTGGTCCTTGCGCACCAGTCGGTCTTGAATGCCCGTTGTTTCGAGAGTGGCCATGACAAAGTTATCGTCAAACACCAGAAAGGCAATGGAATGAATCAGAGGTTGAAAGGCATATTCCAACAAGAAGGTGGCGGGTGCTAACAGGGCACCAATCCCAGATGCCACCAGTAAGGGAGTCACCACCGTCTTCAATACGGCATCCATGGCCAATTCCAACCCCAAGGCAATCCCAATCCGTACCACGGCCGAAAACAACAACATGGGTCGAGCCGACAGAAGCGCCAGCAGACCTTCGAGGCGATGTTGAGCCGGAGAGTCTTCGAATTCTTGGTCGATTGGGACGGACTGTCGTTGCCATGGTTTCTTCGTTTCACTGGGCGCCTTTGCCGCTGAAGCTTGAAGTAGCAGGGCAGTGACGACCAGCAGAAATCCTAGCAGCAATAGGAGGGGTCTACTTCTTTGTCGTCGACATTGTGTCGTCGCAATCACTTGACGAGAGTGTCGTTTCGTACAATTCTCCGTCATTGTCTAGGTTGCTGCTTCTCCTGACCAAGTGCCTTCTTCTTGTACAGTAAATAAATAAATAAATAATTAAATAAACAGTACTGTTGTGCTGCAGCGAGATCCGCTCCGGCGCCACTTGTGTACCGGTACCAGGTAGCGTCAATCATGCTACAGTTGTTTGCGTGAGGAATGGCAATTAGCTCTGCCACCTTTAAAAAAAAGTGCGTCGCGAATCCATCCTCGTCAGCAAGCAGCCTTAGTTTAGCATTTCTCTCTTGCATGCCACAAAAAAGGTCTTTGCCATAGCAACCAAGCCAGGGATCTCTTCTCTACTACCATAGAAGACATCTGCAGCTGAAGACTAGACCAGTAGTGGCCGTTCACAGCCAGAGAGAGTCAAAAGCTGAAATAGACTCCACTTGATTTGCCTCTTCTTTCTGCCATTGTTTCAGACAGTGGGCGTTTGTGCCACAAACAAGGTCTCTTCCATAGCAACCCAACCAGGGATCTCTTCTCTACTACCATAGGAGACATCTGCAGCTGAAGACTGGAGCAGCAGGGGCCGATTACAGCCAGAGATAGCCAAACGCTGAAATTGTATTTTCTTTCAATTCTATTGCACCACCATGCCACCCAAAGGTCGTTCCAGGGGAAGGACTGGTGATGATGGCCAAGGTGGTACTAGAAGCTCTCGCCAAAGAAGGCTCAGCCCCAAAGCAGTTGAAAATGCTCGAACAGCAGAAGCTCGCCAACTCGAAATTCAGGCACAGGAAAAGCAACGGGAAAAGCTTGCTACTAAACGTGCCGATGGAGTGTCCGTTCCAGGTCGGCCGCCAAAAACTCACCGTCGTTCCAGCCAGTCAACAAAAAAAGTCATCTCAAAGCTCTGATTTAGCTGCAGCATTGAGTTCATTATCTGATAGCGAACAACTCCAGAATAAATCCACCGAATCGACCGAAACCGAAGCACCGGACGAGTCGGCCACACCTGCCGACAAACGTGGTTCTTCCACTGCCAGCACAGCAAAGTCTAAGGCCAGAAATGGGTCCCCGAGTTCTTCTGAGAGCGGCTCGTCCGAGGAAGATTCCATATCTACCCCAAAACAACTCAAGCAGCAAAATACCAGTAAATCAACTGATGATCAATCCTCCGCAGGAACAATTGACGGTGACAGAACAATTGACGGTGACAAATCCCCATCTTCGGCAATAGACAAGGAGCCCGAATTCAGCGAGGAATCATTCGAAATCGAAGATCCCAAGGTCGTACTGCAAGTGTCCATGCATACGACTAGGAGAAGTCCACAGCCACAATTCAGCAGCAAAAATACTCCCCTTGTCAACTCTAATCCAACCGACAGGAAAAAGCCAGACGAATTTGATTTGGATATTTCCTACACTTCTGACTGGGCTATAGTTCGAGAAGCTATTGGTGCTGCTGTGCAACAGCATTCAGGCAACCAATGGGTTGTACAGGATGTTGGTTTGGGGGGTGCCTATTTTGTTCGGAGCAATCAAATTAGACAAAGCACCAATTACATTGACCGTAATCAAAACGATCTCAATTCGAGTCCATTCAAAACCACTCAGCCAACAGCCATCCATTCCGACTATGATTGGAAGCACATACTTCGAACATGTTCTTACATTCAAATCGATGCGGCGAACGAGCCAGAAATATTGTACATCAATGTCCTCTGCACTGTTGTACTCTACAAGGCTCCAGCAATCAAAAAGGCTCGCAGAAATAGCCACGGTGAATCCACCGTGACATCTCAAGATGACGAAGAAATTAGTCAAACTGCAGATGCACTACAACTGCCTTTCGGCCATGATTTGACAGTGGTATTCTCTCTTATGGGTCCTACTAGCAAAGTGGGAAAATCTGACTATAAGTGTGAGAGACGACCAGCTGTCCAAGAGATCGAAAAATTCACCTTGGCTCCTCCGTTTACGGTTGAAGAGTTGCAAGAGATGGACGATGACGCAACGGAAGTAGCTCGACATCGATTTGGGAATATCCGCCGCCTGTTGATGAACCATGCTTTGGATTTGCCTACCTACAAAGATTCCAAGGGCGCTGTTATTGTTGGCGAGAAGTCTTGTGTATTTATCCAACCGAAATCGAATCAAGCTGATGTCATCAAATGTGTCAATACTCAAGCTTTCTGGGAGACTCACATCAAGAAATGCTACGATAGATTGTCCAGAGCAGCCAAAACCAAGAAGACGGTTGCAATCAGCGTTTCGATTGGCAAAATGAATGCTACCGACATTGTCTATGAGGGTAGCTCCGATGTTGACGATGCGGCAGAGTTGACACAGAACTCCAATTCTTTTGAGTCTCCCGCACAAAAAAAGAAGGCCAAATCTGCCAACCAAACACGGGAGCAACAAATGACGTCACCACAGGAAATGGAAGACTTCATTTGGAAGAATCACGCCAACCCCGAGTCACCATGGTATCACAGTTTCACACTGGAGCATTACCAGCGGATCAAGATTTTCTTCATGGCACAATCAGAGAAAATGTATGAGCGTTACTCTTGTACTGCGGGTGATCTCGAAACATGGCCTCCGCTCAGTGAATTGCCCTCCGATGTCACAACCAACGGCGCTAAGTATGCAGGACAAATTGCCAAGAAAGGAGCCTATCCATCAGAGTCAAACGTTCCTGGCTCTTACAAGCGCTACAAGCTGACACCGGATGAAGAAAAGGAACGAGATTTTCAACGTAGACTCGACACAATGAAAGCCTGCTTCCAAGGCGGAGGAACAACAACCAATAATTTGTCGAGTGGCAGCAATCGTCCCACCAAATTCAACATACGATTCTACCGAGACCGAAACGACAGTATTGAGCAGTGCGAGTACATTACAGTGCCTATCACCCCAACCGACAGCGACCCGATCAAAACTTTGGGGCAAGCATTTGACAGCCCAGCTATTCGGCGTGGAGTTCGATCCGACTTCACATTGGAGGAAGTGCAGCAGGTCCATCGAAAGGAACTAGAACTGGTGGTTGAATACATCAATTCTATTTCCAATCAAGTCTATCATTTATACTCTAGGGAAGAGTTTGCCAGAACATCAACAGGTGAGTTCTACCAAAACGGTATTGCACGCAACAGCACTACTGGAGAACCAGATAAGGGTGCTATCAATCCTGTCTGCTTCAGAGTGCGTCTCCGAAAGAAATTCTCTATCAGTGCTGAGACCTCCTTGTAGCTCCCTAGTAATGCATTAGTATATATTGATTACATGAATTTATTAGTATATATTGCTTATAACAATCCATCCTCGGAGTCGCTACCAAATAAAAGTTCATGGCAGAGAATCAGTCGAGGAGGGAGGACAGCTAGAAACAAGAGCTCGTTTTCTTCCTTTTCTAGCTGTTGTTCACGGTACCAATCTGCCATTCCAGGAACCTCACACTTGCGGAAGAACGTCTTGGCCATATCAGGAGTGACAGCATTCAAGGACCAATAATGATTAGCCGTCCAATGATTTGATGAATCGTAGGATAGACGTTTGAGAGAGTCCTTGTAGATTTTGAACATGTTCTCGATTGGATTGAATTCAGGGCTGTATGGTGCAGTGAGCACCATAATGGCACCAGTATTAGCAATCAGCTCTGTGATCCGATCGGACAAATGAATGGAAGCATTGTCCATAACAACTATAGAGTTGGGTTCACCGTCAACAAAACTCCCAAGCGCTGGCACCAAAAAATGCTCGACCCAATGTTCAAATCGTTCCGTGTCAACCGTTCCTCTATCTGGATTGTTGTCTCTGTTGCTGGTTTCTCTTTCCACAATATGGCATGCACTGATCTCAAAGCCGTTCCAATTGCAGGCTGCAATCAAAGTGTACTTTCTGTCAAATTCTCGTTCCATTCGGGATGTAATGACGGGAGTGACACCTCTAGGGGACCAGCCTCTTCGTCGCCTTGATGCCTTGGTACTTCTAGCTGTTTCGTCAACATAAATGAGCTGGCTGGGATGCTGTACATAATCGTTCATTCGAACATGAAATCGAGCCACTTCTGTCAGCGATTGTTGCCTGGCTTTGTGCACTGCAGTTTTGAGGGAATACCCAATGCGTTTGCTGTGTAGATGTCGCCAAATGGTGCTAGTTGTCCAGGCTTTGCCAGTCCTGGCAGCCAACCGTTCTTGGATTTCGTCTAAATAAAGCTGTGGCTCTTGATCCACAATATCCTTGAGGATATCCTGGTCTGTTGTGGTGAAATCTTTAGGATTCAATGTGCGCAACCCCTTGATGGTAGTTCTGTGTTCTCTCCTGGCTCTGACAGGAGCTTCTCCAAATTTCTTGTAGTAGGAAATCCACCGTTGTAGCTGCCTGTACGACACCTGGAAACCACAAGTTTTCCTCACTTCTCGCAGGAGGGTATTAGCATGCTTGTATTTTCTTTTGGATCCAATTCCATAGGCATATAAGTCAGATCCCATGAACTCGCAAGCCCTATTGATAGCAGCTTCTTGAATATTCACATCATTGATATTCATTCCAACTGGGCGATTGGTCTTTGAATCTTTGATGGTGGCTCTTGCCATTGTGGTACAATTGAAAGAAAATACAATTTCAGCTTTTGGCTATCTCTGGCTGTATTTGGTGCCTGCTGCTCCCGTCTTCAGTGCCAACTGTTGCTAGTAGTAGTAGAGAATAGATCCCTGGCTTGGTTGCAATGGAAGAAAGCTTGTTTGTGGCGGACAAGGGACACAGCTGAAATGGCAGAGAAGAAGAGGCAAATCAAGTAAAGTCTATTTCAGCTTTCGACTCTCTCTGGCTGTACAAGCCTTCTACTGCTCCAGTCTTCAGCTGCAGATGTCTCCTGTGATAGTAAGGAACACAACAGTATGCTGGATGCCTTGGTGGAAGGAGTCTGTGTGCCAAACAAGCCATGCAATTGAAACTCAATCAGTACGGAGCGATTTTCAACTCGACTCGACGCTCGAGCGATGCACTTCTTTTTTTTTTAGGTTGCAGAGCTAATTGCCATTCCCTGCGCGAACAACTATACTCCACGGCAAAAATGCGGACAGATGCAAAAATGAGGCGGACAGATGCAAAAATGAGGAAAACCTCCCGAACACTTTGGAAACACATTTGAATTTACTACTTAACATCCCTAAGAGCATGGCTGGAGGATGATTTTGTGATCAAAAAGCAACCAACTTCTGGTTACCAGATCTCAGTCAATATCCAACCAATTGACATAGTTGTTGAATGGTATTTGTCAGCAATAATGTTGTTTTGAATGACATTTTCTTACTTTGTTGAGATAGTGTAGTTGATAGTTTCATATTGGGTGTTTACATGAAGGGGTCATTTTTGCACCAAATATTTCTAAATGTGAGGGTGTATATGTTGCAATGGGTCTTAATGTCAAGGTGTAAAGGCTGACTGATCTTCACTCTACTAGTTGATGTTAGGTTGCCCGGTTTCTTAAAACTAAGTAGTAAATGAGGACTGTCCACATTTGCGCTCCGGAGTAGCATGGTCCCAGCAATTGGGTGTCGATTGTGCTGGTGTGATCTTTCATTCATGAAGGAGAAAGATCACGCTCATTCACGAGTGAGTTGAGTCGCGGCACGGAGAGGCGGTATGGAGGAAATGCGCCTTACCGACTGTCAATTTCATTCCTTTCGCCATGGTGGACAAGTCGTACTCGGTCGACTTCTATTCCATGTCATCGTTCATTCCTTGCCTCTTACGGTTAGTTTGCTTCTCTGTCTGCTCGCACTCTGGCCCATTGCCCTGGTCCCATCTATCCTGCATTCCTTCAGGAGGCTGTTGCAACCCGAAATTGCCCATCACTTTCTGCCTCTCTTGGTAAAGGACGTTGTGGCTTCCGTCTATGTCCATATGCCATGCATTACAAGAAGCGTCTTCCTGTATGCAAATATCCCAAGAAGCAGACCCATGTCATGGATGTGGATGACACCGACGATGATGATATCAACGTTGAGACGATCGAGGATGGTGAGAGAGTGCGATGAAGTCGAGGAGACGCCTGGTGAGACTGAGGTCAATGATACCCCCGTGGTTCAGCGTATCTACTACATGTAGCTAGCTATCTCTAGCCCGTACAGTACCATCTGGGCCTAAAAAACAAATGGACTTTTCTAACGTTTATTAAGCCAGCTGTGCAGTGATAGCTCGGCAGAAAGGCTCCCGTCAGATGCCCGTTGCCATAATAAACCTCAGCTGTCTTGCTGCAAGAGATCTCAGCCTCACAGACCATTCTTTAGTATGAAAACGAAGGCAAAAGAACCTTATACAGCAGCAGGGCAGCAAACACCCGGACACATCATTGGAAGTGACCAGCAGCGCAGAGATCTCTGCCTAACTGCACTAATGATCACTGCCTAGAATGCTCCAGCCTCAGCAAGCTCCAAATCACCAGCAGCCATGACATCATAGACGCAATGATCCTTTTGGTCTCCCCAGTGTTCACAGACCTTCTCGGCAGCAGTCTGGGCAATCGATTCACCAAGACGACGGCCCGCCTGTTTCAAGCTAGGCATATTGCAAGTGACCGGATGCTGTGGAACCCTGCTTGTTTGGAATAGCTTGGGCTCACTTTCCAAAACCTGCCATTCATTTCCAAAGGCATCAGCATCTGTCAGGGCAGTTCCATTGCGGGCAAGCCACTTGCCAGTCTTGTAGTCTCCCAAAAGACCCTTGCTATTTTCATACTCCAAAGGGGTGGCACCAACTGTTTTGATGCTGAGAAGGTCCTTGAAGGATTGGATGACAATCTGCATGCCTCTGCCAAGCTCAATCACAAACATATCCTGCTTGGAGCTCTTCTTCTCGTGCTTGATAGAGTATTTGTCAAACTTGTCCAGCTCCGCATTGGAGCTTCCATTCACCATGTAACCACCATATTCGCCAACCTCCAAAGTGTCCTCCCCAATGCGAACAGCAGCAGACTCAATGTAAGAATACTGATAGCGCGCCTTTGTCCTAATATGGATGTCCAATCCGGTTCCCTCATCAAACTCGGGGCTGCTGATAAAGACCATGTCACACTCTCCATGGAAGTCATACCATTCATTCACCCATGTCTAATTACAAATGGAGGAGAACTATTCGTTAGTCCACAAAGAAGTTTCATCAACTGGGCTGATCGTGGCTTGCTGAGTCGTACCTTGAAGTGTGGGTCCCCTATACCATAAGCAGCCCGAAGCTGCGCTTCCGAATAACCCAGGGAAATGTGCAACTTGTAGGTGGAACCATTTGGAATAACCCTCCCATCACTGGTGTGGGGGAAGCCACAACATTCGGTCACGGCAATGATGTATGTGCCAGGAGCAGCAAAGGTGTGGGTCAAGTAGAAGTCATAACTCGGATTTCTTGAGCCACTTGCGCCAGGATCAGAACAGTTTGAGTCATTAAAATCAATGTAGTTTCCGTTTGAGTCATACAAAGTGAGAAATGAATCATAGCTGTCCGGACCCAACAAATCACCGCGGTCCGGACCCGTGGTATGGTCCACATCAAAGATGGAAGCAATCATTCCTGGACTGGGGACCACAAACGAGTAAAAGTCAAAAGTACCATCTCCAGTACCCTCAATGGTCTCCCAAGGAAGAGTATCAGAGTTTGAAATAATAGGATTGTACCCAAGAGTGAAGGCCGCGACAGGGATTTGCTGCAAGGTAAAAAGTAGAAGGTGAACGGGAGTGGAAGGACATATGATTTAGATTGATGACAAGAGCGAGCACAAACCTGAGCAGTGTTGATGTCGTTGTTGGGTTCTTGTTCTTGAATGACAGAAGCATGAGCCACTGTCACAAGAGTCACAAATCCAGGGATGGTCCAGGAAAACTTCATGGTTGCCGGTGGTAAGATGAAGGAAACGATGGAGTCCAGCGCCCTTCAGAATTGAGATTGTGAGGAGTGAGGCCTGGAAGGCAGCAGATATTAGAGAAAAGCATCAATCGCTGAAAGTCGTTCCAATTCGCGCTGCGCGAGTTTCCCGCGATTCGCGTAGCGTGCATAGAACAAATGGCGCGACTTTACTGCGACTTTGCAGCGTCTTCGCGCAGCGCGACTTACCGCGAATCGCGAACGACTTTTGGATTCGCGCAGTGCGACTTACCGCGAATCGCGAACGACTTTCCCGCGACTTGCGGGAGGCTCGTGGATGGGTTCAGTCCAAATCGGCTGCCTTCCTGGAGCTTTGCCTTTCGCGCGTGTCGAGATGTCACTGTCTCGTTAATTAATACTGTATACTAGCTAGTATTGGATGCACGTTGTCCATTTGATAAAGGTTTATCTTACTTGAACATTGACTGGGTGAAGCAATGGAACTACTGTACTGATTACAGACAGTACGGACCGGAGTACGGCTGTACGACTGTATGAGATCCGATGTGCTCTTATTCCAGAGATCGAAGAGTGGTACAAAACAATCTGCAGGGATTTTGACTTGGCTACTTCAGCAGCTGCAAGGACATCAAAGCGGTTGTACACCAAAAAAGGAATGGTGGCTTCTATTCGATGGGACGTGCAAAGCTGTATCGTGATGCTAGCCACACCGGAGTTGCACCCAAGAACTTTTAAACTACTGCCCAACTCCAACAACCTGAGTGTGTTTCAACGATACCGGAACGACAGATTTGCTGTTCTGTTAAACCACTCAGCATTCCATCTACCAGCATTCTCACTGCTGGAGCAGTCAATTCTCAGTCGACTGAAAGCCAAGGACACAATCGACTCCATGTTCAGTGTTGAGAATCCAGATAATTTATCCAACATGGAACAGTTGCTAGTCCGGTATGTCAGCGGTCCCATTATGCAAATGCAACAGTAGCAACAGGCAGGTTTCTCAGAAATTCGACAAATGCAGAATCATTCCAGTTCCTTCGCAGCAGCCAGCAGAGGACCTACAGAGAAGGGAAGTGTTGCCATTACTCCTTCCCCCACGTCTGCTGGCAAAAGAAACAGCAGCACCCTAGCTGATGGAGTGACTGCAAGGAAATGACAACCACCGGTGAAACAGCATGAGTCCATATCTCAAGAGCTCAGAAACAGGACAAGCAATGGTGAGACTAGGAAGCGTCAAGCCGAGATGGTTGTTCTCTGTGCAATGACTGCACTACTTTTGAACAGCATTGGAAACACTACTGCAAGCACTATCGACAATTAGAAAAGGAAACTGGTGGTCGTTGGAGGCAGGATTTGGGTGGGCGCCAGAGGACACAGTGGTGGACCCAGCGAAGTGGCATGTATCGATTGATGGAGTTCTATCTTGAATCTGGACTTACAGAAGAGGAAGCATTGGAAAAGTGCTCTGCAATATACGATTCGATAGAGAAGGGAAAACGTGCTAAGAAGCCAAGGGTTAAGGCCATCGACAAAGCATTCAAAGCCAAGTTGGCGGAATTGGGAATCAAACCAAAGGGTAGGCCCAAAGGCAAACAATCCACCACTACTGCTAAGCAATGTACTGGAGCTGGAGCTGGATCGCCAGACACAAATGAACCTGACCAAACCACAAGGAGGAGAACAGCTGCTAGGAGAACTTCACCGGAAACCACTGAGGATCAATTTGGGGACGTATTTGGAGCAATTGTGGACCAGAATCCCTTCACTCGACAAATATTTGATGAGGCAATGCAGGAGTCAGAAACCCGGAGACAACAACGTTTAGAGGAAATTCAAACAGCAAAGGACCAGCAAAAGAGATACAATGATGAACAGAGGTGGCTATATGCCAACCGGAATTTACCTCCTGGTGTGCCAATACCCCCTATGCCACCGGGATATGGTACATTGCATGCACTACCCTGGAGACCATATGAGGGACAGCCGGAAATCCAACTGCCAAATGGGCATCAGTATGCAGCACTGCCAACTACAAATTGAAAAGTATGTACAGAATTTTAGGTAATGACGATGTTAGTAATAATTATTAATTTCACGGACAATTAAAATGTTGGATCTCTGAAGCATTGTTTGCTCCCCTCTGTCGATCCGGCAAATGTACTGTATTTTGAAAATCTGCATGAAAGGTATCTCGTCCTGCCCTAATCAACCAGGCATGGCGTTGCATAGGTACCATGATTTGCCCCTTGCCGCGTTCCTCGAGTTCCTTTCCGAGATCAACAGGGTTTCCCTGCTCATGAGCATGCACTTTAGCCACCAAACCCAGTGTTTCAATGACGTGGCCGTTGCTGGTATCGCAGTGAGCCGCCACTGGCTCAAAGTTCACTAGCTGACCAATCTGCAATACATACTCGATAACCAGGCACTGAAAATCAGACAGGTTGTGGTCTATTTCTTGCTGCCACTTATCTTTGTTCTGAAGATAACTGGGCCAGGCATTATTAAAATGCTGCCAGACTTTGACCTTCTCGCCATTATCCAAGCTGTCAGGGAATCCGTCAGGCACACCGTCAACCTGCAAAGAGGTGATTACCAGTTGGTACTTCAGTCTGGAAATGTACTGGGCAATCATGCTATTCCGGTAATGTGGACGTGTCTGCATCCATTTGCGCTTCATGGCTGATGTCACTTTCCTACCAGCAATGTCGGCCGACATGTCTCGCGAACAGGCTTTGCCTTTTTTGGCCCGTTTGCTTCCCAAACTTTCATACCGTAGTGTTGGATTGATTGCTGTTCCTGTAGGCGCATGGCCCCAGGTTCGATTCACCTTGGTTCCCTTGCTAACCATGGTCGGGTTTAGATGATCCTGATCAGTTTCAAAGACCTCGACTGGTCCTCCAGCTGAGCCACTGCGCCTGTATGTTGTTAGTTTCCCAACAGACAAATCTGTGATATCCCTTGATCTTTCGATCAGATCTTCATACATGGTTGCAACTGTATCCAAACCAGCATGGTTCCACTTACGGATTCCTTTGGAAGGATAGACCGGCCAGTAGGCCACCTGCATAATTCCAGTGTCGTCAGCCTGAAATACCAAGTTTTGGGGGAACTGGAAATCTTTGGCAAAGAAACCTCCAGTGATCGAATCAATTTGGGTTTTAAAATTGTTGTTGTTGTAATCAGTGTCTATTTTAGACAATCTAATTTTAAGCTCATACGGCATCACCCGCTCCCAGCCCTTCAATTTGGAGGGATCGAATCCATTCCAGAAGGGCCGATTCACTTCCAGAGCTTTCTCCATATCTATTGCAATAACTTGTGCTGTTGGCAATTTTGAATACAAAAGTTGGTTGGCTATTATGTCCAGTTGATTGCATTTGGATTCAAACCTTCGGTAAGTCTCCTCATTGGCTAATTGTGCCATAGTTTTTCCAGCTGTTGTGACTGTTGGTGGCCTGTCACTCACTGCAATAATTTTTGTTGGAGTAGTTGATGTCATGACTGCATCTTGCACGGCAGCCTGTTGTTCCAGATATTTCTTGACCCTCCTTCCAAAATTATTGGATGTAGTGGGCACCTGGTACTGCCGGACAAATGCAGCATGCTGAAGGCTCGGATTCTTCTGGCTAGCAGCCAACCACTTGATAATGAAGGGATCAAGTATCTCATTGGATAATTTGGGAACAGATTTCCTTTGTTTCTTCCCCTCTGTGGCAGGATCATGGCAAACATCATGACTTGGGGGATGGCTCGGTAAAGCACTGGGATGGATGGAGGGAGATGGAGATTTGCGTTTGCCTTTCCCATTCTGGAGATTCCCATTCTTGAGATTAATTTGGATTCGGAGCATGGTGGATGATGGCCTTCAACCGTGTTTTGTTTGGCTTGGACGATGTGCTGTTCAACAGCATGGACAGCATGCAAACCAACAGCACGGCTACAGGCAGATTTGCTGGCAATCTCAGTACTGCTGAATGCCGAGTCCTCCTTGGTTGAATCCTTCCTTGATTTAGTACTGGCTTGTACAGGTACAAAATTCCAGAAAATTCAGTCTGTAGTGGTTCTGTGGGGTTTCTACTAGTAACCGGTGCATTAGCATTGTCATTGGTCTCTCCTATGGTCTCCATCATGCTTCCATGCTTTCTTTTGGCGGCAAACAAGAGTGGTAGCGGCGGATTTGCTGCTGTGGCGAAATTTGGCCATTTTGGATCCATTTGGCCACTTTGGGGCCACTGTGAGACTTTTTTTACATGGTGGTTAAGCCCGGTAAGGGCTCAGGTGAGGTCAGGGGTTCAAATTTGACTATTTTTGCACTTTTTAAAAAGTTTTTTTGGGACTTTGCTCTGAATACCAGGTCAGATATAACAAGTAAAAAAGCCTTAATGCTTAGTACATTGGTGTCTTTTGGTGCCTGTTGCTGTTGTTTTGGGCTTCGGCAGCAACAACAACCATGATATCAGCTCCCATGCCAAAGCCATGCTGCCGACCCACTACGAAGTAAGTATTGAGAATGAAATACATAAAAAGGAACTAGTTTTAGACTACTAAAGATGTCCTTGATGGGTGGCCAAACTGATACCGAAAGGGGTACTTTCAGAGGTCAATTCTGAAGAAGTCGCCCTCGCACGTCTATTGCTGCGCCGACTTTGTCAGTTTCAGCAGTCCACTAGGGCCTGCTATAAGGATACACTTGCACCTGAGTCCTGCCCTCACAGGAACCTTCATTGTCCAGTAGCTTATGCACTACTAATTTCACGACCTGGCTGTCATCATGGTAGACCAACCGGTTCATTCCATCCAGCACAAACTTCAGCATATTGTCAATGTCAGGAATGATTGGTCTCACAAAAGGAACTGAATTCTTGAGAATGCCCATCAATCTCCTACTGCCTTTGAAGTCAGTATTGGGTCTCCTCATCCAAAAGTGCACCTCCACAGTTACCGGCACACCAGTAGGGAACACCACTCCACTGGCTGTAGCTGGAACCAGATCTTTCACTGCTTGCCTGAATGATTGCTTCTCTTTACTTCCTGGATGGTACAGACCATACTTGCTCAATCGCATCCTCTTCTCAGGCAATGGCTTGCCTGGGACTTCAAAGCTGACCCTCACGGGCTCTTCTGTCAAGTCAACCACTTCCGGCATGGCTGCTTTGTTGTGATGGTTGCACAAACATGTTCAGTCTGTTTTGGGATAACACCGAACAGCCTTTGGGAGATCTTCTGTAGCTACAGAGGAGCCATTCGGTGGGGTTGGGATGACTTTTATTTGTGCATTCAAAATATTTGCTGAAAGAATGGGATAACTTCCCACAGCCACAACACTGCATGGCACTGCATGGCACCAGCAAAGGAAAGTTTGCCAGAAGGCTCTTCGGCAACACTCAACTGCCTGGTAAGGAACAGTGTGGAACATCTCTGCTGACAGGTGCTGTTCTTTTCGGTGATGTTCAGGAATGCTGGGACTATGTATTTAAAAGGGGGGGTGGAGCATGCATAGGCAGGCTATGCTGGCAGCATAAGTACAAGCTGCCGGTGCTCTATCAAGCTCCCTGGCTTGGTCCCTGACTTGGAGCCAAAGCACACCGGTTATATAATATCTACATGATGAATACTTTAAAAACCAGAATGTCACCCCAACTGTTACTAGAGCCACCTTCTTCTCTGATGAAGCCATCTAGCTATGTAGACACCCAGGGTCTCTGTTTGCTGCATGGCGATGGTTCAAGCTGAAAATGCAAGCAATGTTACAGTAGTTCCTGTCTTTTTAAGCCGGTTGATCTGATCCGCTGCACTTCGTCTTTCGAGATTTCCCTTCCGCCAGATTTCAGGTTCGGTTTCTATCACATTTTGTTCTTCTTACCGGTACCGGTACAACGGCGGGTTTAGATTCATTTTATTGGTTCCATCGCGATGATGATGCTTCTCGTCGGAGCAAGGCATCATTTACGATCGATCGGTCTGTTGCGGGCTACCTTATTCTTCTCCAGTGGCAACTTGTTTCTACTACCCGCCGTTGCTTTGTCGATACGGGGACGACCTCTGCATTCCACTACCATGAGCCAAGAATTAGTGCGAGAAAAAGATGTCTCTACCGATACCGCCAATAGTAATGCCTGGTGCTGTACTGCCCTGTGGGATTCCACAACCCAAAAACCCATACTACAACCCATTATCACTACTAGTACTACTAGTACTAGTACTACTGGATACCATGATGACATGGATGATGATATCAGAAGAAGAAGAGACACTTTGGTAGTCAATGGACTGGATCTCACTACAGCACCCGATTGGATGGAATGGATTGCAAGTTGCGAGGACCGAGATTCCGATGAGGGAGGAGCTGGAGCCTATGACACGATGAGATGTGATTTGATTGTCTTTCACAAGGGCGAAGAAGCGACGAACGGAGACAGACGACACTCTTGTTGGGGAGAAGACTTTCATTTGGATCGACTCCAACAGTCTTATCTGTCATTGCTCGAGTCGCCACAACGGGACCAAAAAGTGCCCACAGACCAAACCCTACAAATGGCACGAGAAGAATCCAAATTATTGCTGCAAGCATTGATACGAGAGGCAAAGAATTCTTGTGCTTGCATGGGTCTTTCTGCGGCCAGCTTGCAGCAGCAACAACAACACGACAACAACCCCCATCAAACTTGGATTCAAATCCTCAAACTGACCTTACTATGGTCCATTCCCAAAACTACTAGACAGCAACAACAAGAGTCATCCATTGTGGTCCGTGGTCATGCTTGTTCCAATGGCAAGTTGGATTCCGTCTTTCAGCCCGTCCAACCCATTGTGGTCACGGGGGCCATACTAAAACAACAGAATCATGATGTGGACAAAGACCTACTACCTACTCGTTTCCAAAACCCACAAAGCAAGGTGGCGTCATGGTGCAAACAGCGCAAAAAGATGGACAATCCAGAAACCTACAAACCACCCGGAGTGTCTGAAGTTCTCATGCTCAAGCAAAATAATGACGACTCTTTGGAACTACTGGAAGGACTCTCTTCCAACGTCTTTGTCGTCTACAAAGATGGCACATTACGGACGGCTCACAAAGGAGTCCTGTTTGGGTATGTCAGACATTTGGTCCTGCAATTTGCTGACAAGTGCAATCTGCAAGTGGATACCACCAGCGCTACTCTACAAGATGCCGTAGATGGCAAATGGTCCGAAGTATTCATTACTTCCTCGTCTCGCTTGATTTATCCCATTAGTCGCATTCTTCTGCTCAAGAAGGTGGACGATGGTAGTGGCGGATTTGAAGAATTCTGGCGAGATCCGAGGCTGACGGCGACAAACGACGAGGGAGCTCTTTCGCCGCCACTACCAAAATGGCAGGAGTTGTTGGAGGAGATTCTTCGAAGTGCGGGTTACGAAAAGTAAAAGCAAAGAAAGTGTGTTGCTAGGTACAATCCACACTCGTGTCCTGCCTGCTTGGCTACTGTGTGAAAGAGCCAATCTCTCCAAACCTCTTCACTTGTGCTCAACTATTATTAGTGGACTTCATAGGACGGGCAGACAAAGCCATAAAGCCTGTCCCAGCGACTCCTAGCTACTGGTAGTAGTCTGCATGGATACGGTAGCACATCAACTCCATCGCAAGATCATGGAAAATGAATACTATATGCTTCCGATTCTTTCTACTGTCACCACAACAAGTTGTTATAATACACCGCCGTTGTCGGTATCGCAACAGCTATAGCTGCCGTGCTATGGCACTGGTTCTGGTGCCGCTGTGTCATCCTTTTGAATGCCGACACAAGCAGAACAACAGGTTGGTATGGGACACACTACCCCAAAGTCTCGGGTTGGACAGTCAACCGTAAAGTTCGCCAAGGAGGCTTGTTGACTTAGCAAGCAAATCTGATCTGGGGGGTGACCCGTTAGTTCGGGGTTGCCTTGTATGGTCAATGTATCTGTGGAGTTTTACGACGGAAGCCGGGAGAATGAATAGAGGATCAGGAAAAGAAACAATGACACGTTCAGCATCTGCATGATATACGTACCGAGCGATGCAAGATTTCCCAGCTCGCTTGGAAGAGCTCCGAAGAAGGTATTGTTATGAAGTTCCAAGGATCGTAGTTGGTTCAGGGTTCCAAGCTCAGAGGGGATCAAACCTTCGAGCTCGTTGTTACCCAGCATAAGAGCGGCTGCAAGAAAGAAGGTGAAAAGATGAAACTCTTAGTCCAAACTGTGTCATTCCTGCAAGCAAGTAGCCTGAGCATCACCAAGAACTTACACAAATCACTAAGATTACCAAAGGTGGTTGGCACTCCCTTGCGAAATCTGCTTCCTGTAAAGTCAACAATGGTGAGTCTGGACAGCTGTCCAAACTGAATTGGGATTCGCCCACCAACACGAGTGTTGGCAATCCTGATCTCTTGCAGGTTGACCAGACTTCCATACTCGGATGGGATTACGGCCCGTATCTTGGTGTTGGACAACGACAAGGATTGAAGATTCGTGAAACGACCGTATTCCGTAGCGATGCGTCCCGTCAAATCGTTGTTTGCCTCTAGGCTCAGGGACTGAAGTCTGGTCAGCAAATTCAACTCTGTAGGGATGGTACCCCGGAATAGATTGGAATTCAATCGCAAATTCTCGAGTCCGGTAGCCAGCCCAATCGTTGTAGGTATGCTTCCTGTGAGCTGGTTCATTCCCAGAGTCAGCGTTCGCAAAGATGCCAAGGAGAAAAGGTTGGATGGGATTGGCGTTTTGACGGTATTTTGGTCAAGCGAAAGGGTGCTAAGCTGAGTCATGAGGCCGAGCTCGCTAGGGATCTGAAGGAACGAGAATGTGGTCAGAAAATCACTCAACCAAGCAGCAAATAAGGCGACCATACACATACCGCTCCGTTGACTCCGTTTTGAACCAGCTCAATCTGTTGAAGATTTGAGCCTGAGCATGTTACGCCAAACCAGTTGCATTCAGAAGTGTCTGACATCCAGTTGGTCGTCGTTCTCCAGCCAGTGCCAGTCGTTGAATAGTGAAAGAGGGCCAGAGTGAATCGCTGCGTCAAGACCAAATTGTCAGTGATTGCTGGTCCCGTAGACAGCCAAAGCAAGGCCTGATTCTCCGGCTCGCATGATTCAATGGGGAAGCTCCAACTCGAATAGACGTTTGGAACAATGAACTCTGTGCTGAGTGTTTCATATCTCGAACGCGTATAGTCTGCCACTGTTGTCACCTGACTATTGCAGTTGCATTGAGAAACGACATTAGGTTGTGCTTGCCCTTCAAAATTGCAGTCAGTCTGGTAGGGCGACATCACCACCGGCGAGTTTTCTTCCCAGAACTTGGGAATTGTCCCCGTTACAAAAATGAGGATCAGAACGACCGCAATACCAATTAGCAATAGGACACAGATGGCAGCCACGGCGACCAGCGTGGTGTTGCCTTCCTTCTCGTCATCCCTATCCTCCAGCAACGGTGGAGCGGCATCTTTCATCCCTGCCTCTTCATCTGCCGGCACCATTGTTGTTGGCTTGGCCGGAACGATTGCAAGAGCGTTAGGATCCACCTCCTCTGGTTCAGCTTCAATGGCTAACGCATTCTCTTGGTTCTGAATAGCCAGGACATCCTCTTGAACCTTTTGTTGTTCTATCGCTTCGACTTGTTCGTCAGCTGGGGGCTCCTCCTTCACCTGTGCCACAGATTCTACCACTGATCCCGGAAACTTAGGTTTAGGGTCGGATGCAACCGTTTCTGGCATCCTTACTGACTGGGCATACTCCTGCTGCTCATCTTCAGGAGCTTCTTCATATTCAACCATGGCATCGGCAGTAGCTGCCAAGGCTCCAGCAGGAGTTGCGGCCTCTACAATTTCCTGAGACCCTGGTGCAGGGGCTACTACCAAGGCATCTGATTCAGGAGGAGGAGCTTCCAATGCAGGAAGTTCATCATCCGGGGGGTCCGGCGATGGTGCCAGCAGTGGAAGTGGCGCCGGAACAGGTGTCAATGCCTTGGCTTCCCCATCTTCGTCCACGACATGTTCTTCCATGCTAACATCCATATACTCTTCCTCTTCATAGCCGTCCTCTATGACTTCCTCGTACCCACTCGAATCTAAGCGATTAACTGGCGTCTTCAACTCCTCTTCATAGGTCTCTTCTTCAATCACTTCTTCTTCTTCCTCCTCCTCCTCTTCTACTACTTCCTCCTCATCGCCGCCTCCTTCCGGTCTAGGGTCACTTCTCTGGGACAACGATATCACCTGCAAGAGATCGGCGTCTTCGAGATTAAACTTGGCCTTGAGGTACGCAACATACTGCACGTCGGAGTTGGAAGCCATTGTCCCTGTTTGGGTTTTGAACTCTTTTGAGATTTGACTTCTCGCTGTGTTTTCTGCTTTTGCTAGTCCACCCTAGTAGTCAAAAAACAACATAACAAGGGCAAGAGGACGGCAGAGTGAATAGTCGGCGCTTCGACAAAGTCCTTCGGCCAAGATCTGTGCCAACTAAAGTCATGCCCTCGCCCATAAAGTCGATTTGGAGCAATTTTGTGAGGCGGTCAAGGCCGAAAAAAGATCTTTGTCACTGTAGCACTTTCAGTACCCTGCTCGAGCAAGCCAACTCGGCACTAAATAATGTACCAAGATGCCAGCAACGATTTCGGCCACCGCGTTGTCGACCAGGAAGTGGCTTCAGAGCGCCACAAAATTCAGCGGCCCCATCAGGACGAATGTGTCATTCCTGATCGGAAGTCGGAAGTGCTCTGCAACTCCAAGATTGTGGCAGCACCTTGCCATGTTGTGATCCGCCGAAGAGGGACGTCAGGGTCAGGAGGATGCACGGGGTAGTTTCCGGCATTCTTCTCTGTTCCTCTTCGTGAGAAGAAAGGAAGTAAAAAGTATAGTCTTGGTAGACGCAATCTGCCTGTTGCCAATCGAAAGTCCTGCTAGCTATAGAAGGTCAAGGATGTTGCCGGCGATGGACGTGTGTTGCTTTCTTCGTGCAGCTGCGGGTCGTTTCTTACTGAACTAAGCATCTCTCTACTACTACGGTAGGCTTTATTGTCCGCCACGATACTAGAAGAATGAATGAATCATTCAATCGCGGCCCAGGATGAACATACTACCGTAGTGCCAATACTGACAACATGAACAGAGCAGAGAACCAGGCATACCACCTTACACTGTGGATACCGGTAGCAAGGGGATTAGGATACGATAATACCAGTGGGAACAAGTTATGCAGTAGTTATGAATAGTGGTTGAAATGATATACATAAGGAGTCCACGCGGGTTTGAGTATGCCTGCCTCGAGGTCGGAAGGAGAGAAGGTGGAGGCAAGAGGACCCGCATTACTCGTCAAATGGTATGATACGACAGCTTGAACAGCAGGTTGGAATGCCACAAACGACACCATTAGTCCTCGAAGGACAATCCGTCGTGAAGGTCTCAAGTTCTAGCTCACGCAGCTCGCAGAGATCCCTGGGGGCTCTTCCAGTCAGAAAATTGTCTTCCAAAGTCAACGTTTCTAGTGGTAGAATCCGAAATGTAGAAAGTTAGAACAAGGATCTCTCTCGCGGATGCCACAGACGTTGTGGCATATGCAGAACTCACCTAGCCGGGTCATGAAACTTAGTTCTAGAGGGATTTCTCCAGAGAACAGGTTTCCATCCAAAAGGAGCGTGTGCACTTGAGTGAGATTGCCCACCTGAGGCGGCACAGTGCCTTCGAAATCGTTGTCGTTTAAAGCCAAGTACCCTGGTCGGAGATGAGGAGAGGAAAGGTGAGGTTCGCAGGACGCTGAAGATAGCAGCAGATTCAATTCGGCGTGACAAACTTACTCAGTTCCATGAAGTCACCAATCTCGATTGGGAGTTCTTGCCGGAACCTGCTGCCGCTCAGATCAAGGTGTGTGAGTTGAGTCAATTCACCCAACGATGGCGGCAGTGCACCGCCAACCTGAGTGTTCGCAATTTGAAGGTCTTCAAGGTTGGTTAGAAATCGATACTCGCTGGGGATTCTAGCACGCATGTTGGTACTTGAAACAGAGAGCTGACGCAGATCAGTGAAGGTCCCAAACTCTGACGGGATGCGACCTTCCAGGCCCCTGTTCCCTTCCAGCTTCAGAGTTACTAAGTTGGTCAAACCAAAGAATTCGGAAGGCAGCTCACCGACAAAGATGTTGTCTGCAAGGTTCAATTCTCGCAAAAGTGTTGCTGAACCAATCTCTGACGCAATTGTTCCATCAAGTTGGTTGCCGTTCATTTCCAGCACCTCCAAGCTCGTAGCCTGGTTCAATTCTGGAGGCAGAGACCCATACAGCCTGTTCGATGAGAAGCTTGCCAGTTTCAAACCAGGGACTGTGAAGAACTCATTTGGCAGAGTTCCGCTGAGAAAGTTATCGCTGAACACGAGAGTTTCAAGACCAGTCATCATGCTGATTTCTCCAGGAACCTTTGTCGAACAAGAGGATAAGATAAACATGAGCTTGCATCATTCTTTTCTTTTCATGTACATTGCTTTGCGTTGCTCACCTGTCCCAAAAGGCTATTGCTGTCAAGCTCGATTGACTTGAGCATTGCGCCATCTCCGCAAAACAATCCATACCATTCACAAACATCCACATCTTCAAGCCAGTTAGTCCGTGTATCCCATTGAGGGCCAGTGGTGGAGAAAAATAAAAACGAGAGCAGATATCGCTGAAGCAGATCAGTTTCATTGCTTGCACTGCTAGTGGAGAGCCAGACTAGTGCCTGGTTTGCAGGCTCACATGATTCCGGAGTTTCTGTCCAATTGGAAAAGACAGTGGGCACGAAATCGGTCACCAGCGCGTCGTACTTGACCATTGCATCATCAGATAGTGTGATCACCTCCCCATTGCAGCTGCATTGAGAAATGACGTGGGGCTGTGTTTGGCCAGTGAAATCGCACTCATTGGGTCCTGGCTCGTAGGGATCAAGTGGAGTCGTTGGGAGGTCGCCCACAAACTGATCCGGTACTTGGTCCTTGTTTTCATCTGTGTCGCCGTTAAAAGGATTCGGAATGGTTTCCGATCCCCAGATTAGTACCGCAAGGATACATAGCAATAGAATCACGCACAATGCAAAAGTGCAACCGTATGTGAACACAGCGTCCTTCTTTCGTTGTTCTTCTTCCACCGGATCCTTCATTTTGTCCGAACGGTGGGCGTCTTCTTCCTCCTCCTCCTCCACTGGCGGTTGACCAGTCTCAATGTCACCCGTTGGTTCTTGCATCGGCTGTTTCATGGCAACAATGGCGGCACTGTCAGTAGCTACGCTCTGAACCGTTTGGGATTCGATGATTTCTTCTTCTACAACTTCAACGTCTACTTCATCTTCTGGATACATCATTGTCGGCGTCATAGAATGTACGTGGTTACCATCATCAACGATCTCCTCCATCTCTTCAACGCTCTCAACTAGTTCTTCCTCCGTGTCTCCGATAGTTTCCTCAACTACCTCTGATTCGTCGTATGTGGCGATCTCTTGGGGTTGAGTATCCGGTCCTGTCTGGGTCAAAGCCAAAGTCTGCAGAACCTGAGGCTCAGGTGTAGTTCCATCATCAACCGGTTCCTCATACATTGCAGCACTCTGCACCTGTGGTTCCACTTCTTGATAAATAGGCGCAGGAACAGGGACAGGGGCAGGCGCAGCGACTTGGGCCTCCTCAACCATCGTCGGTTGAGCTGCTGAGACTGCAACTGGAGCAACCGGCTCAATTGGAGTCGGTCCTTCAGCGGATGGTTGGCTCTCAGCCACGTGCTGCTGATCTGATATGACTTCCTCTTCAAAAAACTCATCGGCGTCATCAACGGAAGAGACTTGCGATGTGGCTGCCCGGGCTGCCTGCGAGTTATCTATGACTGGGGTTGGTGCCATGGATGCTCTTGAGCTTTGCTCCTGAGCACTAAGTGTCCCGTTGTTGGCAGGCTGTGGTAGTACAGGCTCGGGCTCAGGTTCCGGTGTTTCTTCCCGCGCCACCTCTTTTGACAGGTCATAGACCTCGAAAGGAAAGGGCCGATCAGGTTTCTTAGGAGTAACCCTCGAGACTTCACCACTCTCAAAACTGGTAAGCCAGCCTCTAAGCTTATCCAATGAGTTTGGGTCATCGTATGACCCTTTGGATACCGTGCTTGCCCTGCTGGGCTTATTTCGATTCGTAAAAGATCCAGGCTTAGGAACTGGGGCAGGAGCTGGTGCAAGGAATGAGTTGAGACCACGAGATGGTGCTTTAGCAGGAGCAGGCACTGGAGCAACAGCCGCTGAAGTCTGAACTGGGATAGGGGCTGGGGCCGGAGCTGGAGTTTGCATTGGCATTGGTGCTGGGGCCGGAGCTGGAGTTTGCATTGGGGCCGGGGCTTGCATCGGCATTGGTGCGGGAGCTGGAGCTTGCATTGGCATTGGGACCGGAGCCGGTGCAGGGGCAGGGACAGGAGCTGAAGGACTGCCATCAGATTCTGTGACTTCCTCAATGTACTCTTCTTCAACAATTTCCTCTTCTGTCACCTCCTCTTCTTCTTCGTACTCTTCAATCAAGGAACCATCTTCATAGGTTTCTTCATCTACCTGGGACAAGTTTTCCACTACCTCCTCTTCAACTACTTCTTCCTCGACCACTTCTTCTTCTTCATAGACTTCTTCTTCCAAGACCTCTTCTTCTTGCTCTTGTTGTTGTGCCCCCTCTGGCGCCTGGTTGACAATTTTGGGTGTCTTGTCCGAGCTTCTTGATGATGCTTCATCTTTGGCGGCAGTCTCTGCTGCTGCCTTTTTAGCTTCATGCTTTTCAAAGTGTTGGGAGAGTATTCCTCCTAGCTGCTTGACGGATCCACTCGACGGCTTTGTTAGTTCCTTTTTGGGACCGTCTGCAGCATTGCCAGCTTCAGACGGGGCAGGTTTTGGACCAGGCTTTCCCCCTGGAGGCTTTAAATTTTGACTTAACCACCCACCTAGTTTGTGCACAGATCCTGCTTTGGGGAGCTCATCTTTGGGTTTTTCTGGTTCATCAGAAGACGATTCTGGTGCTGGTGTAGGTGCTGGGGCAGCGACGGGGACGGGGGCAGGAACTGGAGCAGGTGCGGGAGCAGCTGCCGGTTTCTTGTCTTCTTCCACTGGATTACGAGGGGGGCTCTTGGATCTAGACTTGAGGTTTTTCATCCACGGAGGCGTCTTCTTTTCTCCGCCTTCGTCCTTCTTTTTCATCCACGGAGGCGTTGACTTGGACTCCTTTAGGTTTTCTGACGATCTACGAATGGAATCCAAAGAGATTGCAGGTTTTGGTGGTTGGGCAGCCTGAGCGTCAGCTGCAGCAGGAGCCGGGGCGGCAACCGGGGCAGGAGCAGGAACCGGGGCGGCAACCGGGGCAGGAACAGGGGCGGCAACTGGATCAGGAACCGGAGCTGGAACCGGGGCAGGAACCGGAGCAGATATTGGTTCTGGTGCTGGTGTAGGTGCTGGTGCTGGCGTTGCTGCAGGCTTTTTGTCGCCACTACTTTCGCTGTCTACCGATCGTGCTGAAAGGAGACTAGGAATGGGCTTTTTCGAATCTGCCTTGTCATTTTCCTTCTCGGAATCGGAACCTGAACCAGATCCCGATCCAGGTGGAGGCTGGCCCCATCTTCTAGAGGACGATTGCCTAAAAGATCCTTCGCCACTCTGGATGCTACGAGCGGATGCGTCTTTCATCCATGCTGGAGGTGCGAGTTTTCCAACCTTTCGGGTCGATCCTTGGGAAGAGGAGGCAACGGACTGCTGACTCCCGGGTTGATAAATATCTCGCAACGATGGTCGCTGGGTAGGAGCAGGGGTGTTACTAGCATTGCTGCTGTCTGCTTGAGCGCCTCCTTGGGTAGATCGATCATCTCCAGATTCTGATGAATCAACAGTTCTGGAAGGCGCTGTGGGTGCACCTGATGCTCCCGGTGCCTTTGCTGGGAGTCTGGAAGGGGGGAACCTTGCCATTGCTTCTTTTTTGGTAGAAACAAATGACGATACGGAACTGGGATGGTTCATAAACCTCCGTTCGCAACGGTATCAAGATATTTATCCCTGATGATCGCTCTGTTGTTGAGCAGGATGATATTTTCTATCGAAAAGTTTTTTAAAAAAAAGTTAAGTTGTATGTGGGTGTTGGTTGAGGTGAGCTGGAGGTGAGGCGAGGCGAGAGGATGATGCTATCCAATCGAAAAAGATACACCCCTTGAATAGAATAGTGAAGTTGATGGCTTGTTCTCACATCTTTCGCTGATTTGAGATTCGGAAGACAGCTAAGTAACGAAGAGATAGCCAAAAGTAGAAAAATTCTTTAGGATACTTAGAGAAAATGGCTTTTTAAAATTTTCTTTTGCCAAAAATACCTAGGTCCTGTAGATTTTGCCTCTGGCCGCGCTTTTCATTTTAATTAAAATATTATTATTATTGCGAAAGATGTGAGCACGGTGCCGATTGGGGATCCAGGACACCAATTTCCCTTGTTGCGATCCGTACGAATGAGCAATCCAGGCAATCCACGTGCTGCTGCCAATGTAATATTGGCCGATGTCGCCATTACGTGAGATGCTCACTAATCAGTGTTGTCTATTGCTTTCTTTTTCAGTTTTTGTCTTGCCTCAAAAGTACCAAGGGGGATTGTCGATCCACTTATCAAAATTGACGGTTGCTGCATTGCATTCATTCCTTCATTGCAAAAAAGAAAAAAGAAAGTGACCATGAGAGCTTTCCCGGTCGTTTTGCTCGCCTTGAACTGGTTGGGCATTATTGGATCGACCAGCCATGCCACCAATGCTGTCAATATCCCAGATGCCTACCTACGTCGCCAAATCCATGGTCGAGCGGTACCATCATCCATAAACAAGGAATTCAAAAACAAGCATATCAGCCGAGACAAACGTCGTGAGCTAGAACGCGACGAAAAACGCCAGAGATTGCACGAGCTCCGTGAATTGAAGAAACAGGATGCTGAACGCCGCCAAAAAGACCGCCTCGAAAGACGCAATCTGTTGGAACAGCAAAATGCCGATCTGCTGCACATCCCTCCCAAATCGCTCTACGGCCCCCCGGCTCCCAAACACTCCGTCCGTGGCTTGCAAACAGCCACATCCAACCACATGCAATCGGCGGAAACTTGGTTGGCATCCTACCCCAATAGTACCACACTCTCGAACAATGTTCGACAGCAATTGCTAGCCATGGCAGCATTCCACTACGCCACGGGAGGTAAAAACTGGTTCCTTCGAAAAAACTGGTTGAATGAAACCGTCCATGAGTGCCAGTGGTACAACCAAGCTGAAGAGGACTCCTGTCTTGGCAAAACCATTGTAGAATTGGAGCTACAAGGGAACAACTTGGGAGGAATCCTAATGAGTGAAATTTCCATGTTGGAGAGCTTGCAAAAGCTGGATATTGAAGACAACTTTATCCGGGGAACCATCCCTACTGGTAAGTGAAAGAAGAGCTTTGGTATATGCGGAGGCGCTCCACCGTCCTAAAGATTGCTTCTTCCTTGGGTACCTCCTAGAAATTGCCCAACTGTACACATTGAATGACATCAATGTGGAAGAGAACCTAATGGTAAGTGTACCAAAAGATTTTGGCTGCCTCTTAATCTATCATGTGTGCTCACATGAAGTTGCCAACAGGTGGGCCCCATCCCTTCTGAGATGGGATCAATGCTGACTCTGGAAGAAATTTTGATCAAGGAGAATGCCTTCACTGGAACTATTCCAACCCAGCTCGGCCAACTGGTCAATCTAGAGGAGTTTGATGGTAAGAGAGAAAAAGAATTTTGAATACAGCTTTTGATCATCTTTTGCACTATCTCATTCAGCAATTCTACAGTGTCTGAAAACCAGCTTTGGGGCACCCTGCCGCCTCATATGGGCAACCTGACCTTCTTGGAAGTCTTTGATGTTTACTTCAACTTTGAGTTGAATGGGACTGTCCCAACATCAATCTGGCTTCTTCCCAATCTGGAAGAGTTCAATCTCGAGTTCAACTACTTTCGAGACACCATTCCGACCCAGGTGAGTACAAAATCACTCTCTCCAGCAATCATGCTGGTGATTGCTTGTCCCATACTAACGGGCTGTGTTGTTTCTATTGATTGGACCATCCCTCAGATTGGATTTTCCACCAGTCTGGCATACATCTACATCCAAGACAACTACTTTTATGGGCCCATTCCCTCAGAGATTGGAAATGTCAGGACACTCATTGATATTGAGTTTGAAGATAATGAACTACTAGGAACAATTCCTACTGAGCTGTTGTAAGTGTTTGCTTCTTGATATTAATAATTGCAAGTTGTGCTGAAAGCTGGCAAACAACGTCTCCATCACTCACCCACTTTTAACAATCACAGGCTGTTGACCAACTTGAAGACTCTCAAGCTGGATGACAATTTGCTCACCGGATCAGTTCCCTTGGGTCTTTGGACTTTGAATCTCACTTTTATGGAACTGGCAGAAAATCAGCTCACAGGAAGCCTTCCACTCCAAATGGGACTTTCAACAGCAATGACAGTTCTGGGATTGAGTGAAAATCAATTCACTGGAACCATTCCAGAGGTCGTTGGGCTCATGTCTAGTTTGGAGTCCTTGGATCTCCGAATGAATCCTATGAGGGGATCTCTACCTGGAGCCTTTGGGGAACTGACAGCTTTGCAAGAACTGTATCTGTCTAACGTAGCTTTCACAGGGAGCATTCCACTGGAATTTGCCTCTCTCAGCAGCTTGGAGGTGGTACGTATGTTTGTGTCGCGCCTGTGCATTGTAAATCGCTTTTCTTGTCACAACTGAACCGTGTGTTCGTTCTTTGCAGCTGCACTTGGAAAACACAAGACTGACAGGGCTCATCCCAGCGCCGCTCTGTAACATCGCAGACCTTGCTTTTACTTGTGGCATTCCTGGCGGCTTGTGTGGATGCGGTTGCGTATGCGTTGCGCCAACAGAAGCTCCCACCACACCCGTGACACTTCCTCCCGTTCCTGCAACACTACCGCCTGCCACTGCCGCGCCTTCGGCTGATGGAACTGCAGCAGGGACTCTGGGAGGAACCCTGAACGGAACGATTGATGGAACCATGAACAGTACCTGGGCGGCCTCGACCTCGGCCTCACCGGAACTGACCGGGCTGGAGCCACCAGGAGGAGAAGTTGCCGTGCAAGCAGCAGAAAACTTCGACGAAAACTTTTTTGGCAAGTGAACAGCCACGGGGAGAGTGCAGCAGCAATTTGTATTTCCTGGGTTTTTGGTGTGACCGGTAATTCACACGAACATACTTTTCATAACAGTCTTTTCTCGTGCTTGTCAATAAAAATATGTATGGTTAACTATCAATGCCTCGGCACTTTACTTCTTTGTAGAGTTTTCTCTAAGTTGCTTTCCCTTTTTATTAGAAATTTGGTTCCCCGAAAAGGGAGTTGAAGATGCCTGCTAGGCGCCTTTTCTACAGATGGTAAAACAGTTGCCTTCCACTGCAAGCAAATCGTCAAGGCCATTTTCGGTATGGTCAGTCCAGTTACCAACACCTCGCCCATTCTTGGTTGGACAGTCAACAATCAACTTTGCCAATTTCTTTTCTCTCAGCTCACACACTTCAGGAGGTATAGTACTGATAATATCGTTTTCGTCGAGGGCAAAATCCTCTGCAGACGAAAGAAGATGAAGACAGACGGATTGTAAGTATTTTGTTCTAGCTAGGAACGAGCGGAAACGGGATCTCGCAAAGCCAACGGTGCAACTTACTGAGCAGACTCATTTCACCGATTTCCGAGGGCAGAGTTCCTTCCAAGTGCAACTCCTGCATGTCCAGACGAGTCATGTTGGTGAGCTTGCCAAACTCCGTGGGGATTGGCCCTGTCAGGTCGTTCTTCAAAAGCGCCAAAAAGTACATATTGGAGAGCTGTCCCGTCTCGGTGGGGATGGTTCCTGAAAAGTGCTGCTCTCCGAGATCCAAACGATTCAGGTCCGTCAACAGGCCGATTTCCGATGGAATGGGTCCGTGCATTCCGATATCCGCCAAACGAACGTCCCTCATGCTCGTCATGAAACCAATCTCCGTTGGCAGACCTCCCGTCATGAGATTTTCTGTCATGAGCAACTTTTCGAGGGCCGTCCACTGTCCCATCTGAGTTGGGAATGTTCCCGAAATGCGATTGTCCTCCAGGACGAGTGAAGTAAGCTTGGTCCACATTCCCAGTTCAGTCGGCAAGTGTCGAATGAACTGATTGAAACCAAGGGATAATGATCGAAGGTTGGTAAGCAAACCTAACTCTGACACGAGTGTTCCATACATCCAATTGTTCTCCAGCTTGAGGACTTCCAAGGCCGTGGCAAGACCGACTTCGGAGGGGATACTCCCCGTCATTTGGTTGGCATAGAATCGCAAATCTCTCAAGTTCGGGATGCTAAAGATATAGGTTGGAATTTGCCCGGTGATGTGGGAACGAGTAATGGACAAGGTCGTGAGGCCACGGAAGAGACGGATTTCGGAGGGAACCTAGTATAAGGGAGAAAGCCAAAGAGGTAAGTGAGATCGTCGTCGACGACAACGAGTCTTCAATGCAGATCGAAGTTGTACATCTTTCTTTCTGTCTTTCTAAATCAACGTACTGTTCCGAAAATATTGATGGTATCCAAAGCCAGAGAATGGATCTGGAACCGTTTGTTACATTGCAATCCAAGCCAGAGACACTCGTTTTGATCCGACAACCATAGATTCTTATAATCCCACTTGGTTCCGTTCATGGAAATGAACGCAGTGGACGTCAAGAACCTTTGAACCAGATCACCCGACCGACGGGTATCTCCACTGGATAACCACAAGAGGGCCTGGTTACGGGGATCGCAGCTGGTAATGGGTTCGGTCCAGCCCTCGCCGTCCTCGGAAGTGGAGTAGAGTTCGGGCATGAGCCGGGTCTTGAGGAGGGTGTAGAGCTCGCGAATGTCATCGGCCACCACCGTAATCTTGCCATAGCATTCGCACTGGGAAATGGCATGGGGTTGAAAGTTGTCGGAGAAATCACAGTCTCCCTTGACGTAGGGATCAAATGGTGTGGTCTGAACATTGTCAGGGACCAATCCGTCGCCAAATCCGAAAAAGTCATCGACGAATCCATCGTCGACGTATCCATCATCATCGACCGTATCGTCCGTGGTATCCTTCTTGAAGACCAAAAAGATCAATAGAAGGATGAGCAACAAGATGAGGCAACAGCAGCAGATGAGCAAACAAATGGCTCGTCGGCGACGACGCTTTTCTGCCTTGGAGGGTTCCTTCTCTTCCTTGGGCTTTTTCTTGAACTTGGTAAAGATGCGTCGTTTCTTTTTCTTCTTGCCGTCCTTGTTATCGGCTAGTGGGGCGGCTTCATCGTCGTCATCGCCCACGAGTTCATCGTCAAAGAGCTCCACACTGTCATCGTCGGGTTTGTCATCGAACCCTCCCTCGTCTTCAAAGGGAGTACTAAAGTCTTCGATATCATCCTCATCGTCCGTGGGAGGAGTGGCCATGCCACGTGCCTGTGCCTTGGCTGCTTCTTCGTCGTCATCGTCGGGATCATCGACGAAATCTCCTTCGCCAGGCGCCACGGGAACACCTTCTTGTGGGTCCGTTCGAGCAGCCTCTGGATCCAGGAGATCAGGAGCCGTAGTACTGTTGTTGGGATCCAAGAGATCCGGATCCGCCTCATCGGCATCATTCGGATCCAAAAGGTCGGGATCTGCTGCATTCACATCGTCCTTGGCAAGTTCCGGGTCCAATAGATCCGGATCCACTTCGTCGGCGGCGGTATCCGTGCGAGCCGTCTCGGGATCCAGCAGATCAGGATCCACTTCATCAGGGGTAGCAGTAGTGGTCTCGCCCTCGTTCATGTCCAACAAATCTGCTTGCTTTTCTTCAGAGGCCAATGGCTGATCAGAGGGATTCGTAGATGCCATGTTGCACTGTCAGTCGAGCTTTGAATAGAGGCACTTTTATGAAAGATAAGTGAAGTGACTCGACTCTTCGAAGATTGTCGAATGCTTTTCAACTAGCTACCGGTAGCTAGATAGGGGTATCCGAGTTCTCTTGTGGATTGACTCCTGTTATCACCTTGACTTCTGACTGATGGAGGAGATGGATTCTTCCTCACCAACAAAGCAAGAAGAAGACAATAGATAAGGGAGCTCTACAAGGTGCTACTACTGGAAACCCAACAAAAGTGAACCACCATGGCCAAGGAAGCTGATGAGTGAGATGCTACCGCCAAGAATCCTAGTTTGCCAGACCAGTTAGCTACGAGGTGACGTAGGAATGCAAAACGTCGCACGCTTACTCCAAAAGCAACACAATGACCTTTTGAAGAAAAAGACAATGAGAGAAAGACCTCACTGATTCTTCCCGTCATTTCTCTGCACCCAACCAACTTGCGAAAGATATCACTGACAGCTGCGAGATATCTTGCGTGCATGCATGCGGTGTCGGTACCACTAATGCAACAGGCTCAGCTAACACCTTCCTAGAGCTAGAGTCTAGCTAGCTAGCAGCTTTCCGAGCTACCTTCCGCGCAGGGATTGATTTGAGAGGCCAGTTCGTTTGGGTCACCTGCCGTACCTATCTTTTGAGGACCTACTCCTGTCTTGGTAACAAGGGTTGCTCTCTACCTACCGTACGCATGTGCCACCCGGAATGTGGCTGTGCGCCACGGCCTACCGGTACCCATGTTTGTGTTTCTCCATAACGTAGAATACGGTAGGCCTCTGCCACCTAAGCTAAGGCAAAAAGAGGTGCACCTCCAGCCCTTGCTCAGGTGGTCTGTCCTTATTCTACTATGTATATCAGTGTGTATCCGTTATGTCTCGCAGCATAACGTTGGCTCTAGCTAGCTAGTAGGAGAGATTGATGCCTTCACTTTCTATTCATGTCTACCTACATCGCTCACCGGCTTCTAACAGTACATACAACAATCATAAACAACAACTGAGCATGAAGTTTCTTCCAAGAAAAGCCACACCCAACCAAGCTCCCTTTTGCCCAGGGCTTCTGCTGCGGCACGTCTTCATGCCCCCATCTTCATATAAAGATGAAGAATCGTGTATGCGGATATGTGGAAACAATGTCTGGTCCGATCGGCCCGTGGCCAATTCTGACTTACAACCACTCGAAATGAGGGAAGTCACCAAGATGTGTTGGCTTTTATCTTCATCTGAATCTGGTGGACCTATCTGGTCATCCGATTCAGAAACATCTACAAACTGGATGACCTTCATGTCCGGCAACCTCATTAGGTGCACTGTTCCCTTCCAATGGGTACCAAGGCAAAAGTCAGCATAGCTGCCAGGTAGAAACTGGTCGTCGTAGAAGTGTTGGCCACACAGCTTGACTTCGTATTGCATTGTCAGGCTCGTCTCCATGCCCCCATTCTCACATAAAGATGAACAATCTTGTATGCAGATATGTGGAAACAGCGAGTGGTCCGTTCGCCCGTTGCTAATTCTGGATTAGCACCACAATTGTAAGATTGCAAAATTTGGCTTTTGTCTTCATCTGTTTCTGGGGGCCCATCTCTTCATCACATTGAGGAACTTCTACCAATTGGATGACCTTCCTGTCCGGCAACCTCATTAGGTGCACTGTTCCCTTCCATTGGGCACCGATAAGGCGAGGATTGAGGCACCGGTGAGGTGGAAACTGGACGTCATAGAATTGTTGGTAGCTTGAAAATGAGCCTTTAAAATTGTGAAAACCCAAAATAGTTTCTTGCAGGTGGATTGATTCAATCTCTCCCTCAGAAAAGAATTCAGGAATGTCGTTGCCTGGGATAGCCTTGGAAAAGAGGATTTGGTCGTCCATGGTGCGAATATCCACAATCATCAAATAGTCTTTGGGTGCATATGCTGGTGGAGCTAAAGGAACCAGTACATTGTGGCTTGGGGTTAGATAGGCAAAAGTGAGGAAGCAGCTTTTGTGTGTCATTTCTGTGGCTTGAAGCATTTGGCGGCACCACAGCCCCAGTGGTTGAGGCAGAGATATTTCCAAACATCATCATCTTCTTCATGGTTGTCCTTGATGGCTGGATCAATCCAGTTATTATTTGTCAAAAGAAGTAAGCGGCCCAAATCAGGGGAAGGAAGGTAGCCGCTCTCAATGCCAAGGGCTTCCAAATGCGAGGATCTTCCAATGACAGTTTGGCTTTGCCCAACGATTCCTTCTTGGAGCGCTTGGTCGACTCTTTGGTATGAAGAGTCTCGGGCACATCGCGCTTCTTGCTAGAGCTACTGATGGGGTCTTGAGTGGTTGTTGGAGATGGGTTTGACATGGACAACTGTAGTTCAAAGGAGACGGGAAGAAGGTGGATGATAGCTCTTCGAGGGGTTATGAGAAGCAGACGAAGAGCGAAGCGACGAAGCGACGAAGCAAAAGATTTCGAATCCCTAACCCTAGAAAACAGGTAAAGATCTGACTGGGCTCACGAGAATGCCACAACCTATTCGGCCACCATCCCAAAAGAGGACGAGGGCACCACTGCTGAATCTCAATCAACAACACAATAATTATAAGAAGACACACCCTTACTACAGCAAGAGCCACGATGGAGATGACGACGGAGCGAGAGACAAAGCGGCAGAAGCATGACGATCAGACCACAGTCGTTTCCAAACCACGGCCCAATGACATCTTGTTGCTGGACGTGGGAGGAACCCCCATTTCTGTCTTCCGCCGAACCTTGACTCAAGTGGAAGGATCCTTGTTGGCTTCTCAGTTCAGTGGGCGTTGGGACGAGGGTCTAGCAAAAACCAAGGAGGGACGCTTTTTCATTGACCAACCCCCTCACTTGTTTGAAAAACTCATAAACTTTCTTCGAATGAAAGCGAATGAAACAGATGAGACTGGACCAAACACGGTTCCTGCGTTCATGACGCTTGAAGATTACCGAGGATTTAGTCGTATGGTGGAGTACTTTGGCCTCTCAGAAGCAATTTTTCGTACCGGTGCTTACCTGTTCTATCCAGACCATGCCAAGACCATTGCTGTGGTGCCAAGTGACGACACTATTGAATCGCCATTGTTCTCTCGCAACAATGACGACGAGGATAAGTTGGAGACATTCATTCTAGGGCCCCTCAAGGACAACGCGGGATATGAGACACACAGTCGAGCCATCACGGGGTTTGAAATCACTCTTCAGAAGCATGAACTCTGCCAAGTGGGCTGGCTTGCTATCAACAGAATAGTTTATAGTTCAGGCGCATTTAACAGTGACAGCGGTGTTGGCGGGGGCGTTGGATTCCAACCAGACAGCACAGCCCTGGATGTTGTGACCGGAGACATTGTGACCACAGTGTTGACACTCGGCGAGAATGACGAGAACAAAGCCATTTCACCGGAACAGTTTCGCACCCAGCTACCTCACGTCACGGTGAAAGAAGGCAGCGTAATCCGATGCGAAATGGACCATGGTTTTTCTTGGTTCGTCGATGGGATGTTGGTGGGTTCCTCTAGCCAAGTATCGGCATCCAAAGCTGGCAATGCCAGTACGGTTGAGCTGTGCGAAGAAACCATCAAAATCTTGGGACAGCCAGTTCATCACGTCGTTCCGTGTATCACGGTGAATGGGGGCTTCTCAGTGACTGACATTCGATACGCATTCTAGGACGAAGGGCGAACCATCCACACGAGATGGATAATCAACCATACTATGGGCTTCAGGAATTCAAAGGAGAGTACCGACGGAGAACGGGACAAAAGGGAGGGAGTTCTTTGAGTAGAAGAGCGTAGATTGGCCCGAGCTTTCTATGTGTACTACCGGTACTGTATATTTGTAGATCAAAGAACATAATCTGAGATCCACTTTGCTTAGTACCGGTGATAACACTTCAGAGAGCGCTGGTCGTTGGGCTGACGCCGCCACTTTTCACTCACACGCAGTGCCTCGCTTGGATCAATGTAGGCTAAGAGCAAAACGTTTCTTCATTTCGTACGAGAACCGTATCACACGCAGTGAAGGTTCAACCGCCGCTCTACAGTTAGGTATAGCCTTTGGTGCAATCACTCAAATATAGTTTCCCAGATGATACAGTACGGTGGCATGACCTCCAAAATCCAAACTGACTCGTTCAATACTACCGGCGGTTGCTTTCGATTGCAGATAACCACAAAACTGTTCGTGGGTTCGGACTGACCGTCCCTGGTATCGTCGACGAGGAAACAACCGTGAATACACGCAGCACGGAATAACGGCAAAGGGAAGACGACGTGACAAAGCTGCGTCGACAAATTGCTTCAGTTGCCTCATCCGGATGAAGGCCAACCAAAACTGGTATCGTTTTAGCGGAGGTGATGGAAGAATTTGTGGTTATCGTGTCATCACCATTTGTGACAGCAGCAACCCCTCCAGATCCCCTTGGAACAGATTTTGTGGTTGGACCTCCACTCGCAGTTTCGGTTGAAGCTTTGGTTTCTGATCGATGATTTGACTCTTCCACTTCCTGTAGAATGGTTCCCCGAGAATCAAAAAAGGCCCTTTTCACTTGAAAGGGATCCTTGCCACTCTTTCGTAGTTGTTTGCGGCTTCTGGAAGATAGCATGCCCGCATTGGAGCGAGGATCCACCAGTGTGACCCTGTAACCTGCTAGAGTAAGCAACAGAGCCAGCTCACCACGGCCACCGGCAATGTCGTACACATGGATGCTTGTGTCGCCCCCCAAAGTAGATTGAAGGGCAGGGAAGATTCTGGTTGTCAAGAACTCACAAAAAATGGCGAAACGTTCCTTCTTGGATGGCATATGAACTTCTTGTAGAGGTGATTCGTCGTTGTCACCAATTTCATTACCACGAGAATATCCGATATCCCTAGAATTCTTCTAATTGTCATTCCCCTCCCCGTATCCGCAAGAAACATGCGCAGTGTCGTCTTGTGCTATAGTTTCTAGCTGGTAGGAGCTGCCCGTGTTCCCATGAACATGAAGCGCCACAAAGTAAGCGGATGCAGCGTGAAGCAGGACGCTGCCATCCTTGTTCGCTTCCTCGTGACCAACCTCAATCTCGACAGTATCACCCTTACGAACACTTCTTCGCAAATCTTCCAAAGCAGCGCCATCTTGGAAGTGGCCGCCCTGTCCATGTTTGAAGAGAACTTGATGATGATGTCGGCTGATATCAGCGTTTTCGGATACCTCCTGAACTTCGAGGAAAAACAAGCGCGGGTGAACGGCACGACGACGGGGAAAATTGGTCACAGTGCCCCTCAGGAAGCTTCGGTCCTTGTCGTTGCTTTGCCCAGATGCTACCATCCTGGTTGCTGCAGCGGCAGAAGACAGACGATGCAAGTAGCAAAAGGGGTCCATGGTCCCAACCCAACGGCCCGAGAAAAGCCATTTGATGGGGACTACTTAGGGTTAAAACTAATGAGGCAAAAAGGCAATCCAAGTGCCACCGAAAGTTGGGGGTTGGGGGCTAAATATCGGGACGACTGTACGGTACCCGTACCAGTTTGCATCTTCCCTCATTCGTTGGGTCTCTGTTGCTCGGGGAATGATGTCTCAAGTCAAAACCGGCTCTCGATAGAGGTGCGCCTTTTGTTTCCCAAGGGACCAAGAAGGTTCCTCTCCTTGATTTCGTCGGATGCAACGCAAATGACGGAACCGAAAGTTCGCGGAACGGACCCTGGCAAGTGAGAAATGTTCGCAGCCCGAGAGTAGGAAATCACCTTCGAGCTACGAGTACTCGTATGAACTAAGGTACCGATAGCGTCAGCATGGGCGCAAAGGGAGCTTTTCAGAAATATCTTTCCTCAGCCAGTTGAGCGGGGAAAAGAGCTGTTCATGTGAAAGTATTGCGAGTCAGAAATATTTTCAGGAACCACGGAAAGCAACCTGGCAACCATCCGGAGCGCCCATCTCTAGTGTCACTACAGCTACAGTAAGGTACGGCAGAACGTGTTGTGCAAAACATGTGATTGCGGTCTTTGCGAAGAGGGATGTCAACCTAACAGTGATGGCTTCAAATAAATGTTCAAATCCGGGCCAAAGTTTCCGCGGCAGAAGCATGTCAGCCAACGTGGGCCGTCTCTGGTGGGACGGTGAGTCGTTTGAATATTTTGACTCATTCGACCCCATTCAAGAGAACCTTTCAAGAGACGCTTGTGTCACAGCAGAAATTAACCAACTTGCACCTTGCACCCACACCAACTGTCGCGAGATATCACACATCACACCCTTTCCTTTTGTTGTTGTTCGAAGTGAGTAAAACCATCATCACCATGGCAAGCACACTCTTCCGTGTACAATCAAATGCCAGATGTCTTTGTTTGATGGCTTGGCTTGGAAGCTTTGGGATGCCTTCATCATGCCGTTGCTGCTCCGGTTGACTAACGTTCGATTGTTCTTTTTCGTTGATACTCCTATTCGCTAATACCAGCAACCGTATCACAAAATCAGAATTCACCATGTCGTACAAGGCCGGTATTGTAGAAGCCGTCATGGAGCTCCAGGATCGCACAGGCTCCAGCATGATCAGCATCAAGAAGTTGATGCAGGAGAAACTGTAAGTAACGAGCAGCAGAAGACGGTTCTAACAGCACTATGTAGCAGGTGGGAGTGATGATTGCTTGGCATGTGGATTCTTCTGCTACACTGATTTGACGAGTATCATCCTTACAACTGCATATTTGCTAACCTGCCACAATTTATTCATTGATTACAGTCCCAAGGACAAGAAATGGCAGGTAAGTGCCAGAATGAAATGGTGAAATGTGCTGCTATCATGACGGCAACAAAGCTCACCTGAAGCCTGTCCTCACCTGCTATGTGGCTGCTGCGTGTGGAGTATAGAATGCAACCTTTCTGGCTGCATTGAAGAAGGGGGTTGCGGAAGGAGACTTCGTGAAAAACAAAAACTCCTATAAGCTCTCGTGAGTATTGATGCTTTTCCATAGCTGAGTTGATTTGTTTCACCGACCTCATGCCACATTGCTTTTGCTTGCACCCAGTCCTGAATTCAAAAAGAGTAAGTGAGCCATGATCCATGTGGGCCAAATCAGTTTGTTCCAAGTAATTGACTCACATGGCTGAACTGTTCCTTGCTTTTGCAGAGGCCGAGAAAAAGGCCAAGGAGGCTGACAAACCAAAGGAGACGAAGAAAAAGGCTCCAGCCAAGAAAGCCAGCACCGCTTCTAAAGCAAAGAAGGAAAAGCCTGCTGCAACCAAAAAGAAAGCAAGTGCCAAGAAGACCACTGCCAAAAAGGAGGCTCCAGCCAAGAAGGAAGCACCTGCCAAGAAAACCGCGGCCAAGAAGACCACCGCCAAGAAGGCCAAACCCGCTGCCACCAAGAAGAAAGCGGCCGCCAAACCCAAGACATCTGCCAAGAAAAAGACCACCAAGGTCAGCACTGTCATATTGATTGTTGGGTTGTCTGTGCACACATGTATCTGACCAATTTGCTCACGTCGTTGTTTCCTTGCTCTACCTGCGACCATACAGAAAACAACCAAGAAGTAGGAATGCTGTTTGCCATTTCCTCCACAAGTACTTCTTTGGGCATTTGCCGGTGTCGTAGCTGTGTTGGAGTTCACCGATTGTTTGTCAGCAGGCAGTGCTTTTCTCGTGGATGGAAAGCTGGTAGAATCCACAATTATCCTGTCAAGGGCTGGGAATTGATTCTTTAATGTTTCGAAAATATACATGTAGTCTCTTTGCATATCTCCTATAACAAGAATTGTCTTGATATTTCTAAACTGTCACAGTAAGACTTGTTTGATTTGAACTAGCCATGAGTAGTAGTAATCGGCAAGGTCCAAAATAGGGGATTCATTTTGATTTCATCAGTTTGTGGTGTGGAAGCAAACTGTCAAGCGGATGGTTCCACTTCAAATGAATCCTTTTTGTATCCTACTTTGAGGGGGGTCCTTTCTACCAACAGACTGATGATCCATGTGTCAGACACCCCCAACCGATCCCAACACCGATACGGTAGGAACTTCTCCAACGAAGCCAACAATCGCAATCTTGATCCTGACACACTTCACCATGACCACAAATTCGATTATCACGATGACAACAATGGCAATTGTTACCTGTACGACAATGACCCAGATTGTTACACAGACTCGTACGGCAATGCCTACTGCTAACTCCATCCTCCGGTGCTACATTCAACTTCCCCATGTTCTGTCCTGCTGCTCTCACTCCTGCTGTTTCATCTATCACAGTCTTTGATCTACAATATCGTACCGTCCCATTCCAGATCACCAGAATGGTGTTGAACAAAGGACAGACCAGTAGCTAGCTAGATTAAGCAGGCCATTGCCAAACCTTTCTCTCTTGCATGTTCCTGTAGAGAGGTCCTCCGGCAGTTCCATCTGTACTGATTGTGACACTAACTTCATGCAACATTGCTTTTGCCTGCCCCTCTAGTCCTGAATTCAAATTCAAAAAGGCAAAGTGCATCATGATCCATTACTGCAGCCAGGTCCTTTTTGTTACAAGAAATTGACTTGACCCACATGGTTGCACTGTTACTTCCCCAATCCCCAATGACCAGCGCTAGCTGCCGGTAGCACCTCTGCCGGTAGCGTCATCCCATGAAACCTCAACTTGGCAATGCACGGGCCAGTGGACCAGTATTATCGGTCGCGTCGAGCATGGCTCAGGTCCGTTGTTGTTACCAGCAGCATGGTGAAGCAAAAATGTTTGCAACAGCAAAGGATGAAATAGATCCGGATGCTTGCATGCTGTATGCGCCATTTATTTTCTGAAACTCAGAAGCCCCAGCAGGCATACCGGCCACAACGGCTTTTGCTTCCCACGGCTGCCTAAATCCAGCTGCGGGTTCGCGATCAGTTTAGTTTGGCGCAGAGATTAGTCTACGCTTCCAGCAGATATTATCTTCAACAACAAGATGACGATGAGGTTACTATTACCACCACTACCCGCCTTGTTCTTGTTGTGCTGCCTGGCATGGACAACCACCGCCGTGGACTCGAGTCAATGCCCTTCGTTTGGCAGCAATGATATCCTCACTCTGAAAGACTTTGTGGGGGTGTCAGCAGGGCGAGTGGTGGGAACCATCCGAACCGACAATGCCGACAGTGTACCGACGCAGGCTTATGTGAACAGTCTCCACGGAACAACATCCCACCGTCCCACCAACATTTTGGACCAGCTCTTGGAAGCTCAAGTGGTCTCGGATGCTGGATCGGATCTGACGGCCAATGGCGCCGATAGTACGGCATCCCACGACAGCTGCAATCGGTTGCCCTTGACGCCGAGTAACTGCTATGTGAGACGTTTGACGACGTCTTCGGCTGTCTTGGAGGAGCTTTTGGTCATGACACCCTTTACAGTCCACGTGTTGGATGCCATTCTCAACACTGTGGGGTTCTTTCAGGAGTTGGACATTCCAGGGCTGTTGGAAACGCTTGAAATTCCAGTATCCTTTGACCAGAGCTTGATGAACAAGAAGCGTCGAGCGTTGATGACTCCTCTACCCGACGAGACTCGTGCGGCCTTAACCCATTACATGGAGGAACGCAAGAAACTTGGGCTTCGTTCGGACCACGGAGGACAAGAGCCATTGGCTGCCTTGCATCGGCAACTATTGCAGCACCCATTCGGAAACTCTGATGAAATAGATCATGACGCTAAGGAAGATTCTCCACAGTTCCCGACTGCTGCCTATTTGCAAAAGAACCCTTCCTTCTTGAGAGGCAAGCAGCAAGAACAACACGCACGAAACCTACAAGCCTCCAACGCCACGGATCCGCCGGAAGATTATGACTTTACTGATTCCAGTCAACTTGGAACGATTACGGTGTCAAACCTCATTGAATACTTTTTGGCTGTCACAGATTTTCTCATGGACTACGGCTCCTCCTCCACCGATGATGATGGTTCCACCTGTATCGTATACAACAATGAAACCTTTGGAATTGCCTCACAGCCAAGCTTTCCACCACCGGTTGTGTATGACTTTTGCAACTGCGCCAGTGGAGCTATGGGGCTGTTTCCACTGTGCCCGATTCAATCCACCATTGGAGGCTTTGCCGTCACTCGTGTCGCCAACAAGCTACACTATAATTACGCTCATTTGTTGGGGGGACCTCTACCAGCTTCCATTCCTGTCTTTGATGGCTATGGTCAACAGCCATTTAGCAGCACGGGTGATGTTTGGGTTGGTACTGATCTCAAGATTGACATGCAACCGTTTGGAATCGTCAGTCCTGGCGGGGGTGGCAGGCTCAATGCCGGGTCTAGTGTTCTTGCGTGTGCTGGAATTCAGTTGCCGGGGGTTGCGTTGCCGGCTGCAGCAAACTTGCAAAGTTTCGGAGGAGAGCTCAAGATGACATCGTCCCTTTTTGTCAATCTACCAGACAGTACTAACCCCCCTCATGAATTGGAGTTTGTCTTTGCAATGGAATTGCACGAGCAATCGGTCCGAGTGGGCGACAATGACTTTTTCAACTTTACCCTCATCCCTGCCTATGGAGTAGGCCGATTCGATAGCGCCAATCCTAACTGCGATCCCAGTGGGTTTTTCATTTCTCAAGAGTCCATTCTGATGAGCCTGTCGTTCTCGGGGGCAATGAAACCCATTGTCAATGGGGTGACTCCGGTCGCGAGTGCACATGTGGATTGGGGTTTCATTTTGTCGGGGAATGATTTTGCCGGGCAAAGCTCGTTCCTGAGGACACATATTGACTTTGAATGGATTGGCATTGCCTCGAAGGGAACGTTGACCTTTCAGGTTGTGGATAACAACGAACTGGCTCGCAGGGGGAACTACGAATCCAACCAATGCTGCACAGCCCCACCTTGCACTCTTGCCACAGACCCACTTCGAATTCCTGTCAGCAGAAATAGGGATCTACCAGTGGTCGACTTTGAAATTCAGGTTGGGGATGTCGTGTCTTGGGGAATGCTCACGTTGGATGATGTTTCGATGGGCTTCACGTACCAGGCAGAACAAGATCCACTCATTGTCTTTCACTGCAACATGCTGGTCCCCGGCTTGGAATCTGTACCCGCCTCGATCGTTCTTGATGCGGATGTCACTGGAACGTGGACGGCTGGTTTCTTGGCATCACTCCTGGACATTGTCACATTTCCCATTTCAGTTTCCGGCTCGAACATCTTACAACTGGGCTCGTCAGGAAGCCTTGAAATCCTCGGCGACTGGGATGTGTTCTTCCACATCGATTGGGCGTCTCCAGTTTGGTCGTCGAGATTGGAAGCCCTTGTGTTGGCTGGCCTACCCGAGGCTTCCGTCATCTCGACAGAATCCGTGTCTGAGGCACCTCAGGCTGCACCTGTCATTGTGGAGACGGCTCCTCCCCAAAACATTACATCACGACAAGGGGGAAATAATCAGCTCCCGTTCTGGGAAGATATCGTCAAGCTCAGCAAGGACGCTGGCGGATGCCTTGAAAGTATTGTGAAGAGCATAGATCAGAAGTTGAATAATGTTGTCGACCTCTTGACGGCATTGCAAATTCTGAGCGGTATTCTGGAAACTGGAGTGCCTGGAGGACCGACCAATACACTCTTTGCGATCGAAGTAACTGCTTCCCTGGACTCAACCGAGATTGCCAATTTGCACGAGGCATTTTTGACAACACGGACACTTCTGGTGGATGGAAACTTGGAGTCGATTGCTGATACTCTTCATTCGCTTGGATATGACTTTGAACATACATTCGGTCTGAGGTCTACAGCAGACAAGAAAAGGGAGAAGACAGGACAAAAGGAGGCTTACTTTGAATGTGAAGTACAATATCTTGAGTGGGACGTTTGCCTGGACCTGTTTGGACGCAACGCGAATTGTTCTAAAGCGCAAAGCGGCAACTTCCCCGAGCCAAGTTGTTTCGTCGAAGGTGCTTTGAAGCTGCATGAAGCCCATGCTTTGATCAGAGACGCCGAGCTGTATCAAAGCAACTGCGGTCCAACTGTTGTCGATCGAACTGACATGACACTAACTCCGGGAATGATGACGTTGACTGCTCCAAGCATATTCGGCCTTGACGATGAAAACTGCCAAGTGCCATTCTCGGTCACTTTCGCCAGAGCATCCCCCGACGGAAGGCAGCAAGTTACTTCTGTCCAAGGTGTCTCCTCCGGGTGCCTGGAATTTGGTTCTGTGGACGCAATCACGTCCTCCGTATCAACGCTTCTGACAGATGCGGCAAACAGGGTGATTCAGGTTTTGTCGGGTGCGATGACGGGTGATCTTTGCATCCTCCCTGATGAGAGAGTGTGCGGCGAGCCCACTTTGACTGTGTACGACCAACAAGAAAGTCACACTCTGACCTGCCTGGACGATGTCACAGCTCTAAACCTGCAACAACTATTTGGCCAGAGCGTGTTTTCGGTTGACACCAGTTGTAATTCAATTCCCTCGCCAATCTTTTCTTTTGAGACGGACGATAGGAAAAATCAAATGAACGAGGACGGTTGTGGTCCTTTGGAGATGAAAGTGGCAAGGATGGCTACGGACTGCTGCGGTGAAGACACTGAACCAATCGAGCACACGTTGCTTGTAGAGAGATTACCGCCAAGGTTCACGTCAACGGCTGGTTCACTGGACGTTTCTTTGGGATGCGACGTTAACATTCACCCCTCAGTCACTGGAGTCCCTGAGTATGAACGTGGCTGCATCGATGCCGTTCAGAGTCTCACTGTGGCTGATACGTCTTCGTACAACACAACGACGTGCGCCACGACAATCGAGCGAACATTCATCCTTCAAGACGACGGCTGCGAGCTCACCGAACAAACGTTCGTTCAAAAGATCACCCTGGAAGACACTTATGTTCCACAATTTGACCTCTTTCCTGAAAACGTCACCTTGAAAGTGTTTGATCCATATGGGCCGGACTTGACAGGCTTCCCAACAGCCTTCCAACGGTGCGGAGCCAGTCCTGTGGAGATCACATACGAGGACAGAATTGTTTCTACAGCAGGCGACAGTGACTGCTCAGAAGAATTCACAATCGTTGAGAGGGTTTTTACCGCTACTGATCTATGTGGACGGTACACAACCCGCTCCCAAACGATTCGAATCGGAAATGTGGAACCTCCATTTGAAGAAAAGTCCTTTAGTTTCGTCTACGCCGGCCAAGAGCTCATCCTCGATGGCGTCAACACCACCAGCTGTCTTTTGAATAGCAATGCGTGTGGCATTTGGGGTGCACCTGACAATCAATGCTCCTCTGCTTCCAATGACGAATTCTCCGAATACCAAACATGGTTGTCCAGCCGTGGGGGTGACCTGGCCGGTGGACCGCGTCGCACATCCTGTGAATGCCCTCAGGGCGACCGAGATTGTCAGAGGCAGGTGGACCGAAACGCAGCGTTTGTATACGGCACACAGCCGGTCACGGGCGCGAACGATTTGGAGTATTGCAGTGCAGAGGAAACAGAGGTGGCAACTAGCACCCTTCCCGGCACGGCAGTCCCCACAACAGGTCCTTGTCCCCATACTGACTTTGGGACGACGTGCAGCATGGCGCAACTGACCGGAACTGATCCTGTGTACAACGTCTTTACACTGCAAGCCGAAAGTCTGGCAGCCTTTACCATTAGCATTGATGCACCCACCACAAGCTTTGTGTTGATCAATGTCGTGAGCTCCTCCGACCCCGTCACAGTCGAGATCCAGCCACAAGTGCAGGGTGTGGTGTTGCGTCAAGGAATGGATCCTTCCCGTGTTCTGTGGAACTTTGAGCCTGCGGTCCACCTTGTCAGTGTCACCGATCCTCCTCGTTCGTCGCCCTATCTGTTCTTTGGCACCCTGTTGAACCGACTTGGTTCAATGCGGTTTGACGCCCAAGGACAACGTGCCGAATTCGTGGGTCAAATTTTTGTCAATAACCTTCATCTGACACAACTGCGATTTGAATGCGGAGGCCACTTTGTGGGATTACGACCTCAAAGCTGCGGCCCTGGGCAAGGAGCATCTTCAGAAGAACAACCAGCCAGCGGCCTGGGTAACATTCCACAACCAAATGTTCGAAGGAGCGACGATTTTGGCTTTTGAGCGAGCGTCTCTTGTGTGTTGCCGCCTTATTCTTTTCACATCATCTATGTAGTTGCATAAATCTCAGCATTCATTTTACAAACGTTAACTCAACTAAAATAAACAAAGACTGAGGTATCGGTTTCGACATGAACACCCAAAGAAAACTACCATCAACCCAGAGCATCCCACCACCCAAACTATACAAGCATTTTTACTATTTTGTGGATTGACTTTTTGATTAATTGTTGCAGTTTCAATATCTTTGTTTGGCTTGTGCAATGCACGTTTTGCGCCACCCCTTGGTATCAATGGGATGCGTCAATTCACTGGCATCCGGATCTTCCTTCCAAATTTTGATGGTCTTGTCGGCTTCTCCCGTAATGAGCCGTGTCCCGGTCCCATCAAAACAGGCCGCCATGACTCCATTCTCCGCTTCCAGTGATCCCGGTTGCACTTTGGATTGTCCTGTTTGGAATTGATATCCACTCGTGTAGTCCCAAAATTGCATCGATCCATCGTCGCCTCCGGTGACCAGTACCCCATCGTCATTGACGGCCATGGAATCGACAATTTTTTCATTGTGCCGCGAATAGTTTTTGAGAAATTTTCCGTCTTTTGCTTGCCACTGTTTGACACAATCGGCGGCGCCACTGGCAAATGTATTTTCAAAGGACGGTGCCGCCACGGCGCGAATGGATTTTTGATGATGCGTGAGTGTGGTTTGACATTTTCCGGCAATTAAATCCCACAGTTTAATGGTACAATCGTGCGATCCGGTAATGATTTGTGGATCGGTCGCCTTGGTGAGGAGACAGGCAACGGTATGATCGTGTCCGGTCAAACAATGAATTTGATGTTTGGTGCGCATATCCCAGACACGGGCGACGGCATCGCGTCCTCCCGTGACGAGAATATCGAGTGTGGGATGGAGTGAGAGACAAAATACGCCACTCAAGTGTCCGTGATAGTGTCGAATGACTTGGTTGGTTTCGAGATCCCAGCATTTGACTTGCTTGTCTTCGGCACAACTAAAGAGATACGGATGTCGCGGCGAGAATGCCAAGCCACGGACGGGAGAAATGTGTCCTGTCAATGTCAATTGCAGAGCATCGTCGGCTCCGACAGATGCCTTGGGGAAATTCCAAATTTTGATGGTGCGGTCTCCACTGCCCGTGGCAAAGAGTTTGTTGGACGGATCAAAGGCGATCGAACGGACCCAACCCAAATGCGATGACAGTACTGTAGCCAATTTCCAAGGAGCATGCCACGTAGGAGTGGGAACCTTGATACCACCGGAAGTGTTGTCTCGTTTCACCAAAATTCGATTTTCATTTTGGGCTTCATTGTCGTCGTCTTGTTTGGAAATGGAATCGTACGTGATCAAGGCACCGGATTCACTCCTCGTCTTGACGTTGGCATCATCATCAGCATCATCATCATCCACAGTTGCAACAGCCACCAACGCCGAACTGGTCTTGCTCTTCTTTTTGGTGCTGCTCTTTTTGCCTTCCGCTCCCTTGCCCGCGGCACTGCCCAACAGGTAGCGTTTGCGTCGTTCCATCGATGCCAAATACACGTCGTCTTGGACAATCACATCGGTCGCCAAGAACGCATCTGCAGGCGAACGGTCAAACAAGATGCGGGCTCGTTTCAACGACGAAAGAGACGATTGAGGAGCATACTCGGACATGGTGGTGGTTGCTTGTCTCGTCTTGTCTTTCCGTTGTCTGTGTTGGTTTTGTGTTTCGTGTTTTGTAGCTGTTGTTCTCTGCCGGCTGCAGCAGTTTGTTGCAGGCTACAGTAGCTAAATTACAGCTCTGCTGGTATAAACAGTATCCACGAATGCATCTCTGCTACTGCTCTCATGTACAGCGTACCGCTACCAGTATGGCCATAGCGGTAGCTAGCCAGCGTAAAGAGCTGCATCGCCAGCATAGTGGAAGGGCGGATACTCTCAAGGCCATGCCCACCACCTCCCAGCACACTACTAGCTAGTACTCGTACGGCATCACAGTTTCTTTCCATTGCTCCATCCAATTTGTTGCTGGATGAGATCACTTACTAAAAGGAACGGCATGAATGACGAACCCTCATCAGACATCAGACCATCTACTCATGTGGGAGAAGGTAGTCCGTCTTCTGGAAGACTCCGACTTCTGGCGCATGTCTATATCATCGAATCGGGCTCCAATGATGGATTTGGCCAATTCTTTGGGAGGTCCTAGAATGCTACTACTGCCAGCAGATACCATAGAGCGTCTTGGACGGATTCCAAGGTTTTCAGAGGGATACGCAGTTGATGCTGCAGAGACGATTCGAAAGATGGGTCCTCGCATAGTTGAAGTATTCATGGTATCGCATAAGTGACTCCAATCGCGCAGCGACCCAATGGATGCTTCAACTGGATTTCCAGACACTGCTTCAAATGACAAGGCCAAAACCATAGCAGAATATACCAAATGGAGAATTAAGTGGGTGCGGCATATGCATCAATTTACACCGGTGATTCTGTATTGGATTGGCTATTCTTGTCTCGACCAAGATCATTTGGAACGAGGTGTCCCTCTCATGCCTTTGTGGGTTGCCTGCTGTGAACGGCTTCTTCGCATCGATCATCCTGAATATGATTCCCGTGCTTGGTGTCGCCTGGAGCCCTTGTTGGCTTGTGCCCATGCCTTTGATCATCAAACTGTCATTTCGGTGGGCTTTGAAAATTGCTGGCCGTCCACAGGATTGGAAACCAAACGCCCCCTCCTAGATCCCCGAGCAGGCCATCTGACGGACCCGACCGACATGGCCAGGATTTTACCGCTCATTGAGTAAGCGGAAAAGGCATTGCTAAGAAACCCTGATGTCAAAAGTTGTGATTCTGGCAAAATATATGAAGCTGGAGATAGAGCACATGTCAAGTGCTTTGTGCTGCCGTCACAGCCTGAGGAGCAGGACGAACAGCATCTAGACCAAGATTTCTATGATTGACATTCCGTTGGTTTAGTAACCCAAGCCCGAAGCAACAGTTTAGCTTTATGGTTTTTACTATAGCTAGCTGCTCCCTCTTTGTCTACTAGTGCGTAGCTAGTAGTCTCTACTGGGAATCTTGCAAGCTAATTTTCTAGGGGAAAACCGTGGAGACTGCGCCTTGAGGACTCCTTTGCTGGGCCCCTCAGACCTCAGACCAGGCTGGGCTGCTCTTTCTGGCGATCCTGCTGTCTCCAAAGCTATTGTGTAATTACTAGGGGATCTGTTTCCTTAGAGCTGGTGTTGCCTTGCAGAGGCCTTCGACCGAGAGACTTATCCCGCAGCCGTTCAGCTACCTCCTTTCCATCAACATGCCAGACTGCAAGGACGATGTCCTCTCCTGCGGCTCTGGCCTTCTCTGTCAGAAATCTTCGGGTCCTCTCTAAATGGACCATCAAGCTCGACAAGGATGCGAACTGATATGCAAAACACAGGCCCCTAAAGAAACCGAGACAGATCAATACCAAGTACATTAGGGGGCCCTTGAACGGTACTAAAGGCGCTAGAGTAAAGAAATTCAAGGTCCCAATCCTCTGATGCATCACACGGCAAAGCTTTGCTGAAGACAGCACGAGGGTGCTCTCCTGGCATGGGGGGCCACTGTATGATGGACTTGGCAATAAGATTCGGGAATGGTAACAAAATCTCGGCGTGGATGTTTGTTTGTAAACCACGCTGGGCATGGCGACAACTGAGCTGACGGTCCTTTGTGAAGGTAACATCACACTCAATGATACCGGCTCCCTGAAAGGCAGCACACCTGCCTGTAGCTTTCACGGGTGTAACAGGGGGGGCTGCATTTAGGCACCGCGGAAGCGACCAGTCAGGAGAGACAGAAATGGTTTCAGTTCGTTGGTAAACAGTTCTGTAGGAGGGGCCAACGTTTATAAAGATTCGGATGAGTGAAAGCAAAAGCTTGAATCACCGATATAGCTCGCTTTATTTGCTTAATAACTTGATGTTGCCTGGAGACTGCGTAACCCAATGCCCATGGAGTTGGCAAGAACGGTACTGGCCAGCCCGAGCAAAACCAAAATTCCAACGTCTTCATACAGCCAAGACATGCGACAAACTGAAACGATCTCCCTCCACCAACCCGCCACGTGCTGCCATAGTACCAACCACCAACACGTGGACCTACCCCGTTCCAAAGTCCAGGAAATGACACCCAATCCACGGTCAGATGCTGCTTGGGCATAGTAACATGGAGAAATCAGCAAATCCGTTCCGGGAGCACCCTCCACCAAACGTTGCATGATTGGAGCCACCAGATTGATTGGTATTGTTCTCTACCAAATAGTCCAACCATTCGTCAATCTTGGTGCTGTTGGAATCAGAGGGACAGGATCGAAGGCATGCTGAAGGCAAAATCTGACTGACACTCAGGCCAATCCCAGCGAGAGACCGTTTTCCCGCAGGAATCTTGCTCCCAATATGGCAATTGACTTTCGTAATGCCTGGTCCATTCACGCCAGCTAGCTCTGTACGTCACATCCAGGCTTTAGTCTTCTCGCAATTTCTAAGATGCCCACACTTGTCACTTATATAGAAAGAGCTCATTTTTCGAGAACCGCATCAAGATTTTGATGGAAGCGCTTCTTGTCGGGGAAGATTTCACCATTCATATCCGCCTGAATGGAATCTTTGGAGGGAAGGAAATGATTCACTGTTGCCATGGATAGGAGATCCTTTTTGATCAAACTATCTCTTGCTGAACGGAATTAGAATTCACTTCGTGAAGACGCGACTCGGAAAAGTGAGAGGAATATCAATAATATTGTAGCGATATAGTATCCATGTCTCGAAGAAGTCCTTAGAGCTACAGAAGGATATTATGCCATACTGGGACACACAACCATCGCCCAATTTGACGGAGACTGTGTTCCGGGCAGGGGACGGCAACGGAGACTCCAATCTCTCACATACATACTGTACTAGCTACTCTATCTAGACAACCAGAAATTTTTTTCAGCTACCAGAAAAGAGCGTAACAGACTGGAGGAAGCCAAAATGTGTAATGGTCTTGGCCGGGACAGGCAGATATCATACGGGTAGCAGATGCAACTCCAAATACTGAGTACTGCAGTGTGGTGGCAAGCCAAAGAAGCCCCTTTCAAACCAATGACTTTTTAAGTCAATCTTAATGAATGGGTTTGGATTTCAGGAACAAACTACAGCGTATCGTACAGAAACCAACCAAAACTATAGTTCCGTCCGCATGCGGCAAATTCATGCTCCTTTTCAAACCCAAGAAAGCACAGCAGGAAGGGCCAAATCAAAAATGTGAGGCAAACGGGACTCCATCATCCAATGCGCTGGCCTCGTTGCCGGCCTCGCTCAACGGCACGAGGCCGGAGTGACTGCACCATCCGACACCCATCGTCGTTCAAGGCCGGTTGAGTGATGGCATCAAGCTGTTAGTTTAACTGTTGCTGTGGAGTGGCTTGTCTTTTGTCGTAGTTGACGTTCCGAAGAAAAAGTTTTGTGTCTTGGGAAGTGGCAGGAGAGATAGCAGCTTCACGGAGACGAGACGAGTCCATCTTGGTTGCTTCCGTGCTTGCTCCTCTGCATTGTAAGATTGTGACGACGGTGCCAATCACACGCTGGCTGGTCTAGAGCACCTCTGTTTTTACCGTTGGTGATCTCTTGTTATCCTTGCTGAAACCTGATATCATTCATTGCACCACCACCACAACAGCAACGACAACAACTAGCTAGAAGAAAGATGATGGCGGATGCATTCTGTGGCAAGGGGGAGGGATACGATAGCATTCATCCTCCCAATGTGGTGTTGGTGAGTTCCACTCAGACCAGCCCGGGGCATGATCATGATTTGCCCATTTGCTCTCCATTGTCCACGGCTCCCAATTCTCCTTTTCGTGGACCCAGCTACGATGATGACGAGGACGAGGAGGAAGAGGAGATTTCACCCCAAGAAATACAAGAGCTCTTGGATACACCCGCGTCTCGGCAGAAGCATCCCATTCGAATGGTGGATGTGCCGTTTGATGAAGGAAATCATACCAGAAAAGACAAACCAGATCCCTTGTTGGGAAATCCTCGTCTCTATGTCAAGACACCCACAACAACTAGTACGAAACCAGCCATTGTCAGTCCTGCTGCTGCTACCATGACAGGAAAGAGTCATGTGTTGGAACCCGTGGATGACATTGATGCTTACAGAGATGAAGAGGATGACGCCGACGCTGCTAACAAGGAGGAAAAGAAGGTGGATGATGCACCACGCTTACCTATTTACACCCGTGGATTCGCCAAGACACCCGAGTTTTTGGCTTCCTATCCTCGCGTCGTCCCTCATGCCGTCTCGGAGGATGAAAGTGTCCCCATGGATGAACGACCCACCGGCAACAACTGGAAACAGCAACAATCCTCGCCCTTGTCGGAGCATGAAGAAGTGCAGAGCGAAGCGAGCGACTTTATTGAATGCACACGCAGCGGGGATGACGATATTATCCAAGACGAAGAAGAAAAGACTCCCATGAAAAAGGCTCTCAGAACCGCCGAACGAGAAGTTCAGGAAATGGAACGACGTGTACAACTCATGCTAGAGCAACGGAGACAAACCAGTCAACGGTCGCAGCAGAGGTTTGTCCAAGAAGAAGAATCCTTTCATGACAGACCAGATCCCATGATTGAGATTGACGGAGAACCACCTTCTCTTTCACCAGGCGCAAGGAGGAATGCGTCCATGGACTCGGGAACTTCATCCTATTACTACGATGGATCGGCAATTGCCAGTAGTAGCACTGCCAGCAGTATCAACAATACCACTCACAGTAGCATCAACAATACCACACTGGACACTACGGCCTCATCCTTGCCACCAGCTGCGAGACGACGACGACCCAAAGACAACACGGATTACTATCTGGCAGGTGTATCCTCACCCACCAATGCATTTGATGCCTTGGCATCCAGCTTTGAACAGGAAGGAAATAATGGATCCTTTGCCCAGGTCATGTCAGGGACGAGCAAGGCATTTACCCAAGTCACGGACGATCTCACCAATTTCTTGGTGGGACCAGCTTCTCCCAAACAACAATCACCACAATATCCGCCTGAACAACGGTATCCTCCCGTAAGCCCGTCTCATGACAGTGACTGCACACCTAATGCTGGCAACCTGTCGCCTCGGTCAGTACGCAAGCAGACTTACAGGAACGACGATGACGAAAACATTGATGTTCTGTTCAGTCGTCAACGTGCCAGTGCAAAATTGGCAAGAGCACGCTCCTTGATATCGGAACGTCAATCCAAATCACCTACTTCGGTACCGCCTTTTGATCCCAAACAAAGGGCTCGTCAGGTCATGAACAAGCGAGAGAGAGAACAGCAGAGTCTGAGTCGTCCTTCTTCCACTACGAAACGCAGCATTAGCAGTGCGGGTCGCGTGGAAGGAGCAACTCGTGCTGTGGGCTCTGCTTCAAGAGTTTCTAATAATGCTTCCAAACAACATCGCAGCAGCAGAGAAGCCGAGGCGAATATTCCATTTCCACCGACTCTTCATCGGATTGCCGCCATGATGGAGGAGTCCCTGGGTGGTGGTGAATCATCTGCAGAAATTGCCGAGGAAGTGGCTCGTGACCTTGCGGCATCCAATGCCGCATACAGCACTTCGCCAGCACCTGGTGACGATTGGCCGACTAGTGTGAGTCAGTTAGTCGAAGAGTATCAGACAGCGATTACAGCGTCGCTCAGGAACTTGTCCATGGAGGAAGTTTCTGGGCTTGCAGCTGCAGCAGGGAAACAGCACGTTTCCCCTGAATTCGGTAAGGGCACAATGGTATCTCCTGGCGTGTCAGTATCACCCCCGTCGCGATCCCCCATACCGCGGGAACTCAACGAAGCTGTTGCTGCTACTGCAAATAACACTGCCGCAGATTCCACACCAAATAAGCAAACAGTTCCCGTCCCTTCTTCCACAGACAAGACCAAGAATGAATCCTATGACAACTTTATGGAAGAAATGACACTTGGGGCTTGCTTACAAATGCCAGATTTGAATCATCCTCCTCTGCAAGACTCTCATCCAAACAGCACCACGGCCCAAAACGTTGCAGGGTTGTTGACATGCGAGAGAAACACGGAATACGAGTACCATGATCAGCATGACGAGGAAGATCGGCAGCTACATGCAGTTGAGCATCATGAACGGGCTCTCTTTGCCAAGCAACTGTCCGAGCGACTTTTGACTCTCAGCCCAAATACGTCCACAGACAAGAGCGGCTCTATTGACGACCCGTCACCGGCGAAGTTTAACCATGTGCGAAAGGATTTAGGGCTTGCGTTTGTTGCCAACGAATATCCTGGAATATCACTTCCGAAACGAACGAATGCCAGCATGCTCACGTCGGATTCCAAGGACGATGGTCGTGGAGGGCTCTTTGCTTCAAATGTACCTCGGGATCTTCCAATTTCCGACGATCAACCAAGTATGTTGTCAGAGGCTTTCAGTTGGGAGCATCCAAGCCGAGGCGCAACTCCTGATCGCTCAAGCCAGAGCAAACCTACTTCCGCTTCGAAATTGAACATCTCCAGTGGATCGCATAAGCTGTCAAGCATCAAACCGACAATGGTAGAGAGCATTGACAACGAAACGGGTATTTCCAAGGGTGATGTAATGTTGTCGTTGCTCTGCGACAACTCATTTTATGCATCGATGGAAAAGCCTGATTCTTGGGCGTGGCGTGTCCGGGAAGCCATTTTGAGAGGGCGTGAAATGCGACGAACTATGTTCACGGATGGAGGTCGGGCCGCTGTTAACCAAGATGGCTCCGTTCGTGATAGCCGACGGTCTCTACCGGTGGACGTAGATGATGTTCGTGTAGTGGGAGGCATTCACAACGTGGCTTCGATTCAAGCAAAAGCGTTGGGGCACATGGACCTGGACGAGTTTGAGCAAGCGCTGGAACTGTACGAGGACATTATTTTCAATTATTACTCATTCTTCGAGCAGGTTCTTGCAAAACGGGACGAGTTCTCCTCAGAGGATGTTACGATGGAGCTGTCCAACTTCAAGCCATACATTGGTGCATCTTTGCACAACCTTGGGGTCATTCACTTGCTGAAGGGAGACTACGAAGATGCGTTCTCGTTCTTCAAGCGAGCTGTGGACAATCGACGGGCGTGCCTCGGAGAAGGACATTCTGATACAGTTGTAAGTTTTCATTGGTTGTAAGGGCCGATGGCCTTTTGTTGGAAAGGTTCTCATGCCAACCATGTCATTCTCTTTCTGTCAGACATCTCTAGTTCGCTTGGCGACTTGCCGCTTTGCAATGGACAATTTCGCAGATGCGCATACCAGCTTGGAACTGGCACTCGCCCTAGCCGGCAGCAAAGCAAAGACAACAAACGACTACTGCCAACTCGGTGAGATTCTCAACAATCTTGGATGCCTATCGTACATGTGTGGTCAGCCTTCGAAGGCCATGAAGCTTTTCAGAGAAGCCTTGGACGTTCAACTGGCGGTTCTCAATTCGACGCTGTACGGAGGTTCCATGTACTCTGCACACTCGGCCACCTTGAACATCTCGATTACTCGAGGGAACATTGGATTCTTGGCGCTCGTGTTAAAGGATGTTTCCAGTGGGATTGTGGCGCTGGAGTCTGCCTTGCGAGTAAGTCGTTGAGATCGAAGCCTCGATTGTGCCCTGCGCCTTGCCCTACTGCGACGGAATCAGTGTGACTCATTGTTTGCTGCCATGATGACAAATATAGGAACAACGCCTCCTCCTTAATGGGGCCCATGTAACTCTGGTGTCTACAATGGACCACTTGGCTGTTGCCAACCTTCTCGAAGGCAGAACCCAAAAAGCAATCAAGGTATGCCTGTGTGCCAGTGTTCTCTGCTGTCTGTTTCCTCTTGTGGTGTCAAGTCGTCTTACATTCTGCCTTGTTCGCTGTTTGTAGATGCTTCGGCGCATTTACGAGTTGCAACGAACCGCACATGGGGCCAACGACCCACGTACGATGGCGACTCGACAAAAGATCTTGACCATTCGAGGCCAACAAATGGCGGCGTCTCCGAATGCAAATACGGCAAAAGAGGCTGATACTCCGGTCAATGTACGTAGCCCACGAGAGGCTCCTCCCGACGAACGCAAGGTATCTCGGTCCAAATCCGAAACTCCGGTTGTGGTCACCGATTTCAGGCACACCCCACAAGCACAGAGGCCACTGAGCCAACCCATCATTCGACAGGCCAGCGATGGTTCCAGAGACCCCCGTAGCAGCTCCAACAGTGTTTCCACGAACGGCAACTCTGGTGGCAGCAAGGTCAACTCGGTTTTCAAGGCATTTCGATCTCTTGGGAGGAAGAAAGCGACCTAGCTAGCTAGCACTGCGCTTTGATTTATTGTTGCTTGTTCGCTTTTTTGGTTATCAAAGTGGGGTATTGAAACAAGTAGTTTAAATTCCATTCAGTTTATCCCAAGGCAGCCAAATTAATCGCTGGCTGCTCATCTTCCACTGCTTCGCTAGCTAGGCTACCGTAGCTAGGGTAGGCATGCATCTCCTTGTTGATTCCAATACTAGTACAGCATATCCACAGGAATGGCCAGCTTCCGCTTTTCTACTACTGTACTTTTGGCTGTACGCGTAGCGTAGCGCTGCTATCATTGCCTGGGCAGTTTCAAACCTGAAGTCTGCATCATCTGTGTCTGAACCATTCAGGGGGATATAGAGATTTGATGTAACATAAAGCTCCACCTACCCCATCCAGCCCCTGACCTGTCCACAGGTGTCTGCAAGTCTCAGACAGAGTCTTCCTAGTAACAGTCATTATCTGAGACTTTGACAGCTCCAAGTGTGACTCAACATACCACTAAATCTTTTCCTAGATTTCCCAGAAAGAGTTTTTCCAATTATTACCAAAGTTTTACCACAAGGTGCACAAAATAATAGCAATAATAATGTGGTGATCTTTGGCCGTTGCGAAATGGACTCACCGGCGGTACCAGCACGCAAGCTACTACTGGCAGTAGCACTGGATAGGTACACGCAGCCCTCACACGAGAGGAGGTGGTAGCTAGCTAGCTCTGACCTTCGACGCATGTCTTCCTCCTCTCCCTCGAGCTTGAAGCCATGCGGGAGGCTGTCTCGAACATTGTAGCTAATGAAATGTGCAATGGACAAAACCTACATGCCCCGTAGTTGATCACGATTACTACAGCAGCAACTGGCCGCGGCGTGTGCTGGGACTAACAAGCAGCTTTTGTGGTACATAGCAGGCTGCCTGCGTTGCTTTCCATACGTCTTGTTGCTTCAAGATTTGTAGTTAGTACATCCAAGCCTCAGGCATCTGTCTTCCTGAAGGTCGCAGCATCCAAAACAGAAGCCTACGGTACTTAGCTAGATACCTTTAGCCAATCTAGATCCAGCCTACTTCAGGTACCGTAGATTTGTACGTAGACTAGTTGCCAGTGGCCAGCCACCATGAACCTCGAGGATGCTTTCGATTTTTTCACTCCCAGAACACCTCGTGAGAGGCTGAGTGGCTGGGAAGGGTCATCGCTGTTAGGCTTAGGGTTAGCGGCGCGGCGGTGCGTGCCACCTGCTCCAGCGTTATTAGAGGGAGAGGCTTCATCTTACATGTATCCTCTGTGTATCGACGTATCGAAAAGGTACAAGGAGTAAAGGTACCGCTCTGTTTGTTGGTTGTTGCATATAGACTGCTAGCTAGTGGTAGCCAGCTACGAACTGGAAGTCTGAGAAGGAAGGACAGTGAGAATCTAGTTAGCCGAGGCAAACGTTGTGGCGAGGCGACAAGAACAACGAACGACAATCCAAAAGTGTGTCGAGTACGGAGTCTTTTGCCGTAGTCTCGATAGCTGTCAATCTATCAATCAATCAATCAATACACACACAACACGCAAGATGAGCAATCGTCGGGGCGGTCCTGGCGGTAGAAAGGGCAAGAACAACAAGAACAAGCAGGGCAAGGGAGGTCCTGCTTCCTCGTCGCTGGTCCCACAAATACCTCCTAAAGATGAATATCACAACCTCTCTCTGCCGTGCTGTCGTTTGCTATATGACACGTGCCAAGAGCTTTGGACTGTGGATAGATCGTTGTTGTTGAAGCAGAATCAACAACAGCAACAACAACGTCCTGCTAGTCTCCTGGGCCAAATGCTCCGCAATCATCTCTTGGAGAAACGACGGGAAGAAGTAGCGGCCATGGCATCAGCTGAAGCTTCCAATCCAATAGGAGCTGCATCTTCGATTGGTGCTGCTGTAGGGCCATCACCCAACAAGAAGAAGAAGAAAAAGAAGAAGAAGAAAGGCAGCAAAGCACCCGAGTCAGTTGCTGTGGCTCAAGCTGCTGTAAGCTCCTCAGACAACCCAACAACAACAACAACCTCATCATCACCAACAACAAAACTGTACAACAAGAAACCGATGAAACCGATTCTACTGCTGCGATTTCTTCCACTGTTTCACAAGACTCTCAGTCGGTCGTATCCAAAGAAGAACCAAGAACATCGTACAGCAGCACGGGTGCAACGTCGACTCTATCGGCGTCCAATACAACCAGCACTGTGACCCAACCGTCGCACCATCCCAACCACTCCCAGCTCTCGTCAGAGCTGACAACTCCTGTCGACGCTTATTTAGACCGGCTTATAGCACAGCAGCAGCAGCTGGAAGAATTGGAGCAAGAAATCAACTCTTCGACGAACGACGAAAACAACAACATTCATTCATCGCTGACGTCTTCCGCGTCGTCGTCCCCACGGAATCTAGATTCCTTTCTGAAATACTTGAACGAGAAACATCGTTCGTCAGGCGGAACGGCATTGTGCATTACACATCAAGAAGTAGAAACGGCGTTCCAGGCAATCACTTGTCCCGTCTGTCGGCATGCCATTGATCGAGTGTTGCAGCAACATTCTCGGCAACCAGTCTTTTTGGGCGGATTTCATTTTGGAGACCACGTACCATCCTACAACAACAACAATCACAACGGACTTGCCATTCCGATACACAACCCCCAGCAAAACACGACGGAACCACCTTCGCCGAGTGTCGACTTTGACTATGTCGCTCTCGAAGAGGGCGTCACGAATCACGGTGGTCCGTGGGGACAAGACAGTTCTATACAGGGAGTACCCTACTTTCACCCTCAGATCATCACATCAGAGCCTACTACGAGCAATCACGAGGACAACAGCAACAACAATCGTGCCCACAACAACAACAAACAACAACAGCGGAAGCAAACAGATGCAAAAGGGGAGGAACAGTGGCCCCCCGCCAAGGCTACTGCTAGTAGTAGGCAGCAACGGGTGCAGCTGGAATGGCGGTTTGTCTCCTCGTCGTCGGCATCCATCGATCAGACGACAACAACAACCGATGCCAAAAAAAACGAGAACGCGACGACGTCTGTCGACGCGATTACGATCGAGGATGTGGAGCACGTTGTCAAGAACGTCATGTTGCCGCTGTCGCTGTCTGCGGACGACCTCATGGGGGCCGATACGACAAGCCTCGACGGCGATGAGCTGGTCAAACTCTGCAACACAATATGTGACTTGGATGGTTCAATGAAAGACGATCTCGTTAAAATCAAGCAAGAAATTGTCAAGTACAAAGAGCAATTGGAATCCAACCAAGATGACTCCACCAACAATCGAGCCGACGCGGAGATTGAATTGAGGGTTGGTCCCGCTTATGAAGAACTGGAAACTGGTCTCGAGCAGCTCTTGTATGAGGTTGTCATGGATGTCGTATGGGACGGCCTGTTGTGGTTGAGTCGCGACGGTGACAATGTGGTCAGGACCACAGTGTCATGGAAGTCCGCAGTGTATAATTTGACCGAAGCCGTAACAAGGGCTCTCCTCAACATTATGCAGATTGTGGAAGAGTTCGAGAATGGGTTGGCAGAGATAGCAGACAACATGGGAAATGTGCCTGCGATGTTTGTCAGCAAGCAGCATCGGGTGATATACCGCAAGATGCTGGAACAGAAGATAAACGTGTTACAAACGTTGATCAATGCCGTCGTAAACGCGAGCAGCTTGATGGAGTTTGCTTGGCCATCAGTTGCTGTACATTCCATTTCTGGCAACCCCGATTGGACCTCGAAAGACGTTCACGAACGAGGACTTTTTGTGTCTTTTCGTCGAAAATGGTTTGCACAGCAAGAGTTCTTTCGGTGCCTCGCAAAGAAACAGAACCGGGCAGAGAGTACAAGAAAAGGATCCCCCAATACCAAAGCAAAGAATTCGCAACGAAACAAGACATCTCCACGAGGCACCCCCGATAGCAAGCCTTGGGAAAACAAAGTCATTCAAAAGTTGGATACGAGTGGCGACGATTTGCTCCGTTCGTTGATTGACTTGTCAAAGCCCGTTCGAATAGAATCAATCCCGGCGAGAAAAGAAGAGCAAATGGTTCGATGTGCAAAGTCCATGGGTCTCCTAGAACGAATAGGCGGGGATGTATTTGCCCCATTTGCAGACACGGAAAATGCAAAAAATCATCCGATCAGCTTTGCTCTTCAGGACGAAAACTTGAAGAACCAGTGCCGGACTTTGTCTACTCAAATAAAACAGCAACAGACACGGCAGATGTTAGCTCCAGAAGAGCAACTTCCGTCGGAACAGAGAAGGCACGCGGCCTACATGACTGTGAATTCGATCCACCTCCTGAGGAAGCTACGCTTCTGCGTCACTGACAGCTACGAACAAAAAACCCCGGAACCAGTATTGCCCATATGTGTGATATCATGGATCAACAACCTCCCCGTACCTCAAATTGGGCAGTCAGTCAGCATCCCGCACATCGACATGCGCAATTGTTCATATGAGACACTGATAAATGCGTTTTTGGTGCAGGAGAAACATATACAAACTTCGCAGTGCCCCGGTGGATCAGGGCAGCCGCGTCTCACTGCGATCCTGCTGGCTCTTTTGTATGGAAAATTGTCGGACCAATGCTCGCAATGGCACGCTGAACTTGCCGAGCAAGAACTTTTGACGAATATGAATGAGAGTGAATCGGGGCTTCAAACTGGCACGCAGAGCGGGGATGCTCCCTCTGGTAGCAAGAAGGACACTGCAGCGGGACGAAATGGAGTAGCGACGAATCAACCACCGCAGGGGAAAACAAAGAAGAAGAAAAAGAAAGGAAGTACGAAGGCGCAGGCATCTGTTGAGAGTGCGACGGGATCCGATCAGGGAGCCGCAGGTGGGGCGGAATCGAACCACTTGTTGCAGAGTCCCGCTACGGAAGACGCTGCCACCATGAACGGGCACCAGGAACCTAAGGGCGCCAACGTTAAGACCGACGAAACGGATGGAATAAAAACCAAGGGAAACACTACGAAGGATGACAATGTCAACATTGCGGAGACTACTGTCGGCGTCATGTCCGATGTTCAATCGGCTGAGATTGCCACGGAGAACAGTCGCGGTGAAGACCGAGCTGAGATCTCAACTGTTGAGGTGGACAAAAACATGGGGGTTAGAGATTTTTCAGGTGCGGTCCAATCTGCCGAAGGTTTCTTGGTAGGAAGACTGACTGCGCTGTTCAAGGAAGCCGCACAGGGTAAGGGCTCGGTGTTAATAGTCTAGCTAGCTAATTGATGAAGTAATGAGCATCGTTTTGTAGCACTTCATGGTTACCGGTACTAGCAAGTACCTTTTGCTTGTCCCCAAAAAACAGTTCTGTAACAAGAAGTTTTTGGTCCCACGAATGTCTGAAACTTTGTCTTGATTCGGAAACAGTCTGAAGATGTCTGAAACTTCAGAAGTGTCTTATTGTGCTGCTCAGTAATGCTAAAAACTATTTTTGCTTTTGCTCATGTTTTACCCCAGGGTGCTTGGAGTACTTCCGTAAATAACTTGCTAGCACACTACCGTAGCGAGGAGCAAGGTCCTGGCCTTGTCCAACACAGCCAAGAACCAAGCCCGGCCCTTCACGAGACGTCCGGTCTGATGACCTCTCTTGTAGTTTTGCCTGTTTTGGTCCAAGAATGAAGCCTCGAGTGAGTAGGTTCAGAGTCGGGGCTGCCTGGTGTGGGTTCTGGCTGGTATGGTGTTGTCCGAAGTGATGTGGAACTAGTAATACATGTAGCTAGTGTGGGCCCAGGAGGTCGCACCGTTGGTCTAGCTACCGTAGCAACAATCAATCGTAGGACGGGCTCCAGGGGTTTGGAGGAGCGTGGCCAGGCGAGGGAGCTTGTCTGGTAGCAATGCACACGGGTGTTTCTCAAAAGTGCTCCGCGGTTGGATTGTTACTGTAGGGCAACAAGCGTCAGAGTGTTACCGTCGAGCTGGTACTGTACTTTCGATAGGACTTTGGATCAATATGATTCTACTCGGGTACTCTGGAGTACCGTAGCTGTACTCTACCATTCCGCACTCACATTTGTATCCATACACCCTAATGCCCGCTCGAATACACGATGAACCACTGGAAGAATGCCATTGATAGGCGCGTGCAACGCACCTGGGAGCGGCCAGCTAGCGGTATGGTTGCCACACTGCGGTAGGTACCGGTACCACTACTGGCTCTGATTGCCGAGCGCCACAGGCTATTAATAATAGCATAAAGGCTGGGTGGACCAACTAGCTAGCTGCAATGTATGTGTGCCAAGTGCAAAAACTGGGTTACTTGGTTTTTTAAAAGGTAAAAAAGCAAACAAGAGGCAATGGCATCGGCACGGCAAGATACAAAGCCGTTGCAACGGGATGGCAGGTTTTACGGAGCATAACCTATCTCCCCGAGGGCCGTGGCTATGATATGCTATGCTGCAGGAGCAATGGTCGCCCCCCGCAACAGCATAACATTGAAAAGGAATCCTTCAAGATCTTGATCATCGATAGAACTCAAGATGCCGGCCTTCTTACAGTTGTGAATGGAATCCAACAATGACGTAAGGACATCGCGGGCCGTTTCATAGCTGCTCAGGTCATACAATAGAGCCGCCTTGTTGTTCAATGCGGCAAAGAGGAGCAGCTTGGAGCATTCAATGCCGTATCCGCTGTTCTTGATATGCTCCAAGGAAAAGTCGTAGACAGTCAACGCACTGAACAGGAACTTTTCACCAAGGCGGCGGCTCAGGAAATGAAGCGTCAATCCCATGTTGAACTCAATCACACCAATGTAGAAGGAGATGTTTGCGGGGCTTAGAACCGGAGTGCTAGTGAACGTGAGAGCCTTTGTGTAGACGAAATGATTGTCTCCTCCGTTTTTGACGGAAGCAGAATGGATCCATGGTTCTGCCGCAGATGTAGATTCCGTTTCATGTGGCCGGTATTGCGGTGCATCTGTGGCTGCCATAGGCGGTGTCAGATTCGGAGCGCCAACGGAGGCGGTCTTTGGAGCGACGAGATGCAAGTTCCTCGGCACCGGAGGCATCATCTTGGGCACGGAGCCTCCATTTTCGTTACAAGCATTGGCAACATACGAAATCGTCTCCAGCGCAACTTTGAAGTACTCGAGAGCGAGAGCATCGTCACCGAACCCCAGCAATTGCACGCCCTGACCATTCAACTCGCTTGTATACGCTATCCAATCCATGGCAGATTTGGAAAAGTAGGGCTCTCAAACTACGGCTGTACTTACAGCTGCGTGTTATCTACTAGCCACCGAAGGTACTAATACACTGTAGGTGACAGGATCTAGATTGTTGTGTCAAACTTTTTGAGAACACGAACTTCTATCAAATGCTGCAGAAGCAAGGAAATCTCCGCCCGAACAAACTGGTCGCGACACCCTGGTCGCTGGAGGTTGGTCGCAGCTACTGAGTACAATACCTGTATGCATGTATGCATAGATTGTGGATGTTGCATCACTTAGATGATCACTAGCTAGCTAGAGAATCGAGAAGTTGAAACCTTTTGAAGGTCTCTAACTGCGACTAGCGGATGTGTGCTATCTTCAAGAGCGGTTTTGTTGCTTTTCTCACCATATTATGAATGATCTACTGCCTGCTTCGCTTCACATCTTGAAGAGTCCCACGTCGTGCCAGGTTGCGTGGCCATAATATAAGAGCACAATCTCCTCTCTCCTCTAATCGAGCTAGAACCGCTTTAAACCATTTTTTTCACTGTCACCATCTGTTCATTCGTTGCTTTCTGATTTATTATTCTTGTCAGCTGTCAAAATAATGGTTGCATCATCTCCAAACAGCCCTGTTAAACAAGTCTGAGCCCAAAATAATGCGCGTTCCAACAAGGATCCCGGAAAATAAAGATCGGATGGAAAGTCCAGAAGCCGTAAAAGTCGCCCTTCATGAGAATGTGTGAAAGAAAAGCACACAGCGTTGATTGGAGACCCATCTTGCTCTACCAGTACTCGTACCGTAGCTGGCAGCTAGCTAGGTACGGTAGTGGTGCCGGTACATGGCAGATGGCAGAACCCTCTGCCACCCTCCACCTCGCCCCAAAGAGAAAGCTTGAAAGCTTTGCATCTTGCATCCTGGTAGCTGGTACCGGTACTGGCTAGTAAAAGTAGCTGGTACCCTTGTCCACCTATCTCACCTATGCGACTCCTAGTATGCCAGTATTCCGGAGGATCAAGGCGGAAACTGACGGAATAGTAAGGAAAACTTTTGCAATTGCGAAACTACCTCCAACAAAACAGGGGTTCCAAGCAATCACCGACATGAGGTCCCGCAACTTTTTCTGGTAAGCCGAGCTAGCTAGCCAGCAGGCCCCCACTGGTTATTTGGCGTGAGATGTTGGGGCAATGTCATGATGTCATGTTGAGGCGTTGAGGCACGGTTGCTCAGCTATACAATGTGACGGGTGTAGTTGCCGGGATTCTGCGATGCTTGGCTATTGGCTAAGTAGCCAGTAGGACTAGCGGAGGATTGGATCCGAAGGATTCCATTGGATTGATTCAAGAGGTTTTGTGGTTCATGGTTCATGGTCTCCATGCATTTTCTTTTGAATGATGAGGCACTGAGGGAAACAACATCGGCAACCGATAATGCGTTGAATTGGGGTTGGATGGAGCCTCACAGATGCAGATGGTTTGAACTTTGAAGAGGCCAGTTTGCAGCTTTGGAGGCAGGCTATCGAAGAGGATGCATCAGCATAACTAAATCAGGGCCGCAGCAAACTCCGTGGAAAGGCTCAAAGACTGACTGCAATAGCCGGCTACATGTTGCAGTCAACTAGATCTACATGTTGCAGTCAGTACGAGGTACCGGTACGTCGTACTGCACAAAACTGTTCATCTGGCACAACAGATACCACAATCATAAGCAAAACAAAGTTGACGTAGGTAGGTAGTAGTATTTTAACATGTTAGGCGTAGTAGGAACTACTAATTGTTTACAAAGTCAACATAACAATGGTGCATTGCCGTTCCATAGAACGAGTGTCATTGGCAAATGGCTTGCTCCCATCGAGCATCATGAAATCCTTGGCCGCTATGTCGTACTCCACGGTGCCACCCAATTTGTTGGTCCAAATGTGCTGGGTTGCTGGATTGGTTGGCTCCACAACCACAGAGGCAAAACCCTTCTCTCGAGCATAGTCTGCAGTCAGCTTGCGAAGACGGCTGGCAAGTCCTCTGCCAGAATACTGCTTGGAGGTTGCTCCCATGAAGGCATGAAGAACCTCATTTTGCTTGACTCCAGCAGCACAGCCAAATCTTTTTTCTACTAGTTGAGTGTCCAAGAGCTCCAGAAGGGCAAAAATTGGAATGGCTTCAGGAAGGTCTCTTGCAAGATCCTCACTAGCTTCTTCATCAGGGTTCATTGTATCATAAAAGTCTTCATTCAGCATGGCTGCTACAATGCGGCCAGTTTCGTTATCCATACAGACCAAGGATAGTTCGTCTTCAATGCACTTGTCCACCAGTGCTTCCACCAAGTGCTCCTTGAGCAAATCTGCAGTAATACCTAGAAACTTGCAAAAGGGCTCTCCTTCGGCAAAGCTTGTGGCCACCATAGAAATGATATCATCACGATGGCTTGGCTTCTCAGCAATGAATGACTTGTTGAGAACACGGATGGTGAATCCAGGGCAGGTTGTAGTGTCAATGAACATATTTAAAGGGTTTGGTTGTAGTTTTGCTTGTTGTTGATTTGTTTTCTTGGGCTGAAGTGTGGAAACTTAGATTTGTGAGCCAATTGCTAATCGCTGCCAAACCAATTTGGGTGTCTTGCCAACAAAAAAAAAGGTGGGATCCACTGTGACTCAACTCAGTGTTCCACAAACATGACAAAACCTGGGTGGGTCAGGCTCGTGTGGGCTGGCATTCTGGAATGATTCGATTCGATTCGATTCGATTCTTCGATTCGATTCAATTATTATTGAACAAATCTTTTCGCAGGCTGCTTGCGCGATGGACCACCATGTGTACATGTATCATTCCACGCTTTCTTCCACGATGACGTCAGTCAGTCTCAGCCATCAGCTTTCTTCGGCTCTCGCGCCCCTCATCACGTCAACAAACCTTTCGAAGTGGGCTACCGGTGGCTAGCTCCAGAATACTAGTACGGCCTCCGTTTCCGCTTGACCCTCGTGGAATTGTCTATTTCATTTTGCTCGTCAATTGCGGCTTCGAATTCCCCCAGGCAATAAAGCCAAAAGATTTCTGAATACTATCTTCGATCACAACAATTACTGTCATGAGGTGCCGGGCAAGTATCTTCGTTTGCTTGAGTGTCGCCTTTTTCAGTCAGGCTTCATTTGCACTTCAGAACCATCAGCCGCGACCTTCCCATGCGGACAACGTAAAAACTCAGGGCATTCGACGGGATCAGTTTTGCTCTTATTTGGTGGCGGCAAGTGGCGCAAGCGTTGTTTCATGCTCGCCCAACCGAGCGAATGCCGAAAACGATGACGGTGTTACCGTATACAAGAACCCCTCGGGGCTGAAATACGTTGAGATAAAGACGGGAACAGGGCCTTCTCCTGAATACGGTCAGCTTTGTGCTATTGAATACACGGGATACCTCAAACTTCCCACTGAAGACAAGCCTCAGAAATTTGACTCGAATGATTTTTTGATCAAACATGGAAATGGCCGCATAATTGCTGGACTGGACGAGGGTATCCACACCATGAAAGTAGGAGGCAAACGAAGGCTAATTATCCCCCCAAAGTTGGGATATGTCGAGTCTGGGCTGGGCCCAATTCCGGAACTTCCATGGAATCGATGGAGTCTCAACAGATTGCTAGGACAAATGATAGAACAGCGAGGTGGAAATCTCGTTTTTGAGGTTGAATTGAAAAGCGCCATGGACGATGAAGCAAGTCAAGGATACTATGAAGATGCATCTCCAACTCCAGAGGAGCTTGAAAGGCTTCGAACAAAGTTTCAGGAACGGGCGGATCAGTTAGAGGGTTCCGACAGTGCTTGAACACGTTTGATGTTGGTTGTTGGGGCGGACACTCGACTCTTTCCTCATTCTACAACAAGCAACTATAGTCGCAGCAACGATCATACCAATTGGCTAGAAATTTCAACCAACAATACTATTCCAATCCGCTGATCATTACTGCATTTTCTTACACTTTCGTTAGCTTATTTACTTTGCCGTACGGACTACGAAGTTCCGTCACGAAGTTCGACCATCGTTTCTTTAGCTCATCTTTGAGGTATTTGGTGGCTCCTTTGATTTCTACAATGTAAGGAGCAGCTGACGACACAAAGTCGAAATCGGAATCCAGTGTCTTGCCAACACCATCCATTTGAGACAGAGCCCGAGCAACAAAGGCATATTCGGCTGGCAACGAGAAGAACTTCATTACGTCCGAGTCTTTCGTAGAAGCTGGAGTTTCCTCTGAGACAGCTGTCGTGGCGTTTGATGACATTGCTTTGGCAGCCGTACTGTCTCCTCTCGTGGATTGATAACCTTTCCGTTTCAACTTTTTCTGGTTGGCCTTCACTTTGCCAGTGCGATAGTTCTCTGCAACTTTGGCTCTAACCAAGTCCAGGTTGGCATCCTCATTCAGTACTCCCATGGTTTGAAAGGCGTCCACGGAGCGTTCCACGTCCAAGTCAATAATGGCTTCCATGATATCCAAGATGCCATCCGCTTGGTTTACATTGAGACTCGCTGCTTGGCCAAAGTCGTAGAACACCAACCGGACACGGCGACTGTCCTTTGATGTCCTCGTCCTACGATCCAATAGTTCCACTCCCAAATTTCCGGGATGAGGGTCGGTTGAGAAGAACAAGTTGCAACAGAATTGTCGAAGATAGGACCTTGCCAACATGTCCGATAAGTATTCTCGTTCCTCCATTGTCACGTTGGCAGCATCCAATTTGGCTTTGTTGGTTATTTTGATGCTCGGTACGAATTCCATCACCAACACCTTCTCTGTGGACAGATCCGTGTAAACGTATGGGGTACGGATCCACGAAGCAGCACTTGGAAGCGGTTCCCCATCTTTGGACGTTGCAATCTTGCTATGATCCACAGCAGCAGAAGACGAGGATTGTCGTTTCAAGGGTTTCCCTCCAATATCGAGGCCAAAGTCATCCGCAAACCGCCTTGCATTGGTAGCTTCGTCACGATAATCAATCTCTCTGTACAGAATCTCTTCAGCATCTGAGAAGATGTCAGTCCAACTCTGACTCACCCCACCAACATTGGATTTGATACCCCCCATTTTGTCCATAAAGGCAGCCAGTTTATTCATTACAACCAAGTCCTGGTCATAGATTTCACGCAACTTGGCTCGTTGAATCTTCACTGCCACTACTCCATTGGTCTCATCATCTTTGCCCTTTATCCGCACGTTGTCATGTAAGACAGCCTTGTGAACTTGTCCCAGGCTGTGGTAGCGAAAATGAGCGAGTCAATGATCGTGAGACTGGGTTGTCTTTTGACATTCAACCTATTTGTGCCAACCACCCCATTAGCTAACTATCTCACCTAGCGGCTGCCAGTGGTTCTGGGTCGAAATCAGAAAACACTCGATTGAATTCGTCTTTCCCTCCCATTGCTTCATATGCCAGTTCCAGAGCGTCCCTGCCACGCCTAGAAGGCACTTGGTCTTGTAACTTTTCCATGGCAGTGATCCAAGCAGGAGGCAACAGATTGTCGCGACAGGACAAGATCTGACCCATCTTGATATACAACGGTCTGTTATATTATCAGCAGCAAACATCCGAAATGAAAACAACAGGTAAGGTATGGCAAACCCAGCATGTAGATGGCTTCAATATTTTGCTTACCCCAACTTCAACAGGCCATCAGCAAAGACATTGCCGGTTCTTGTTCTGATCCTTTCTGCCAACTCCTTGCGCTTACAGAGTTGCAGTACTCGAGTCACTAACCACAATGGGAAAATCTGTAAGCACACCAAGGACCCCAGTGCCCGTCCTCGAGCGCCTGGATGGTTGGCATACCGTGACCATTCCGAAGTCGGGTCCAAGGACAGTCTTTTTTGTAGTCGCAGCCACCGAATCATCAAGAATGACAGCAACGAAAGCTTGATGATCTTGCGACAAGTACGGGCAATGGGTAGAGTGCGCTTTCCCCACAATGAGCCCAGCAATGATGGAGAGCTAGTAGTAGCAGCAGCAGCTGAAGAAGCCGCCCAGGCTGTGTTGGATGAAACTGTGGTCAAAGCAAATAGCACCCCGACTGCCAACCTTGTTGATTGTAGAAAATTCCGTCTCCTTTTCCGCCATGATGAGATCTTGATCTGTTCATCTTGGAGAGTTAGAGAGGTTCGAAGGGGTTGCAAGGTATTAGCCTTTGGTGGCTGGTAGGTGTGCCTAACAATGCTGGGGGTAAACCTGAAAGTTGTTCTCTCTGGTGGTGGTATCGTGAATTGTAGTTGACACGAGTTTCCAGTTCTCAGGTTTACCGCCGTTGATGTCGCGATGGAGAACCCTCCAGCAAAGGGGATTTGGGCGGCGATGATGAAGAGTGAAACCCCCAGAAGAACGGAAAACCTCATTGCAAACAGGCTTTGATGTTGATCTCTTGAGAATTTCATTTTATAGCTCACTATCTCCTAGGTAGCTAGTAGCTATCTCGGTTTTATGCACTTCATTTATTGGTCCTATTTTCTATTTGGGTATAGTACCAATGCAAGTCAAGGCTTCACCAAGGGCTTCATCGAAGCCTTCGCTTCCTCTTCCGCTGTCTTGTGTTGTGGTGGCAAAGGTTTTCAAATGCGAGTTCGTCGCCGTTTCCTGTGCGAAGACAAGGAAGAAGTACGTAGGTCCGGGATTGAAAACAAAGCGTGAATAAGCATAATCCGCCTTGCCGGCTTAATTTAAAACCAACCTCCACGGCGAACACCTTCTTGCTGTTGGTTTGTGTCTTTGAACTTTGGCCCCAGTCAATTCTATTCTGGTCGGTCGTATTGTAGAGCGCATCACAACTCAAACCATGCTCGTCATTGGGGTCGTCTCATCAAAGTAACGAGTACATGTGTGCGAAGGTGATGGGTCTGCTATGGTAAAGGTTCCCTTCTACGGTATCGTCGTGAATGAGTCAGGCAGAACTACTCCACTACAAAACAAGAGACCAGACAGAAAGCCAACCAGCTTTTATCATTGTGGCTGGTTAACAATGCCATCGAATTCGTTGGCAAGCAAGACTGCAGTACTACAGTACCATCGTTCGCTGCAATTTTTCCAATGATTAACGGTACAAAGCTGCTGCGTTGTGCCGAGTAGGTCCCTTTACTACCAATGATTGCATATTGCATGCAGTTTCGTTAAGCGACGAGGCTTTTGACGAAGAAAGGGCCGAATCAATCAGCAGCAGCAGGTGCCCAGATACTGTCCCCCCTCCATGCCCCCGAAAACCAGGAGAAATGGGCAAACTGGCTGAAGATTGAGTCAGGGACAGAGAACATACACAAAAACGCAGCTGCGACTCTTTTCGGCTCCCCGCTGTAGCGACCATCTGCGCGTATCCGCCGCCTGGGTCCGCCCCAAACCAGATGACCACCTGATCTTCACCAACAGACAGCCATCAATAATGACTGCCATTTTCTGAGTGTTTCAATGCGCTGTTGTCTGCTGATGCTCCGACCGCCCACAGCTCAAGAACAAAGGTTTTTGATTGTTGTTGTCTCGGTCGGGTGGGAAAGAATGACACAGCTCAAACAACCGGTACTGGTACATGTACTGGTATCAACCGGATCAGCAGATGCATTCCGAGCTCTCCACAATATCATATTATTGGACCAGCTTGGACGCTTGGACCTGTGCCACCTCGTCCAAATCAATAGACAGATGATGATGTCACTCAGGTCAAGAGCATTTTGCTTTAAATCATATTTACGACGTCAGTATCCTTTCTGTCCCTATTCTGCGCAGAGAAGGCGTGAAACATTGAAACATTCATTGTCAAAGCAATACCCCAGCTCCGCAATGTTTAACAGCCAGCAAGCCTGGTAAAGCCCAACGACCGAGCATGGCTATTGTACAGCCGTACCGATGGGCTATCATCAATGGGGGCAACATTACTCCAGTAGGTACCAGGTCAGTAGGAAGTCAAATTGAAAGGCCAGTTCTTCCTGAAACCGTAGCATTTAGAAAATAATCCACCCGCCAACGCCCTCGTAGCTCTGGTACAGTTTCTACAGGCGGAAAAAAGAAACGACCGAAATCCACTAGTTGTTTGTGAGTGGACAAATTATTGGATTTTAGATGAGAATCCAATCTGAAGATTTAAGCTAACACATGGATTTTGAGTGCCATTTCACAGGTTTGTATAAGAAGCGAGTTGATTGGAAGTTTTACTCTTCTAGTAGTTACTGTGTAAAATCCACTGTTGGATTTTCAGCCGTTTTCTTGAGTAGGAATTGGCGGGTAAGATCCCAGTAGTAGTATCACGGAGAATCCACTGTTGGATTTTCAGCCGTTTCTTGACCCATAAGTAATCAAAGGACACAGAAAATAGTCGTTGAAATTGCTGAAACACGACTGATTCAATGGTAAACTGTACCCTACACCACAACCACTCAACTCGAACAACAACAACAACAACTCTCAATCCAGTGACGACACGACAATGGCGCTCCTGTTTCCTCGGGCATGTTGTCAGGCAGATTACACACAAAGATCTCCCGCCTCACTGGCGCCCTTGGCATCGGCTCAACCAAGGCAGAGGCTGAGGCGAAAGGAAGGCCAACGAATCCACGGTCACCCGTGCACCTTCGGCTTTGCCTCAGGTTTGCACGACTGACCTGGATTCCCAGTTTGCCGGGAGATTTTTCTACATACAGTAGTAAGTCGAGTAAGTAAAGTAATTGCAAATACGGGAAAGAGAAATATCCAGGAGTGATACCTGTACCCATAGGTTCGCTATGTTTGTGCACGGTATTCATCGCCGCAGTTTTCTAAAGTACCACTAGCTAGCTAGATACTGGACGTGGCAGCTGCTAGCTATTACATGTAATTGTAGTCTCTAGCTAGCGGTGTACTAATACTTATGAGTATTGTTTTTCGCAGTGTTGGCCCCCACACCAGTAAAGAGAAGGCAGAAGACTGGGGAAATTATATCTGTAGAGACTTCTGTAGTCATCTGATGAGCTTGGCTTTGGCACGACGAAGGCTACCGGTACGGTAAGTCCAACGTGCCCTCTTTACATAGTGATACTGTGAGCTCACCGTGGCACACATTTGCGGTATCCCACCGTGACTGTCATGTTGAAGAAGCTACACTGTAGTGGCTTGATTTTGTGCTCTCGTGTCTTTGGCAGCTGGGGCTTTTTATCAGGGACCCCGAACTTCGTTCATGAAGAATGGACGTGGCTCTCCATGATGGTTTGTCTTCGCTCGCCTGTTCTTGTCTCGGAGAGACCAAAAAAGCTTGCGTGGAAGGTTAGGCTGTTGGCTGACTCAGCTTTTCGATCGAAGTCACCAGCTGTCGTCTAACTCAGCACGCCATGGTAGCCAAGCTTGTTCCTCTTGTTGCTTGGCTTTTGTTGAGTCAGATCCTCGGCTTGAGTAGAAGAGCATAGCGCAGTTATTAGTTAGCTGGCAGCCCAGCCAGCCAAAACAAGTACCACCAAATCTTTATGCATGCATGGTTCATGGTCGTTGCCTCATGCTGAGCACAAACCAAACAACGAAAGAGTCAGCAGCAGCATTAGCAGCAGCCGGAGCAAGAAGTCCCATTATAATCAGGGGACAAAAGCAGTGACTGGGTCAAAGGCATCTTGCGGTACACGGTGTAGTCATCTGGGTCTTGCTCACGGATCGGAATACCACATCAACTTACTTTCTCTTGAAGAGGTATCCACAATATCACAAAGAAACAACATCGGAACAGCAACAGGCATTGATAGAAGAAGTTATTGTCCCCACTAGCAAAACAGAACAAGGCACAGCTGCAATCGACAAACGGCTTTGTTTTTACGTCAACAACAACCTATGAACTCCAACCAGCCGTTCTTCATTGGCAGCCAGAGAGAACAGTCCCCACCATCGGTGCAATCCGGTCCATCTAATAGTAGAAAGCGCATCTTTTCGGAGCATCAGCAGAGCATGTCGGAGCCCAAGTCTAAAGCAGACTTCAACAACAAGGACACTACCACTACTAGCGAGAAACCAGTGCAAGACAGCAACCATGTTGATGCTAGTACTGAGAATAAGGATAAGTCCTCCAAGATGACATCCTCTCCTGTGCGGGATCGTGATGTCAAGAGATCGAGACGGCACAGTCCAGTAACCGTTGGTCCCAGTGCATGCATCCCTGATGTATCCAATGTTGATACCCCCTTGCTACCCATTCTCTCGGACGTGAAACTACCAGACCCCAAGGACACCGACGTTGATCCCGATGAGTACTTGCTCCTCCTCGTCAAGTCTCTCTACGGAGTGCAGCTCAAAGTGTCGCCGGCACTCGATTTGGGAGACGACTATTTCAAGCCAGTCACGCCAGAACAACAGGCGGCCTACACCATGGAAGTGCTCACCCCGGCCAGGGACAACAATGTGGACGCCCTCAAGGAGATTGTGGCCAAGAAGGGATCTCAGGCTGTCAACTGTGTCAACCGCTTTGGAGAATCGCTCTTGAACTTGGCATGCCGTCGTGGATTCACTCAAGTGGCAGAGCTTCTACTCAGCGATGACATTGGCATGGACGTGAGGATGAAGGACGACTTTGGAAGAACGCCATTCCATGATGCCTGCTGGCATCCCACTCCACTCTTGGAGATTTGTGGCTGGTTGATACAACGAGACCCGTCTCTCTTGCTGGTGGCCGACAAACGAGGATGCACGCCGTTCATGTATGCCCGTTCGAACGATTGGCCCGCCTGGAGGGAATTCCTCTTTGAGAACCGCGATGCGTTGCAGCTACTGACGGAACCAGCAACGCTGAAACGCTTCTGCTGATGATGGCCCTCCGATCGATGTTTTGTTGTACATTGCTGCCTGCAATACGCAAAGGCAAATACAGTGTCATGCATCAAGAGAATACGAGCGTTTCTACAATCTTTTCTCCTAGACGGTTGCCACTACGAAAAAGGCGCGACGGCTTTGGGGACCATTTTTGACTCAAGAATCCAAAGCCGTGGGGTACATAAATTGATCTGTGCTTTTGAACATACATGTGCTATGCGCAAATCAAGACCAGCTGTTCATAATACGAGCTAAACACACTAAGCAACCGATTACACAACTTCGTTGCTGCGTTTCGTATCTCTCTATCTAGCTAGACTATTATAGCTGCATGTAGATGCAGCGAACCAAACGAGATCATCTATCTGCGATTGGTCTAAGACTTGGACACCGGTACGCTGCTGAGCAAGATTCTGATGGACACGGAGGCGAAAGAAGATCGAAAAAGACATCATATCCACCGCTGACTCTGAGTCAGTTTTGGTTCCTGCTACCGGTAGCTCCGGCCACAAGCTGCCCAAATCTAAATAATAAGAACTTGGCCTGACTGACTGACTCAGGCTCGTGGGGACCGCCACCAAATTTCACCCTCGTTTGACCACTGATAGCTAGCTAGGTATCTATTCAATAGACAAAAGTAGACTAGTCTAGGCAAGCATTGGCGCCGTTGCAACACGGGATTATAATTATGACAGATGTCTGGAAAAGGACACAGCTGTGACACGGAAGGATTTCGCTCACCGAAGGAGTTTTTACAGTAGCTATCCACAGAACCTCCAAACGTCGACGTCTGCTTAGTTGCAACGAAATTTGCTTTAACCGAAACAGAGGGTGGGCCTTTCCTTTAGAAGCTCGTTGCCGTCCCATCAAAAGTCGACTGGAAGCTCCTCGCTTGCCGTCGCTCTTGCTTCGGTAAGCAATGCAGCGGCTGGAAGCTATCCAGCTATCGAGTTTATTCCAGTTTTCAGTTTTCACACAATGATTAGTGGCATTTAACATCTATCGAGTTTATTTCAGCTACTGGTAGCAGCTAGCAGCCTCCACCCTCCCTTCTCTTTGCCACCAGCCAGATCCTCTGCTTTCGCCTTTATCTCTACACCCTGCGTCATCCTTTACAACTGCGGACGCTTTCCTCTGTTGACTCAGAGGACCTCGAAGTGGCAGCGGTTGTTTTCCCCTTGTTGACTCAGCTCCTCGACTTGGAAGTGGCAGGAGCGGGGAGATCCGATGTTGGCTGAGCTTCAAGCATCTGAAATTTGGTCGGTGCTTGGCTTGCGAACGGCACAGGAGTGGCCCTGCATCCTTGGCGTTGCGGGAATCAATTTTCACTGTACGTGTGAATGCTCATGCAGTTCGCAACGCAGCAAGAGCGAAGCCCAAGTGCAAGTTTGAAGGCGTCTTCTTTGATGCAGTAGGTAACAGGATTTTGAGTGTCAATCTGGCTTTCGCCTTGCCTCTGGAAGCGGGGAAAAGGGCGAGAACTCATCGACTGCCCTGGTTACAAGAACCGAGGCCAGAATACGGGTCCAACGCAATCGTCATCGCCATTCAAGTCTCAGTTATTGCAAGAATCAACGAGGGCCCAGTTGCTTTGGAGCAGCTGGAGGTCATAGTACATCCCAACTTCGAACGATTCTGCACAAGCACAGAAGAGATCATAATATTAACGATTCTGCAAGTTCTACTTTCACCAAAGAGAAGCTGAAAGGATGAATTCTACGCGACTCGACACTCGGAGACTAACCAAAAAGCAATCCGATGAGAAGCGCGGAGCATTGGTTTTGCCAGACCAAAAGGGCTCACAAATCAAACCCAAAACAGATCCACAGCATGACAAAGAAAACCTCACTGAACGAGAATAGAATGATCGAATCATTCAATCGAATCTCACCCCGATTGTCGACTCTTCCACTGTTCAGGAGCGTTGTGGGGTGCACTGCTTGTATGGCGAAGAAAAGGAGAAGCTGGCATCCTTTTGATCAAAAATGGCCGCGTCAACGTGGAGGTGGTCGGGCAATCCGCCAAGAAGATTGTAAGTTTGATTGGCTTCGAAGTCCACGCGGTAGCAACACTGTGGTGTTGGCAGCCGAGGAGGACAAGGTTGGAGACGACGCACCCCTTTCGTACGAGAAGCCACCGGTATCGCCGATCGTGGCCTTGTATCGAGCTATAGATTTTGGCGATGCTTTGAAGCTCGGTGCGAGGATTGCGCACCATGGCATTGGGCTAGAATTTTCGTTTGAAGGTTAGATACGAGGCATCCATTGATCAAACGACCCCGAAGCAATAATGGGCGTTCTTGCTCATGGTGACGATTTTCACCAATGTCAATCCATATCCCGAGGTGCAAAGTGTGCGCAATTGGAATCGTCCACAGTCTGGCCTAGCTACAAGGTTGGAGCTGCATTTCATCTACCACATGGTCTCACATGGGAGCAAGACGCCAACCAGATGGGCATTTCCCCGGATACGACCATCACAATGCATTACTAGTAGAACGTAACGCCGAGGTTGCCCGATGCTAACACTCGGGACGAACTACTGAAGTGGGCCAAACGGAAGGTTTCATTGCCAAGCACTACGAACTGTACGAAAAGATGAATATGCCCGTCACATTCCAAAAGGCAGGTATCAACAAGGTGTAGGCGGATGACATCGCCCCTCAAGGCATTTGATGACCAATAGTACACCCCCGCCAACCGCCGTTTCCACTTGTCGCTGAGCTAAAGGAGATTCTTAAGGTGGCCTACTACGGTCCGGATGGAATACTCCTTCGGCGAGCAAGCTTCGGAGGAGGGATCCGTCATCTCCGCCCAACAAAAAGGAGGAGGATTTGACGATGCGTTCCAGGGACTTGTCGCAGCGCCTGGAAGAGACGGCTTCAGCGCCGTGTTCTGTTTGTGGATTTTGTGTGTTCTGTGTGTTTGATTGCCTCAACGAAACGAACAGCCTGATGAAGCCAGAACCTGACTTGGTGGTTTTACGGATACATAAAACAGCAGCCGACCTTTTTTGGAATATAGCCAATAAATAAAGATCGATACCATGCTGTGATGGTTGCAAGATGCCGATGGTACAATCTTCGACAACTCGTGGTACATGAGATTCCCTTCAATGAACGAAAAAAGATTATCTAGCTAGCAGATATCAAAACAGAAATAAACAGTCAACAAAACCGCAAGAAGCAATCTTTCTGATCGAGTGATTCAGATGTAGCTCTCTCCAAGAAAAAGTATTCCAGGTTATTGTTGTTGTAGGGGAGGAATGAACTGTATCCCGTACAGAGATACAGGTGCGAATAATCATTCATTCTTTTAGAAGAAACCAGCACCCTCTTTCTTTTTCTCATTTTCTTTTTCGGCGGCTGCTCCAAATCCAAGTTCCTTCAATTTGGCTGCCTGCGACGCCTTGCCTCCCATGGCTTCTGTACGGAGCAATGCCATTTCGACGGCAGTCTTTCCCCAGTCGACACCATGATTGTTGTTGCCTGAGGAGCGTGCCTTGACTTGATCTTCATTCATACAGGTCAGCACACCCAGGACACAGGGAGTAGTGGTGGACATGCCCACATTCATGATACCCTTGGCGACGGCATCGGAAATGTACTCGAAATGCATGGTTTCTCCCTTGATCAAGACACCACAGCAGATAATGGCATCGACGGTCCCCGAGAGGGCCAAAAATCGTGCCGCCAAGGGCAATTCAAACGCTCCCGGCACGGAAGTTTCAAAGACACTGGCTTCCGCGACCTTGCATTCTTTGAGTCCTTCTTTAATGCCATTGACCAAATTGGTAACGTGTTCGTCGTTCCATCGAGTTCGAATAATGCCAATTTTCATGTCGCTGCCATCCAAGTCGTTGTCAAAGGATACCTCACTTTCAGCGCCCTATAAAAAATTCATGGAAGCAATGGAATGGAACGTTTGAAAAAGGTGGATTGAGCCATTGTCGGTTAATTCGTGAAGTTTATGGTGGGGATTGGTTTGTAGTGACAGACAGAGTGTATGTATGTGTGTGTGCATGTTGGGCGCCAAGGAAGTAGAAAATGAAAATATCATTGGAAATAACAGGAAGAGGAGAAACAGGAGGAGAAGTAAGTTTGTTCAGTTGGTTGAATCACTTTTCAAAAACCTACAGACAACCCAACCTACGAGAAGATTTTTTTGGCTCTACTATCTTCGGCCTCACACTCACCTTCAAAGCAACTCTGCTCACATCTGGCTGGAGGGGAGCCTGGAATCCGAGGACTCCAGTGGCCAGGAAAAAACAACTGAGTAAACGAAGGATAGCCATGGTCGTGTTTATTATGCCTTTCGTGATTCTGATTCAATTTCTCCTCTTGGGTTGTGCGACGCCAAATTTGACCAAAACTAAGATCCCACCGAGATCGATCTGGGTGATGAGTGAAGAAGACGAAGAAGGGAACAACAAGCCGATGGTGTTTGTTCGGTTTGGGGGGTTGACAGCTGTAGATTTTGAGACAATGACGTGTTGGGTGTCTGGATCTTTCGTCGTCTGGATCTTTCGAGAAGAATTCGAATTGAATTGAATTGAATTGAATCGAATCGATTCGAAAATTTCCGTAATCCTATCCCGCACCCAAATCGGTTATCTTGCTGGGTGTTCTCCCCCTCCCTCTCGGGTACTCAGTCATTATTCCTAAAGGTCTCCAATTCTCACTAGGTGGACTATCATTAATCATTGGTCATTCAAAGAGTCTCTATTATTTAATGCAATGTCTCTAGTCGTGATGGCTGGAATGTCTTTGCCATTTTTTTATTGAGGCACTGTCGAAAAGCCTGCACCTTATAGTCTTTGGTACCGGTACGGTGGTACTTTCTCGTACAATACGGACCAGTACCAGTGCCCCGCCGGGCCCTCGAACCTCGCAGAAGTACCACCATACAGGCCATAAGTACACTACTAGTACCGTACAGCTCTGAGCTTGAACAAAAAGCAAAACTTGAACCACAATCTAAAATTCCAATTGACCTCAGATAGATCAATCCATAATATTAGCATTGGACAGATCAACAATGATCATGAAGTGCGCACCTATACTGTTGGCAGTCCTAGCCTTGGTCGGCCGAGTTCATGCTCAGACTCATTCGGCTGCAGTCTCGTTCGCGTTGGATGAAAATATTGCTTGCACGGGTACAGAGCATGAGGACTATTTGAACGAGGTAGCATCATTAGCCACGGATGTTGTCTTTACGCAAGGAAACAGTGGCAACTGGCGAGGACGTGGTAACGGAAACGGAAACAAGCGCGCCCTTGCGGAAGAAGAGTTCATGGAAATGGAGGAAGACTTTCTGGATGTCATGGAAGGAGCTCCTCAAGGTCATCGACGACTGTGCGATGCGGGGTGCAGGAATGGGTGTGCAGTGGGGGTTTCAGTTTGGTGCATCTGCTGTACTTGCTGTAATCGCCGCCGTCGTCATCTGTTGACAAATCTTCGCCTTCGAAGGTTGGATGACGTGAGCTTGGGCGTGAAGGCCCATCTTGCTGCAGAGAAAGCTGTGAAGTTACTCGAAGCAGAAACTTTGAGGGTTGAACCGAAGGTGCCCGATTGTTTGCTTCAGCCATTCTATGTGGAAGTGTACTTTGAGGATGATTCCGACTCAAGCAACAATGGAAGAGGAATTCACGGCGAACACAGAAACGGCGGTACTTCCCAAGGCAACGGGAATCGTGGTCAAGGGAATGGAGTCAGTGGGCGTGCATAAGAAGGACTCCCACTCATCAAGAGCAAAGATTGCCACCTCAAAGAAACCTGTAAAGTTCAACCCCAACGTTCGACCATGTAAGAGCAGGAAAGCCAGATTCAATTTCATAACAAGAAGAAAGTACATATGATAATATAACGCGAATTGATATCACAACGGCTTGTGTTAGAGAGGCTGTCCACGGACTGAAGGTGCTTGTCTTTGTGCTGGGTCATTGGTCATGGGGATAGCTGAATCCCTGCAACCAATTATTCATAACACAAGAAAGTTCATATATAGTACGAATTGAGATCGGCATGCTTGTGTGATATCCCGACGTTAGAGAGGTTGCGTTTTCAAAAGGCTACAGAATGGCCGGCTTCAAGCTCCCTTTGAAGTTGCCGGATCGATCAAGTGCCCTTCTTTTCTTCGTGGATGAACTGTTTGCTGCGGAAAGCCAAACTTGCTCTGCCATCCGCTTGCTCTATCCATACCGCAGTGGCATCGCTTCATTCAGACTGCAGCCTCTTGGGTGGCACCTTGCTTGTCTAATGGTGTGTCATTGGTGGTGGGGATAACTGGCTCTCTCCAACTAGTGGTCGATTCAAGGCTGCTGTGCCGATTTCATGCGATAGATGCCGCATGCGCCAGCGGTGTGGGCTCTAGCTACTGGTCAGGAGGGATGACGCAAAGGCTCAACCAGCCTTCAGCCAGGGGAACTTGTAGCAAAGTGCTCTGCTCCGTCCTCCGTTGTAAAGCTTGACCGTGCCACCGGCGCTGGGTCAGCTCGAGCTCTTCCCTCATACTCTACCAGTAACAGCACCACATCATACAAAGAACAGCTCTGTACAATGTGCAGACGCAGCAGCAGATTGCTTTACAAACGGAGACCATGGCTTTGAAGCGTGTGTTCACACTTTAGAAAGTCAATTTGACAGCTTCTTTGTGGGAAGTGCACAAGAAAACAATGACATGCATGCTGAATAAAAAGTTACTAGCAAAAGTTACTCTACCTAAATGTCAATGCCTCTTCACCTTGAGTCGTACGGAGTATCCAACTCTTACTCCTCTTCATCCTGCCCTTCTCCTGTACATGTATCGTCCACTTCTTCATCTTCACTTGCATCATCGTCATCACTACTTGCATTGGTACTGACATGGTACAGGAGGAGTTCACTCACTCACTGAGCTGTGCCCGAGAGAGCCAGGCTGCCTTCCTGGCCTTGCCCTCTGGTTTCTTCTGGGGGTGGATTTGGAGTGAACATAGAATGCTTTGTGTTTGCTGACCTATTTCTGAACATAGCCAGGATATCTTCCATTCGATGGCTCCACTTTGCACCCTAGCTAGCAACCAAGCTGGGATCTGACAGAGCCTTGACTGACTCAGCATTGTGGCTGCCTCCTACAGCGCTACAATCAGCAGTGGCACTGGCCATTGATGCTTCCAAGGGTGTGTCCAGCCATTGACAAGTCAACCACTGGATCCGACAAAATTTAAATGACCTTCTCCAAGAAGGGGGCTGAATCTTTTTTGTTGGGGAAAGGGCAAATCCCCTTTTGTGGAGAGCTGAGTTAGGTCAGATTTAAAGGTCAATTTGAAAGATTTAAAGAAAGGCTATATTACTATGCAGAAATAGAATCATCACTTTTAAAGTTATTGGGAGTTGGAAGTGTGCATGCAGAGCAAAGAGCAACTTGGACAAAGCTGCTGGGTTTGTACGAAGTACATGTAGTGAGCAATGTCAGTGAGCGGCTACCAGTACTAGAGTACGGCCAGGTACGGTATGTATCTGGTACCGATCCCGCAGCTGGTCGCGGTGTTATCATAGCCATACCTACACAAGAGGTAAAAGGGGTCAGTCAGTCATCATGAGATTTAATGTCAGTGGTAAAAACCTTTACAAATAGATGATTTTTAATAACTCTTTGAGATTTGAGTCGGGAAAATCTGCCTTTAAAACCAACTAAAAGATTTATGAAAGTGACACTGGATCTTTCGCAACAGAGACATTTGATCTTGTGCGTCAACACAGCACCAAGGTGAATAAAGAGCTCCATGCCAAGAGCGCACTGGATCATTTTTGTCGAGTGGAGTTCCTCATCGAAGCAACTGTACATGTACTATCCCGTCATAGAAACAACGCCCAACAGTTTATCTCCACCAAAAAGCTCTCATATCTCTCTGTCTCAACAATGATGCAGTGTAGTCTCCTGTTGTTGGCGCTGTTTGCCTTGGTCGACAAGGCCAGTGGCGATTCAGTGGCATTGCTTTACAGAACATCTGAGAGGAAAGCTGACTGCGAAGATCCTGATGATTTTCTGACAACCACATCCATCGAAGCTTTCCGCTTGGCTGGTCTTATGGTCTCTGAAAATACGCAAAATTGGGAGGAAGACAGGAGCGTGCCTGGAGGCGAATTTGGACCTTTAAACAGCAATCGCCACAATGGTAACGGCCATCGTGCCCTCGCGGGAACAGAAGATTTTGAGGATGGAGAATTGGAAGACGAAGTGGAGATGTATGGAGACTTTTTGGATGTGATGAATGGGGCTTCTCCAGGCCACCGACGATTGTGCGATAAAGATTGCAGGCGTCTTTGCATTTCCTCCAGTTATAGCTTTGCGGCAGCCTGCGCATGCTGCAGCTGCTGTGGTGGGCGCCGCAGGTCCTTGTTTGGATACCTACGAAATTTGATCCAAGATGATGCTGGGCTGGTGGCCTATAATGCTGCTCGCATTGCCGTTGGATTGCTTGAAACAGAAGCGGAAAAGGGTGCTGATTCCAAGGTTCCTGCCTGTTTGGATCCAGTTTTCCATGTGGAGGCAGTTATCCAAGACGACGTTTCCGATGACGCGCAACATCAAGGCAGAGGAATTTCCAACGAAAAGACCTTTGTGGCCAGCAGAGAGAGGAAAGGACGCAAGCCTCTAAGGCATGGTCGTCCTACCTCCGATGAGAATGGTGAGGATGGACGTGCTTAGATGGTATCGATGGGTCAGGAACCTTGGTCTGATAGAGTATCACGTGCAGCTATTTCTATCTTTTCGGGTGGCAAGGAACTCGCACTGAAAACCACTAGAAGAAATTTTGGCTAGTAGCTAATAGCGTTAGTCATGAAGTTCATAATATGTATCCAAGGCAACAGATCGTCCATACAAGTAGTCGATGGCCTGGAATTCCATCCAACTTGTTGCCGGCTATCTCTGGGGCAACAGTAGTAGCTAGCTAGAGTTTGCCAGAGTGTGGCTTGATCAAAATTGCAGGGCTCTAGCTAGTAGGAAGTAGGGGACATGGATTGCGGTACTAGTAAGGTACTGGTAGTAGCTCGTACTTTATCAGAAAGCAAAAGATTCTGGGTTGCTACGAGGGTCTTTCGGAGAGGCCCACAAAAGCACGCACCTTAAGGTTTTGAGTTTCAAGGGTATCATGCATATAATATGTATCGTACGTATTGTATGTATTGTACACATTGTATATATCGTACGTATTGTACGTATCATATGTATTGTACGTATTATACGCGCGAACGTGGACCAATGAGAACTCCCTTGATCAGCAGCAGCCATTTTTAAAAAGCACACCAACAACAAAAACACCACCATCCACACTTCTTCTTCTCTCCTCTTGTTGCTCCTGCTATTGTTGCTTCTGTTGTTATTCAGCTATCACACCATCTCTACCACTACTATCAGGTACATTTACTCAGCTTCCTGCTTGTGAAATGGTCAGAGAGAGTGGCTATTCATCAGATGAGCAAAAGTTGATGTCATATCACCCTCTCTTCTTTCCTCCCTCCATGCCATACCCAAGTCTCTCAACAATGCTTTCACTCTTTCTCTATTATTCATAGACTGATAGAACAAGGTGAACAAGGAAGGACACCACCCAGAAAGTCAAGGAAGTCAAGAAACAGCACATTTCCATTTCACCAGTAGATCACAGTACTGAAATCCTGTAAGTACCCTTTGTATCGTACATATGATATATATAATATGTATCGTATGTATGATACGTATGGTATATATTGTATGTATCATACAAACCTTTTGTATGATATGTATCGTATGTATGATATGTATCGTATGTATCGTATGTATCGTATGTATCGTATGTACTATATTTATTATATGTATAATGTATATCATATATATTTCTGTATTGTACTGACTGCAATCTTTGTTTCTGCTGTTTGTATATGGCTTTATTCATAGGTATCATGGCTGAAGGTGACACTAACCCCATGGGGGACGATGCCTTAGCAGAAATGCAAATAGATGAAGTGCGCGCTCCTCCTGGCCCGGACAATTGTGAACCTTTTTGGCGTTGGGAAATCTCTGAAGAGCAGCTTGTCGAGTGTGTGAAGGACAAGATTCCCCTTGTTTTAAGGTCTTATGTTGATCCCAAGAAGAAGGGCAAGATTCAGCTTCATACTATCTTAGACCCACAGGATCAAGTCTACTGTCTGGACTGCGTGGCTCATGCTATTGGTTTACCCGAAGACCAGATACCTTTAAACCCTCAGTCCCTCAAGCTTCACAAGGCCGGCACGTCATTGTACCAGCATTGCATGGGCAAGCCTCGGAACCCAAATGTTTGATCTGGACTTGAATTTGGCTAGGTCGAGCTTCGGATGTCCAATGTGTTTGGTGCTTCCGCCTTGTTTGGCTGGCAGGAACCATCGCCTGTGCTCATTACTGAAGTAAACACTAAAATAGAAAGGACAAACTTTGTCTTTTCCAATTATAGGTAACTGAGTTTGGGTAGTAGGACTGTGTTGGGTTGCCTTTGATGGTGCTTCCTTATAATACCTATGTCTCGGGCACACGACAGTAAGGTAGGCTCTTCGTCTGTCATAGCCTCTGTTTTTAACATTAAAGCCTGCTTCCTTGCATGAAAGTGCAAATACAGACATCAGTTCCTCTTTGATAAACTTTTTTTCATCTTTGTTGAATTTGCTTGGCAGCCAATACAGCCAATACACGTCGGTCTTGTCAATTTGAGCATTGCCAAGCTGGCCAAGCGTTTGCATAATGTCAATTGTTATAGGAGTTTCATTTATTAGAGACGTTGCCACAGCTACATTAATAGAAGGAGGGATCCACTCTTCTACATTGGTATCATATTGGGCAACATCATTCAGTTCAGCAAGATAGGTATCCATATTGGTTGTTGTGACACTTTGGTGGGTGCTTCAGTTCAGAGAGATCTGGCAACTTAGAGAACTGGCAAAAATTCGTCATATCATATGATACATATTGTATATATTATATATCATATATATCATATGGTTAATATATATAATAATATTATATCATCTGATTTTTATGATAATTGTGTTTCGTATGATACGTATGATACGTATCATGCGTATGATATATATGATACGTATTGTATAGTATAACCTTCCTCTAAGGTGCGTGCTTTTGGGGGCTTGTCCAACAAGCGGGCCAAATAAGCTTACGTACTCCTAGAGTAATAAGGGTTGCTCGATGCTCCATGGCCGAGCATCCGAGCATGCTTCTTTGTACAGATCAATAAACGGATGATTCCCTGCCTTCATTCTAAAGAATTAATAGTAGTCCAATTGGTTAATGCTTTCGATAAATGATCGTGGGATCCGTAAGATGGAGCACTTCGTGTTACTATGACATACTCCAGTACCTCGTAAACTGTAGAGTACCGGTACCGGTAGAGGCCAGCCTCAGTTAGAAACCCAGATGCTCAAGGTCATTTTATTAAGTACGATACGGTATGTCCTTCCGTAGGAGACAACAGGAAGCAAGGTCTGCAACCGTGCAACCAAGCAACAAAACCAATAACCACCCACCAACACGCGCAACAATCCAGCCATAATCATTATATCCTTGTGTTTACCAATGCCAAAACAGCCCTTGTCGTCCACAATGATGAAGAACATTCTCCCGGTACTCTCCCTTCTGCTTGCCTTTGCCAACCAAGCTCATGCTGGCGGCCATTCGGTGGCTTTGATTTTCGAAACAAAGGAGAATGTTGACTGCAGAGATGATGACCAATTCTTGAGTGAAACGGCCATTGCAGCGTTCGGAGGAGCCGATGTGGCAGTTTCGGAAAGTGTTTCCAGTTGGGAGGAGGTGTTTGGGGAATTGGGAACCGGACGTGCCCTTGGAGAGTCAGAAGATGTGGATGGTGACTTTTTGGATGTGATGGATGGGGCATCTCCAGGCCATCGGCGATTGTGCGACAAAGATTGTAGGCGTCTTTGCATTTCCTCCAGTTATAGCTTTGCGGCAGCCTGTGCCTGCTGCAGCTGCTGTAATGGACGCCGCCGGCTGTCATTTAGCACCCTCCGAAAGTTGAGTGAGGAGGATTTGGGGGTGTTGGCACATGATGCGGCTAAAAATGCCCTTGATTTTCTCCAGAGTGGCGATAGCGACGTCAGGATTCCTGCCTGTGTGGCTCGACCGCTCCATGTGGAAGCAGTCATCCAAGAGACTGACGGTAGTGGGCGAGAAGCCAGAGGAGTTGCCGGCATGCATTCCGGTGTCAGCGATAACCAAAATCGCGGTGGGAGAGGATTTGGTAACAACGGAAGAGGAAATGGTGCTGGTCGTGAATAAAGTGACTGTTGCTCTTCAATATCATATGTAGGATCCCAACGAAACGGATGGTTTGAGAGACCCAAGGGCGTCCCAGTGTAAACTACTACGGTACATGTTATTCCAGAAGGCTCGACAAACGAAGGAGCCCATCGACTCTAGAGAGATTTTATAAAAGTACAGTCTACTACAACTGTGGGGTCTTTTGATATAGTTTTTAGTATGTCCGCCTTCGCCTTCGCTTTCCGATCGGCTTCTGTGGGCTGATCCTTATCCATGGCTGCGGCTCTACGGTAGAGCTGGCTCTCTTGTCTTTGAAAACTCTTGATAGGCCACTGGTATTATAGGCCCGTGCCAATTTCTTTTGATTCGATTCGACTCATTCTAGCTAGTTGATTCAAAGGTGTCGCTCTTTCCCTCTTGTGTGCAGTTGACCAAGTAATATCCTCCATAGAGTTTTGAGGTGTGTAAACGCTGAGACGGAAACAAGTCAACGATAAAACCAACTTGCCAGTCAGTGTATTCGTCATGGTTGCCTATCATGAATGGAATCAAATCGAATCCATGTTGTATGCGAAGATTCCTTATCAGTGATCCTCTACTACTAGTAGTAGCTAGCAATCAATCAATCGAGACTCCACCAACAAGATGGTGACGTCTTTTTTTTTACAGGATCATTTCTTGCACTACTTGGTTGTTTTTGCGTGCCATCAATGCCTCATAATCCAGCAGTCTCCACACAAAGGTAACCGGCATGACGTTGGGATTGTGCGATTCATATTTCAATCTACCCATACAATAGTACGGTCCAAAAGTGCGTTTTGCAGTTTCATACCGACGACACCACAGGACAATGCCATCGGATGTTGTTGCGTTACCTACTGGCAGCTTGCCCACTTGCAGTAGCTTTTGAATCATGTTGGATTCTGGCTTCATGCGAGAACCCCCGTACCATGTCATTTTGCGTCCTTGTTCATAAAAGTCATTCTTCTTCTTGACATCATTGTTGCTGTCCTTGCCACCCAGATTGACCCACAAAAAGATGCCTTGCTTCCAGTCTTGGGCCCCACAATACTTGTTAAAGGAAATCTTTCGTTGTTGTTGCTGTTGTGTGTCGGAGGAAAAGTATTGGGCTGCCGTTTCCATGACAATGGCTTTTCCCGTGGCTGTCATTGGTTTTCCCAACCAACCCTGTTCGGGATCGAGGACGAGACGAGGAACTTCAATGGAAATGTTCCTGGCGGAATTGGGAGAGAGACTGACCGGGGGTGGTTTTGGGGGGTACTTGGTTTGTGGTTGTTGTTGTTGTTGTTGTTGCCGTGTCGACGAATACTGCTTCTTGGAAGAATCCTGTTTCGGCCTGTGCACCACAACAGCAGCAGCGGATCTCGTTGTGGTCGTCGTCGTCCGCCTAAGAAGATTGGGCCGTGGATCTGTTTTATTATTGTCAGTCCGATCCGCATCCTCGTCTTCTTCTTCCGAGGGGATAAAGTCGTCTGCTTCTTCGAACGCCTTTTCGTTGTCTTTATCAGTCTTCCCTTGATGATCTTCTTCCTTGTAGCTGATGGAAGAACGAATGCGTCGGGACCGTCTCACGGGCTGATGGTTGCTACTACTAGCGGCACTATTAGTTGGCCTGGATCGTTTCACACCTTGGGTCGGAGGACGACGAGACTTCTGCAACAATCCCAATTCTCGTAGCCTGGCTTCATTGCGAGCAATGTTGGATTGACGCAATGCCAAGTAAGGATTGGTGGTGTTGGTCGATGTCGATTCATCCTGGTCGATTGGTGTTACGACAATGTTGCTCTTGTGGGATGGATTCGTCTGCAGCAATGATCCAGGACTTGCAACAGTCTCATTGACTTCTGCTGAAACAGCCTCAGAGTCAAGGTCTTGTGGTTGCATTATGTGCTCTTCTACTAGCTAGCTAGTATGCATAAAGACCGTGGTGCCTTTTTGCTTTTACAGTACAGCGTAGTAACTCAGAAGAGCAAATGGCTAAATGACAACGGCTCATGCTCATGGTTTCACCCTGTTAGAGGGTTAAGGCTAAAAAGCCTTCTTCGACCTTGTCGCTTCCCGGATCATTCCGCTTTCGCCATGGCGCTCCTCTTCATTACCCTGTTTTGTCATTATTGGATTGTGGCGAGGCCCTGCTGGACCGAAGCTTCTGGTTTTGTCTTGGCAAGCGACGGAGGAAGTCGTTGAGAGCGAAGAGAAAAAGAAAAAAGGCAGTTGGATTTCTTCACTTTAACATCCTAGCTAGTTCTGGCAAGATGGGAACCACTGGTTGCTCCGCCCGAACTTCCTTGGACAGAGTCATGGCCAAACTGGAAAGCGTGGGCATTAATTTCTTGGCATTGGACTTTGATCAGACCATACTGGACACACACACGGGAGGACGATGGACGGGATCCAGTGACGAATTGATTCCACATGTACGACCCGTCTTTTCCAATCTCATTCAAGCCGCTACTTCCGGTCGCATTCAAGTGGCCGTGGTGACATTTACCGGACAAGTCAAACTCGTCAAGGCCGTCCTCGAGTCGATTGTGGGACAACAGGGAGCAGAACGAATACCCATTCGAGGGAATGATCGTTCCTGGCAATACGTCGGAGACGGATCCATGGATGGAAAACAACCCCACATGGCGTCGGCCTGTGAAGAATTACTGACCAACAATCCAGGCATCAAAATTACCAAAAACACGACACTTCTCATTGACGATGATCCCAAAAATATTCGACATGCGTTGGCCGATGGAACCAGAGCCATTTGGTTCAATCCACACCATCCCAATAAACTCTACTCGGACATTGTCAATCAATTAGAGTAATGATTGATGGAATGAAAATGTATGGAAAAATAGTTCTATTATTGCATGATGAGAAGGCGCAACAATCCACAAACACGGTCCAAGCAAGTGGCCAAAGTTATTGAATGTGTGCGAGGGCATCTATAGTACCGATGCCTACACCCCACACCCTAGCAGTCCAAGTTCCAAACAACACTGCCCAAGCGTTCAAGAAGTGACAAAGATTGTGCACCCTGCACGGTACAGCAGTTGTAATAGAGATATATGTATATATGAATAAACCAAGGTTACTGGATGATTGATGAGATATTCTAGAAACAAAAGATTAGAATGCCCAGAATGGTTGTTGTGTGTCGCACATCATAAAGCATACACAAGCCACGACCAATCGTTTTTCCATAGCCTGTGGTGTCGAAAGATACATAGATGCGCGAAGGAAAGTAATAGAAGGAGCATGGTTGCACTCAAGTCCGTGTACCAAAGGTACTGGTGCCAAAAGGAGGGTCAGTCGTTTCGTCATTTGCCGTCGAGGGTCCCTCGGTGGCTACCAACGTCTGGGAAATGGAAACAAAGATTTGCTGCGACGATTCCGTGGGGGTAGAAGTTGGAGTTTCCGTTTCAACAGAGGAAGGCATCAGGGAAGGAAACGAGCTTGGTGACTGTGAGGGAAGCGAGCTTGGCGATTCCGAGGGAAGAACGGAGGGAGAAAAAGATGGAGAAGAAGAAGTTGGTTGCATCGTAGGGCTCATGGAGGAGGATTCCATCGACGGACTTGCGGTGACAGCTGCGGTTGCATAAATCATATGGTCTTCCTCGTCATGCACATCCATGTCATCGTCAACGTACGATGGAGCCATGGTCTCGGATACCATGTCCAATGCTTCTCCACCACTGCTCGTCAAAGCTTCGCTCTTGTTCTCGTCATCTCCAGTCAGCAATGTCGCCATAATCACTGCTGCTACCAGCAGAATCAAGACCACCGTAATGACCTTGAGGATCCTACCACGATCACGTTCATCCTTCTTGTTGGAGACTGGCTGCAGGGCCGCTTCTTCAATCGCAACCGCCGTTTCTTCGTCTTCCTCCGAATCGGGCTCGAGCACGGCGCTCGTAATAATGACAAGCTCATTGCCATCCGAACATTCACTGGCTTCTTCCAATGCAATCGTCGTGTCGAGAGCCGCTTCTTGCGATGGCTCTTCAATCATGGCAGGATCAATGTTGGATCCTCCTTCCGTGACAATGATGCGAGCCTGAAACGTGCTCTTGGTACCTTCCTCGTTTACACTCTCCACTCCCAAGGAGCGTTCACTCGAGAAGATGGGCGATTCCGGAGGAGGATTTCGTTGGCGTCGATTCAACCTCATGATGGATGGATGGATTGATTGATGTGCCTCTTCTTGCTTGGTTAGTTGATTTGAACAGTTTTGTGGATTTGTGTCGATGAGTTTGCTTTTAATAAAATCCATTCCGCATCGTCGTCGGAGTGCAAGCTTTCATTTTTGGCTGCGGGAGTCATGGGTTACGAGATAAACAGAGCTGACACATGATCGCGATGGCTCTAAGTAAACGACAAACACTGGGCAGTCACTGATGGACAATTGAGTCTCTAGAGGGCTTCAACGCCAGCATTTAGCTGATTCTGAGGCGACAATTTGTGTAGTTTGACTTCGAACGGTACGTAGACAAGCAAAAGGAGGATTCAATCAATCATTCAGCCAGCTGAGAAGAACTGCTCCACGGCCTTGGATCCAAATAGCGGTAGCCAGGCCTTCCCTCATCCAGTGACATCGCACAAGGCCCTGAAAGGGTGGGCCAGCAATGCATACCGGTACCGGTACGTCCAGTGAGTTCGGTGTCTATCTGACTTGGCCACCCAATCGATCGCACCACCGGTGGGTCGTGATAACGACGGGGGTTCTGGATACCGTAGCCCTCTCTCATCCAACGAAGCACCGCTTTCTTTGGCTCGTTTATCTAGGATGTGTAGCTAGACAAATATGCGTTCGGTCCCAACAGCCAATTTCTTTGGAAAGCACTGGCTATATCTAGCTAGAGAGCGAACGATGGACGGGGTTGACAAATTTCTTGGTCGGTGGAGATCTTTTGTCCAAGGATGTGACAACCTTGGCCGCCTCGTGGTCGTGATTGGCGCCACGTATTTTTTGAGAACCGGTACAGCCGCTGGTGATAAGCTGGTTCGTGACTGACTGTTCAGAAATTTAAGCTTTTGTCGTAAATTTAAACCCTTCTCGTAGTATCACATAAGTACTTTTTAGTAATTTCGCAAATATTTGTATATTTTATCATTACAATCATATCGTGACATTTCATTGGGTTGAGTGACGACAGCCACTCAAAAAATAAGGCTTCTGGTGCGAGAAGCAACCTGCATCAATTACGATTGCTGCATTACGACTGCATTCGCTGCCCATCGACTCTCTTTTGGCTTCGATCACCACCTTTGCTAGATTGATTATCTCCGCCAGACTGTAGTGACTTATTATTAGTTGTGAATGAGTAAGCTTTGTCAATCCCAATGAGACTACGAGGGCGGAGAGTGGTGCTGTTGATTGCAGGAGCCCTGCCATTGCTGGCCGAAGATGACATTGCTGTGGGAGTCCATGCGGAAGCTGCACTGCAACATGTATCACAATTACCAGAAGAAGAACCAGACGGCAATATCCAAGCTACCGAGTCTCTGCACGAGGAAACGCTTTCCCTGCTACCGCTCAATTTACTGCAAGTAGAAGCCGAGTTTTCAGGGGAACCCACCTATGTGCAAGGCAAGGGTAGAATTGTCGAGTCGGCAACAGCTGATGTGGACCAAGTACCGGTAGTCATAGAAGCAGTGGGGGAGACGACTGCCAAGGAACCTCCAGATGACGAGGATAACAACGACAAAATTGACGAAGAAGAAGAAGAAGAAGCTACAATAGAACAAGAAGCAAATGAGAAAGGAGAGGACACTGGCAGCGCTACAGCTACGAACAACACTGATGACAATCATCAAACTGCCAGTGATACCGATGACAAAGAGCAAGAAGAAGAAGAAGACAAGCAAGAAGACAATCAAGAATCAGATGCTGCAGATGAGCTTGACTCTCCCCAAGATGACAGCGGCGAAGCAGAGGAAGCTGCAGGCATTACAGGAGAAGAAGCAGACCAAAGCTCAGACAATGCTACCAAAGACAGCGATGATTTTGCGGAAGCAGAAAGGGTTCCCACTGAACCCGAAAACAACAACAACAACAGCAGCAACAATACAGTGTCAGAGGAAACTACTGCAACTGAGAATGCCAACGACACTGCCCCTATTGACGCGCACAAAGACACGACAACACACTCGACTACCAAAAAAGAAAAAACCGAACCCGAGCTCAACAAAATACTCCAAGTCGACTATGCCAGTAAATCGGCGGGAGCCCTAGTATTGGAAAAGTCGTCCAATTTCAAGGGCACGTCCAATCTGCTCAATGGGGACCGCGATCGATACGCCATTGCCCCGTGCTCGGAAAACCCCAAGTTTGTAGTCGTCAGTTTATCCGAGGATATTCTGGTCAAACAGGTCAAATTGGCCAATTACGAACTATACTCGTCTCGTGTCAAAGACTTTGAAATACAAATCAGTCAGACCATGGGGAACTGGGTCGACTTGGGATCCTACACGGCCAGTCCAGCGAGTGGCATTCAGACGTTTGATTTGGAGGAACCCGCTTGGGGACGATACCTCAAGTTCACATTTAACAGCCATTATGGGGATGAGTTTTATTGTACCCTCAGTCAACTCATGGTACACGGAAGTACAATGGTGCAGGGTTTTCACGAACATTTACAAGAAACCAATGAGGAGGAAGACATTATCATGAATGAACTCGAAATGGATGTTGGCAGCACGGAGGACGACGAACCAAAAGACAGTCCTACTGCGATCAAGGATGCGGACAGCGTGGTGGAAGGAACCGGAGAAAAATCGGCTGCTGCCACAAGTAGTAGTGCAAGCGAGAATCAGCCTACACATGGACCGGCGGTAGGAGATGTGGATAGTGGCAGCGATAGTCCACAAGATACATCCACAACAGCAGAAGCACGAGTAGACGCTGACGCCTCGGAAACGCACGAAATAGATGTAGCAGCAGGAGAAAAGGAGTCCAGCGATGCCGCTGCTGTCGAGCATACTACCAAAGTCGGCGAGGAAGAAATTTCAACCGATGAAACAACAGATGCCGATGGCGCGGGGGAAACCTCGGAGGAACCTGGCAACGAAATGTATACTGGCACTGTGCTTCCGGCGGCATCTATTGGCCTGTCGTCGTCCAATGTATTCAGCACAATTGTTGGCAGTCTGGAGCCACTGCACTTGAAGGGGGTCCATCGCTTGAGTGAGCTGGGTTCTCCCGCGTTTCCAGATTCGGAGAAGTTGCACAATATTCTGGCAAAGGCAACAGACTCGACGATTGCGATCAAAAACGCGCTGACTGATCCGGCCATATTGGAAAACCTTCAGGCTTGGGGAGTGGAACGGACCAACCACCTTGGTCGTGAGAGTGTTCCACCCGAAGCGTTTGGGTCCTCAGCCATTGGTCCCAGAGAGCAAACACTTGCCGAAAAGCTGACGGAGTACATTCAAGACATTGACAATAGCCAAACAATGAGACCGTTCCAGAAAGACAGCGTCAATGATGCGTCTCCAGGGGCGTTGGCCGGTGCACAGAACGACGGGATTGAGATTGAGGAAAATGACAATGACTCGGAGGACGACGAGGACGAAACAGAAGAAGTACTACATCAAAATGCAACTGTTGTGGCTCAGTCGGATGCACCGCCGAAAAGTAACGGGCTGGGGCTCGATTCGTACGCTTCGTTGCATGACAAAGACTTGGCCCTTGCGACCTTGTTAGAAAAGCTCCCCAGCATTGAATGTTTGAAAAAGCTCGACTTTCACGCTTTCAAGGAAAAGGCAATGGCGTCCAGAAGAGGCGCTCACGGCGGAAGTGGAAGCGCAGCAGCAGGACATGCAATGGAGCCAATCTTCAAAATGTTGACTGACCAGATCAAAACGTTGCAGTCAAATCTTTCAGTCCATGACCAATTCACGAAAGAAGCGGTGCAGTGCTACCAGAAAGTTCTGCTGGATGTGGTTGTGGAAATGCAATCGCTGAGGATGAACCACGAAGCACGTCTTGCGAAGCTCGAGCAAGATCTACAAGAAACAAAGACGGTCCGATGGGTTTTCGTCCTTTATCAATTGATCATGGGACTCCCGAATTGGGCGTCTTTGTTTGCTGCAACCTTCTTTACGTCGTTTGTATCTCCAGCCGCAATTGCAAGGCCACTGGAGATTGTGGAAGTGTTTCTTCAAAGGCATATCTCTAATGAGGTGCATAGTGTTCTCAGCTGGACAATCACAGCTTGCATCATGCTGCTCTCCATTGTATCAACAGTTTCGTTGTGTCAACGGATTGTGACCGCGTTGCGTAGTTACAAAGCAAAGTTCTCCCCAACCATCCCAGCCAGGAAAGAACCTTCGGAGGAAGTGAGCTGTCGTTTGTCAGTTGAGAACGAGAACGGAGAGATGATCTCGGTCTGCTCTGCTCATTCTGAAGCTGAAGAAGCTGGCGAGGATCTACAGCGAGACGAGGCGGAAATCTCAGATGCGGAGGACGTCACCAGAGAGGTTCAAGGTGGGGCTGCAACTTTTCAGGATAGCCTATCGAAATTGCCTGCGAGCCCATCGTCTGTCGCAAACCTCACTGAGTGCAACGCTAAAAAGACACTACCGAATGACCAGCTGGATCCTGAGCAGCCAGAGAGGCACGACATTTCAATGGCAGAGTCTTGGGTTGGCTCCGATCAGAATCAAAGTCTCCCTCCAGTGAAGAATCAAGAAGAGATTGCTGATGGTCAAGGCGAGGAAGGGGGGTTGGAAGACTCGGCGACAGCAGACGGAGGCACCGAAGCGAGGGCTTCGAATGGTGGGGAGACTCCGGATACCACGCAGCGCAAATCAGCTGAGAGCCAACGCGGGGACTCAGACAACAACGAGGCAGCCAAGGAAGGTTGTGCTGCTCCTTCGAATTGCAACGGTGGCCACGAGAGTTTAGCTGAGCGGCCTCTGCAAGAAGCTGAAGTAGCAGAAGATGATCAGGCCGCTGCTTGCAGCCACGAAACGACCCCTGAAGATCTTAAGGGTAGTGCTGTTCACGAAAGCTGTGACACTACCGTAGCAGAAGAGACGAGTTCCAAAGGCGAAAGCTGCTGCGACACTGTATCTGTATACAAATCGGGCGGTGACGACATCCTCGAAACTCCATCTGAAGGCCAGCAGGGTGCTGAAACGAACGGAAGAATGTCAGACACAGGGCATCAAAGTGAAGTTGTGGAAGTCATTACAACGCAGCAAGAATTGGTTACGGAAGCTGATATCGCTTCAAGAGGAGCCCCGCCATTGGATGCTGAAGTAGAAGCCAATCAGGAGACTGAAGTGGCTACCAAGCATAAGGATGCCAATGGGGAAAGCGAACCAAACGACTGTGGACGGGGAAAAGAACCTGAAGACGATGTGGCAAGCGCAACAAAAGACTGCGGACACACAGGTTCACAGGAGGAGCTAAGTCGGAGCACTTCATCGAACGCGATTGAGGAAAGTATTCCTCTTGTCCCTGTCTCAGCTGTGGACTGTTAGCCATGAAGGGGGAGGACGCGTTTGATATGGAAAGCAGATGGTCCGGTCACGGTTTGTTGGTTGTTTGGAATGGATGTCCATCCCTTTCATAGTGTTACAATAGAAAAGGTCTGCGGGGTACCGTACGCATACGGTATAAAGCTAATAGAAGCAGACTCAACATGTTGCCGTACCTGGTCGGTACAGTTAGTTGTACTACATGTACTCGGTTCCTTCAAACTTTGGGTTGCCCTGGTGGTGGCAAAGGGCGCTGTATTATGGCAAGCGACCCAACAAACCCACATACCGCTATGGCATACATTTAAAACTAGCTCCTACCATTTTTTTAAAAATACCGTATTCTCAGGTGGTGGAGATTATCCTTGCGGGTCCTGGTAATAATAATATTTTCAACACCGGCTGTTCGCAGCAAGCAAAAAGCACCGCTGCTGTTCGCTGCGCGAAAGACTGTCACTCCTAATATCACCCCAGCACCACAACCACCACAACAGCGGGACAGCGGCAGCCTGCCTTTTACTGAGGAGATAACAAGATTGGAAGATGAATTCTCCAGAAGATGAAGAACAGGAGGCAAAGTTGTTGCAGCTCGTCCAAGCACTATCCAATCGGCTGGATACTGGACTGCCGGCACCAGCACTCCAGGCGATTGTGGAGTTACTAAGGGACGGCGTTCACCCAGATGCCGTACTTGCTGTCATCGAGAGTATTTCCGCGTAGACTAGTTTGCCAGGATGAATTGCCCGATTTCTTTTTTAAGTTAATGATTGTGCAGGTTTGGCGGAAGATTAGGCAATGGCTAAACTGGTTGAAATTCGATTTTTTACAAGGCTCGTGCGCTCTGCGAGCTCTTTCATGCATCGTCCGAGCTGCTACTATTTGTATCCATTGTGAAGATCCAGTCGACACTGAAGATCAGGCTAACAAATACTGCCGTGCGGCCCAAAACTCAGGCTGCTAATAACAAGCTAGCTAGCTAGAGAATGCATCATCGTCTGAATCGAATCGAATCCAACTTTGACTAATATTTATAAATGTTTCAGGGGTCTAAGACTACCTTCACAGAGGGTTGCACCCAGCAAATCTCCTCGCACAGTGAACGGGTTTCACTTGTCCATGCCTGATAGTTTGGAACCGGAAGTAGGGAGGCAGGAGTTTACATCATTGCGTCAGCGCTCGAATAATTCTTCCTCGGATCATTGCTTAGGAGCGTTCTCCGCGGATTCGTCTGGCCAACTGAATGTCCTTGGGCATGATGGTGACACGCTTCGCGTGGATGGCACAGAGATTGGTATCCTCAAACAGTCCAACCAAGTATGCCTCGGCGGCTTCTTGAAGAGCTAGTACAGCGGATCCTTGGAATCGCAAATCAGATTTGCTGTTGCGTCATTGTGGTAGTGGTGACAGTGCGTGTTGTGAGCATAGAAAGAGAAAAGAGGTGAGCGATCGATTCGATTCATTGTCAAAAGGACGATGTGCCTCCGGTAATATCACGTACAAATCCTGGGCAATCTCACGGACAAGACGTTGGAAGGGCAACTTGCGAATCAACAAGTCAGTGGACTTTTGGTAGCGGCGAATCTCTCGGAGGGCGACAGTTCCAGGACGGTATCGGTGAGGCTTCTTGACTCCTCCAGTGGCTGGGGCACTCTTTCGGGCAGCCTTGGTGGCCAGTTGCTTTCGGGGAGCCTTTCCTCCGGTGGATTTGCGGGCAGTTTGCTTGGTTCGAGCCATGTTGAGATACTGAAGATGAAAGGCAGGTGGTTGAATTTTGTGAGAAGTGATGAAAGGGCTGAGCTTCGGAGGTCGGAGGGAACTGGGATGAAAGTTTGAACCTGGTTCGGAGGTCGGCAAGCGAGCGGGCACACCTCCGAAAAAGGCTTGACCACTGTTACTTAGAATATCGAGCCACATTTTGAAATCATTGATGGTAAGGCTGACGGACGGCTGGATTTGAAAACCAGTCCCGAGCGTGTCGTCGTAAAAGGACTGCATAGTTTCACGCGGAAATAAGGCGGTGCTATTATTAAAAATAGTACAGTGTACTGTTCTGGTAAGCGTCCGAGGAAGGTACCGGTACCGGTGGTACAAGCTACTAGCTAGTAGATGTAGCGTGACAACCGGGCCTCTTTTCTCTGTCTTTCTGACACGGTGACACACTCTCTCCCACAAACAGTTACCGGTACTAGTACACGGAGAGGAAGAACATTGTGTGCCATGCGCCACTCTCATGATGAGGGCTGTCTTGGAAATTAATCAAATCTATGGGGTCAATCATTTACTTATCTCTTCAATGGACCCTCGCTGCTAATAATGGTACCTACAATGAACCAGGGGGTCTCTCGCAGCCCCATTATCAGGAATGAAAGATGAGACAGGATTGGAGCATTCCTCAACAACTATGATGACAAGAAGTGTCACTACAATGTGCGCATCTACCCTACACAATGAATGGATGATGGGTTTGCGACCAGTGGACCTTCATTACTCTACTAGCACAGGTTTGTATTGGAGGAGGCTGAAAACCTGTAAAGCACATTTATTTTAGCTATAGCTTGCCACCAGAACCAAGAACCAAGACTCTTTCTACATTACGCGCACGGCGGCTACAGTACTTGGCATTTGCTCCAACCTGCCTTCTCTGAAACCATCATCATGTCGCCAATGATCATACTCCTAACTATCAATGCGAACAAAGTTTTGGGCAACGTCACAGTGAGATTCGGCCATGACATCAATGGCGGCCAAGGTGCATCCAAATTGTTCGATGGTAGCCCTGACACACTTTGCGATGATAGTGTCAAAGGACTTGCCGAAGGCATACCAAGTATTGCCAAAAGTAGGCTCTCCTGGAGTGAAGGCCCCAGTCGAGAACGCTTCGCCACCAAAGTCGGTCGTTGCCAGCGCATCTCTGGCGTTGGCGATGACGGATTCCGTCATGTTCTTATTGATTTCGATATCCACGCGATCGCCAATCTGGGAAAGGTGTCCTCCAATCAAGTATCCATCCTCTCCCAAGTCGTAGTCATCCAGCATCTTGTCGTGAATCTTCAAATAGTTGAGCAAGTCTGTGGTGAGGGCGAAGCGGTAAAAAGGTGACCACTTGGGGAAACTACACGTACAATTCGAAGCAGGACACGGTATGAAGGTGTGAGGAGACCAACAGACTCATTCTACAAAAACCTCCAAGTGCACTCCCTCACCGGACTTACACAATGTCAATCATCATCATGATGGCGGGATGCTCCTCCTCTTCTTCAAAGAAGATCAAGACATCCCGGCTATCATGCATGTGGCCATTCACGGTTTCCACCATCATGGTGGTGTGGGTTCCCACAGTTTGGTTCTGTTTGCCTTCAAAGGTAACGGTGGGTAAGGGAGCTCGGTAGCTGTAGAGCCCCGACTCCGCGAGCTCTTCCAAGAAGTGCTGAGTGCCCTTGGAGGCAACGATGGGAACATCTTCGAATCCCAAAGCCTTGATGGCGTTGTAAGTGTAGTTCGCTGCGCCAATGTGGTCGAAGTGACCATGAGAGTAAGCCAGCTCAATCGAGGTAACATCCTCCAGAGTGGCGTTGAGAACGTCGAGAATGTCGTCCACAGCAGAAAGGTGATGGTGCCCAACGACGGCGCCGTCCTCTCCGAATTGGAAGAAGGCCTCAGGGGCATCATACAATCTAATAGTGATGGAAGGCCCAGCTACGCGATTATCCACGTCTTCAGTCGAATATTCTGCTGGAGCACCCTCCAGCGTTAGGTCCTCCTCGTCTTCGAGATGACGCCCACCTCGAAGAAGCTTGCGCCCGGAGGGTTTTGTCCTGGCAACAGCCGTAGAATCATCCTCGGATACATCCACAACAATCATGGTCCAGACAGCAAAGTCTCCAAGAGCAAAGACATGAGTGTTTGGCGTGTCGCGAAGATGCTTCAAGGCGTACCCCAGGTCGTTGAACTGATCCTGTGGGAAAGCAAAGTCGGGAACTGGAAGGGCACCGCAATTATCCGCGCCTGAGTCCAAGCAGTCCAAAAAGCCAGGTACAGCAGCCCTGCACTCATCAAAAGAGACCTGGGCAGATGTGATGGGAGTGCTGGCAGCGAATAGCGCCATGGAGGCAAATGCGGAGGTGGCAATCTTGAGCATCATGATGGGTTCGGTGGAGGCTTCTTTAGTAGAGCTTGTTGAGGAAGCGAGGTTTGGATTTTGTGAGGGCTTCCTGTCTCCAGGTACGGTACCGTACAGCAAGCGAAAGATCCAAAGATCCCAAGGATCCTTCCGGCCTCCCCGATCCGACATCTCCGCATCCGACATCCCCGTTTGCTTTTCGCAAGGGCATAAATCGTTTATGAATGCGCCGCCTACCGGTACTCTAAGATCTAAGATTGGAAAAACCTTTTGGGGGGAGCGAAAAGAAGGGGTCGGAGAGGCAAGGTTGAAAAAGATGCTTCTCCGACCCCAGCTTTCAAGCACGCCTTTTGATCTCCTCCTTGCCATCGCTGGATGAGTGGTGCCGTACCGAACGTGTACCACTGCTTGTTTAATGGTGGGACTGCTCCGGTACCAATCCACTCTCTCCTTTCGTCTTTAGTGGAACCGGTACAGTATTGTGTCAAAACGTCACCCAATCACAACCGTGTGGCTGGTCGCTCGGGTCCGTTTTGAAAGACAGTTCCCGGTAGTAGCCTGTCTGGGTTTGTACACTGTGTAGTGCAGCAGCTATTAGGTCAAAACAGTACCGGCACCAGGTGTCGCCTGGTGTTGGATACCTTGCAATACGTCCTGTAGGATCCCCTACTACTCGTACAGGCTCTCAGTATTCCTCTCAGTTCTGGGATATACTTTTACGGTACCTCCGTGTCGGGTACTATGCGCACTGTTGCAAGAATTTGCCAATGTTTTAGTACAAGTTCGTCCACCCGGACGCGGCCATTAATGTCTTGCCTCCAATGTGCACGAGCGCTTACATTTGGTGCCAACGTTACCTGCCTTTCGGTAGTACTAAATCTTTAGTGGTATTCTATGCATTGTGTCCCTACCGGTACCATGCCGTGCGTCACCCAAGTACAGCGGTGTGGTGTGTTCCGGTAGTTCGTGTCCGCTTTGAAATACAGTTACCGCTAGCGGCAGCCTGCATGTAGCCTGTCTAAGCTTGTATTGCTGGGTAAGGTTCAGTGCTTAACTTCGTCCCCTCCTTCGCCGTGCTTGGTTGGTTCTGACCACTTTCCTCCTCTTCTTCTCCCCACGAACAATGAAGGGACGCGAAATGGAAGATTGGAAAGATTCCTATTGGAGGCGGCAGCTACGGCCCCAAATACACGTACGACAACGGAAGCTATCAATTCCAAGGAGGAGCTGGCATTGGCAACGGAGGAAGCGCTGGAATTGGCGCCTCTTTCACGATCAGGTTCTAAGTGTTGGGGATTCGCGATTAGGGATTGAACCTGTACCTCTGTACTAGAATTTCATGCCAGTAGAAATACCATGAAATACAGAGCCCACCCACTTTTTCAATAGTATCTCAATAGCAAGTAAACTAGAAGAGAGCTTAGAGCAACTAACATACTATTGAAAAAGCGGTCTACTATCGACGAGGAGCCTATCGAAGCAACGAAGCCAACGGTAGCAGGAAGACGCAAGAGGATCGAGTACGTATCGGCCGACGCCGAAGCCGACACCGATTGCGACGCAAGGATCGATAGAAGACCAAGCCTGTCGAACGAACGACAGCAACGAGTGAAGATCCGAGGACGGATCGAGAGGAGACTGCAGCCAACGACGCGAGTATCGGTCGACGGCAACAGCAACAAGAGAAGCCCTTCAGGACTGAAGGCATCCGAGGACGGATCAAGACCGCGACGACGCAACGAGTTTCGTCGGCGGCAACACAAGAGGAGACTGCAGTCAACGACGCAGCAAGAGTTTCATCGGCAGAATCCACAAGGATTGTCGATAGGAGAGCCGACAGCATCCAGCCGGAACTGTCAGAGCCAACAACAAGCGCGAAAGCCACAGTGCCAGCGCAGGGACCAAGGACGGGTACCCAACCAAGGAAACAACCAGCAAGGAAACGGGTTCGGAATGGCAGCATACCGCACGAAGTGTGAAGCAATAGCGCCAGACCTTGCAAGATCCTTAGCAATAGTTTTAACACTCCCTAGCCAGGAGTATAATTTGAAGTTTATCGCCCCATAGCCATAAGACGAATAAGTAGTCGGACGAGACTTAAAATAAAGAGCTAGCCAAATAAAAAAGAAAGAATTGAAATAGTCCACCTACCGTAGCATAGACAATGAGCGGTAGAGGTAAAGGACGAGGTGGCCGAGGAGGCGGCAAAGCACGAGGGCATGGAAGAACCACCATCGTCGAACCAGCAGAAAGGTTCATGCAAAGCCTCGACCAACATGTGTTAACTTCGGTACAACTGGATCTGGAACGGCAGACCAGATGATACGCACATGGGAGAAGATCGTCCTCCACGTTGGACAAACGATGGGTGACGACATCAGCAATGAGCTACGCAACCTGAAAAAGACAGTGTTGGTAGCACCGGTGTACTCTACGGAGACCCAGAACAGGCTTGACGCGGCCGCGGAACGACGCGAACAGAACAACCTTCGTCTCCAAACGGCAACCCAAGCAAGCCTACAGCTACTGGAAGACGAGATAGCCGAGGTCATTGAAAACCCGACTCTCGGTAGCTTACGCACACTAACGATAGAGAAAGCAAAACTCGAAAATGAAATAGCCAACCTCACTGCAGCCATAGCAGATCACCGGACGAGGAACTCGGGGACTCGAGAGAGCAGAGTATGGAGGGCTGATGAAGACCCACCTTACGAGGTTGGCAAAACTACAAGAAAATAGAGGCAAAGCATTCAACTTGATCCTAGGGCAGTGCACCCGACTATTAAAGGACAAGATGAAGCAGAACACGGACTACGATGACGTCCTGTTAAGATCGACCCACTGGAGCTACGAAAAATGATCACAAGACGATCATGGCCCAGACCGATGATAATTTTGTGTACCAAACATTATTCCAACTGAAAAACAACTGTTGAATTTCCAACCAAGGGAGCCTTACCGCTTTCGAATACCACGAGCAATTTACCACGAAAAAGGACATTGCAAAATCCGTGGTATTTCCAAGCTACACGACGCAGCGCTGCTGCATATACGGCCAACCTACTCCACCCAGACACAGAATACGCTGACCTGGGAGTCGAAGACAGAAGATAGTCTCGGCATACGCAGAGGAACGGTACTATAGTTATATCTTCTTAACAAATAGTTCAGCCGAAAATACCAAGCTTAAACAGAACCTTAGGGACGACTTTGCCAAAGGCACTGATAACTATCCCCACACGTAACATGAGGTATTACACCTTTTGGACAAACACACCAAGAGTAACACCCACGACAGTCCACTTCCCCGGAAGCTCCTTTGCTCAGACAGCAAAGGCGGGAGAGGACGGGGTGGTGGCAGAGGAAAGGCCGCCG